GTACCTGTCGTTGCCCAATACTCGTGCTATTATGTATGGACCTTTGTATTTAGGTTCTAACTTCCGGGATTCACCTGTCGCTGGTGGTTCATTCTGTATAAGGATCAAGTCACCTTCCACATACAATTTCGGATTCGAATGCTTGCTGTCAAATCTTTTCTTCCATCGTTCTCGTTCGCTTTTGATGTTTTCTGCGGCCATGATACGTTTTTCGTTGATGGAAATTTCTTCGTTTTGTACATCATCTTGTACAGCTGCTAACAATCGGTTTTGTATTAAGTCGGTGGGCTTGTAATCGAAAATCAACTCATTCGGACTGTAACCTGTTGTCGAATTTTTGGTTGAATTGATTGACCATTGTAAAACGTGAAGTGCCGAGTCCCAATCCTTCGGTTCTTCAGTGGTAGTTCGTAAATAAGACAGGATAAGTTGATTGACCCTCTCAACTTGTCCATTGGCTCTTGGTGTACGAACGGCATTCTTAATGTGTTGAATATTGTTTCGATCGCAATATTCCTCAAACATTTTTGACGTAAAAGCTGTCCCACGGTCCGAAATTAGTCTTCGAGGTAAACCAAAGTATCCACTAACCTCATTTAAAACGTTGATGACGGGCAATGTCTTCGTATTCCTTACAGCTTTAATAACCACAAATTTCGTAAAGGAATCGGCGATTGCCACTATATGTGTATGACCATGCTTGCTTCTTATAAACGGTCCCAAGTGATCAATATGTACTTGCCTAAATGGTAGCGGTTCGACATTACTAAAATGTAGAGCTCCTTCGTGTTTACCACCTTTTGCCTTGTTGTAGCAACACTCTACACACGCTGCAATGTACTCCTTCATATATTTCCTCATGCGGGGGAACCAAAACGTTTGTTCGACTCGTGAGAGGCTTTTCTCCAACCCGTAATGGCCAATATCATCATGACAGTATTTAGCTATGCGCCATCGTATAGCCTTCGGTATGACCAATCGTAGTCCATTTTTCGTTTTCCGGTATAGTCGATGTTTTTCCAATAAGTATTCAGATTTTATCTGTTTCTCTTGCTCAGATTTCAATTCATTTCGCAGTACTCTCATAATATTCTTTATGTGGTCGTCGTTTAGCTGCATCGTGAGAATCCAATCATCGCTATCAATATTCATTATGAACCCTGCTGGTTCAATCTCCGTCTGTGGCTGATCCGGTGAACGGCTGAGAGCATCAACGTGAGCCATACGTGACCCTTGTCGGTGTACATACTCACAATCAAATTCAAGTAATTTCATCAGCCATCGTGCTACTCGAGGTTGTAATTCCTTCGTTGTCTTCACATTAGTAATTGCGGCACAATCAGTGACGATTCGGAATGGCTTTCCAAGTAAATATATACGGAAACGCTGCACCGTTTCAACCACAGCTAAAACTTCCAGCTCGTAACTGTGATATTTCGATTCCGTTTCAGAACAGTGGCGGCTAAAATAAAACACTGGTTGCCAATTACCATTACCATCGGACTGTAATAACACTCCTGCTAATCCGAGACTGCTAGCGTCCGTGTGCACCTCGTGATCTGCTTTCATATCGTAGATTGCTAAAACTGGTTCACTACACAAAATTTGGATTAAACTTCTGAATGCGTTTTCATGGTGTACGTCCCAACGAAATTTATTCTCTTCGCTCTTTCGTGTCAACATCGCAAGAGGTTTCGTAATGGCTGCATAATCCTTTACAAATTTTCGGAAGAAGTTAGTTAGGCCAAGGAATCGTCGTACTTCTGTTACATTCGTTGGTACCTTAAAATTTCTAATCGCTTTTACTTTTTCTTCTCCAGGTAAAATTCCGTCACGTGTAACTATGTGTCCCAAATAAGAAATCTTTTCGGCTAGGAACGAACATTTCGCCAATCGTAACGTGAGACCACATTTCTTAAGGATATCCAAAAATCTTTTTATTCGGTCCAGACCTTCATCGACTGTTTTACTGGGAATTATGACGTCATCCAGATACGCTAAAACTTCTCCTGGTTTCATAAAGCTTATAACTCGGTTCATCGTTGCCTGAAAAACTGCAGGTGCGTTTACCAAACCAAATGGCATCCGGTTGAATTCATAATGACCATCTGAAGTCACGAAAGCTGTGAACTTTTTCGATTCTTCCTCTACTTCAATTTGGTGGTAACCCATACGTAAGTCGAGTGTGGTGAAATAACGATTTCCGGCGAGTTGTGCAATCTGTTCATCCAGTACAGGCATAGGATGCGCTATACGTACGGTTATTCGATTCAACTGTCTATAATCTATACATAAACGGTGTTCACCATTTCTCTTCTCGACCAAAACAATTCCCGATGCATACGGAGAATTCGATTTCCTTATGATTTCGTTATCCAGTAAGTCTTTCACAATATTTGCCACAATAGGACGTTTGGCAAATGCTAGTCGATATGGCTTGCATCGTATTGGTTCTGGAGTAGTAACTTCGATTTCCATCTTCACTAAGTTACACTTACCCAATTCGCTTGACTTTTCTGAAAAACATTGTCGGTTTTCTTGAATGTTCAACTGCAACTTCTTATGCTCTTCAGATGTTAAGCCTTCGTTGATACTAATCGCATTTACGTTTTGCATCCAACACTCATCTCCTTCAATAATGGTGCGTCGACCTTTTTGGCATAAAACATCTCGACCTAAAAGAACATCATTCGGGATCATAGAATTTTCCACAACATAAAGGTTCACGTCGTAACTCGTCTCATCAATGTCAATTGGCACTTTAACCACCTTTGTGCACTCGTATTTGCCACCAGCAAAGCCATTTAAAACCATACTGCAATTTTCCGTTTCGCCAATTATCATTGCAAAACTTCGTCTGATCAGACTCCGATCACTTCCCGAATCAATAAATGCCTCAAACTCCTTGTCCTTTACTTTGACACGTTTACATAGTATTTCGTTGGACTTTACGCTGTCCCTTATATTGTTGACATTTGTGTTCAGGGTTTTTGTTGGACATTCACTTGCACCGTGTGAAGTCCGTTTGCATATCGTACATCTATTCTTCTTCTGTGGATCTGGGCAGTCTACGGCTTTGTGACCAGTATTACCACAATTAAAACATTTGAATTTATTCACTCTTTCATCGCTTTTCCTTTCTGGGGCAGTTCTATTTTCATTGCTACGTTTCGTCTTATTCGATATCGGGTTCAGCACTCTTCTTACCTCGTTATAACTACAGTATGCGTTGATGTCACTCAAAAGTTGATTACAGGTAATATACTCGTTAGATATTTTCTGCTTCAATCCTTGATCATTAATTCCGTTGACTATATGCCGTGCTATGGATGATTCATTTATATTGCCCCGTTTTCCAATAGCATACATTCTGTAATAATATTCCTGCGGCGTTTCGTCGAACTGCCGTTTTGTCTGTGCCATTCTAATGTGTACATCGGCTGCATTTACATTTTGAGGGAAATCTAAAAGAAATTTGTTAACAAACTGAGGCCAAGACAGAAATACCTCTTGCAGTGAGTCAACCCAATACTTGGCTGGGCCAGCCATTTTCTGTTGCACTGCAAATATAACTGATGCGTCGTCCCAGTTATAAGCTGTCTTCAATAATTCCACACGTCGCACGAATTGTGAAGGATTAATCGATTCTTCAGATGACGGATTAAACTCTGGCAAAAGTTGAATTATTTCCTTAACGTTCCCAAAGGGGTTGTGCTGAACATAACGTTGTGAAGGCTGCATAACTATTTCTGACTGCGGCGGCGCTGAATAGACACTTGTTGCAAATATCGGCGGTTGTAGATATGCGTTGTAGGGCTGCGTTGATTGAACATATCCATTGTTCGGCTGCGTGAACACTCCTGTCGGTGTTGCTGTTGTAAAATTCGAATGTGTCGTTATATGTGTTGGTACGTTGTAGCATGACGTCGCTACATTTTGCGTTGTATTTCGTGGAAGTTGAGCATGTCCGTGCAATGAAGGTGTAAACGTTGGTAAACCAGCAGAAGCACACGTGTGGACCGTTGGAATTGTTGACGTAGTCTGAAATGCACCAAAAGAAGTATTCGTTTGAACATACGATGGAATCGAACGTGATTCCGGTAATATTGTCACAACGTTTGCCACGTTTGGCAAGCTAGGCCGTGTGCCTTGCAGGGACATATTACCATCCGGTGTCGAAAACGTGTTCAAAGGGGATGATGCGTTGTTCGGCTCAAATTCTGATTGTCCACGTTGCTCCATAGATGAACGCAATTCAGTTACCATATCTTCCAAATGCGAAATTCGCTCCTGCATATCATGAGGAGATGCGAATCCGTGCAGCTCGCTTTCGTTGTTGACTTCAAGTCGTTCGATCAATTGCTTTTTGTTACCACTTTGAGAAACACCAATTTCTCTGCATTTCGCTTGCAACTGCTTAACCGTGCATTTGTGCAAATTCTCCATATTTCTTGTTGGTAGACGCTTCTTCCAATAAGACTTGTCGTATCCCACTTCTGAGAAAAATGTCAAGTGATCGATTGAAGTCTGTTGGTTTCCGTATACTCAAATGAAATACAACGACCGTTTTTATATTAAATTAAGAATTCACAAACGTTTATTAAAATCAATTATACGAGCTTAAACTAGTACGCCTTGTCAGGTTGGCTTCGTATCTTCAACTACGTTACATTTTTAAAATTCAGGGTTGTATCCGGGTTGCATGTAATCGTATATTTTCACATGTATGCAACAAAAGGTATCTACTACTACTTTTAACTTGACAATTGTAATATCCTCTAAACTTTGTGTACATTTTCACTTTGTTCCCAACACAGTATTATGTTAAAAGCAAAAGAACATCAAAAGATTGATTAATGTAATGGCAAGATTTCCAAGAAAAAAAACCACCTTTATAAAGTGACACGGCAAAGCTGGTCAAATATATAATATGTCAATTTATCCTCCATAATCCAAACTTTCTCCCTTCTCATGGAGAGCATCGTCTCGTTTACTTTACCCAAATAAATCTAATGATAGCTTTTTGTCCCTTACAGCTAGAACACGGAAACAAAATGACGTCCCCCAGTGCCATTGTAAACAGGCTCAGTTTGGGCCAGACCCTTCTAATCGAAACAAATCGAGAACTCCTAATGGGAACTCTATCGTACATAAATGAAAAACATTTAATGTTGGAACTGGACAATGCTCGAGACGTCAAAACAAATTTCACATACCAATCGCCACAGATGTTGGCCTATCAACAAATGAAAAGCATTAAAATCGTTGCTGATGAGACTGCAGAAGATTCAAGTGATATGACAACGGAATCAGATGAAATCAAGCAAAATGTGTATAAAGAAGAAGAAATTAAATTACCCAACAACAAGGCAACATCAAAGGAACAAAGAGATCACTCGGTTAGTAGCAAAGAACCATGCGAAGGATTTAGCATACAACTCTCAGCCATGGATTTTCAATTACTACAAACCCAATATGACTCTTTGGTGTATATAACACAAACTGATCAAAAATATCATAAGGCTGTGGCAGATATAAGATCTCAAACAATGATTGGCTTGCTCATTGACCCCTTAGAATGTGCCAGACATCGTAAAACTTCGTTGATAGCCGTGGCGACACCAAACTCAATTTATTTATTTGATATCTTAAGTTTAGGTAAAGTTTTCAAAGAGCTGCGTTCAATATTGGAATCTTCAGAGCGGCCGCGTAAGGCCATGCATTATGGCAATCGTTTTGTGGATCATTTTAAACATCGCCATGGCCTAGAGTTGTCGGGAATATTCGATACATTTGTAGCATATTGTTTGGTAACCGATGAAAAGACAAACAAATCGCTTGAGCAGACGGTACAGCAAGTTTTTAACATTTCCAATGTTTATTTTAAATTTGATATGGAACAAAATGTAAGTGTGGGTCTTAATTTAAAATTGTATCACTTTAATAAATAAGTTTTTAATCTCTCTTTAATAGATAAACACCAATCCATATGTCCGGCCGCTATCTGCAGCATATCGCTTAAGAATTGCAAAATTGGTGGCATTCCAACTGAAACTCTATGATCATTTATTGCACGAACATATGCTGAGAAATTTCTACAAACAATGTCAGAAATTCTCCCTGACATTGGTCCACAATGAAGATGATTATGATGTGGCTCAACAGCTGCATTCCAAAAGTACACTCGGTCATGATCACATACAGCCAGATGGCAATTGGAAAGATGTGCTGGCAAGTAATTTTGAATTTCAAAGTAATGATGATGACAACAATAAAAACTAAGGGACACTTTTTAAAAACGAAGTCACTAGTTTTAAAACTACTCTAGCTAATGCTATTCGATGCTTGTCACTCACATTATTAAATAATGTGAGTTATTTTATTTATTTATTCATTCGCTTTTAATGGGAGCTTTAACTAATTCCCACTGAGAGAATATCTATTAATTTATTTTTCTTGAATTTATTTAAAATGAAATCTACTCATTGTCCTTGTACAAAACAAATCTCCATATCTCACCCGACTCTATATTTTAAGCTAACTTTAAGTAAGAAACTCTTTTAAAATGTACAGCATGATACAATTTGCAAGACAGATAAGTTTTTTTTTTAATGAAACGGTTTTAAAATATTTGAATTTTTTTTGTTTTCCCACCCCCAGAGAAATTATCTATAAAAGTTTTCTGATAAATTTTACTTGCATTATTTTAATGTTTTTTTATCTCGTAAACGAAAATAATGTTGATCGATTGCAGAACGGCAAGAATGTTAAAGTTTTTACTACGATGACCAATTTTTCCTTTGTGATATCGAAAAAAGTAAATTCAGGTCCTGGAACAGAGCATATACCAGTTGTTGGATTTTCTAACATTTTTTGCCATTGTCGACAAAAATTGGGACACTTTTCATATAAAAGGTAAATCGAAAGATAGAACATTGCTTCTATCGGTAGGACCATGACAAAACAATAAAGGTAAACTCATTTGCTAAATTTAATATGGCAATCCTTTTCTGACGAACTCGACCTTGTCATTTTATACCCTCAGCCATAAGATTAGAGAGGGTATATATCATGTGATACGGTCAAAACGTACCTCATGGAAATAACTGTTTTAGACCGGTTAGGACATTTGGAGTCGATCTAGCGATATCCGTCCGTCCGTCTGGATGGTGAGCACGAAACTCTCGAAGGGAGTATCCGATTTGATCCAAACTTGGTACATCGTAATATTATTATTAAAAATAGATCAAGTTCGGAGATGGGCAATATCGGACCACTCCATCAAGTATCTCCCCCACAAAGGGCGCAATATAAAAAAAAAAACATATTTTACTGCACAGAAAGAGAAATGATGAACCGATTTTGCTCCAACTTTGCAAATCCTAATATTTGCCTCAGTGCTAGGTCAGGTACGAAATTGAACAATATCGGTCCACTCCATCAAGTACCTCCCCCACAAAGGGTCAACATTTTCAATAATTGTTATAAAATGTGATGTAAGAGTCTGATTGTCTTGAAATTTTACGCATCTCAATATTTTCATTAACCCAAGGTCTGGTGTTAAGGTGTAATATATCGGTCCTCTCCTTCTGGTACCTCCCCTCCCCCTAATATTTACGTCAGTGCGAGGTCGTGTACGCAAATGGACAATATCGGTCCACTCCATCAAGTAGCCCCCTCACAAAAGGGTCAACATTTTCAATGATTAAAACTCTTATATTATGTGATATAAGAGTCCAATTGTCTTCAAATTTCACACATCCCAATATTTTTATCAACCTAATGTCTGGTGTTAAGATGGAATATATCGATAAGCACCTTCTGGTACCTCCCCCACAAAAGGTCGAGATTTTCAAAAAAAATATTTTCTGCACAGAACGATGAGCAATAATCCGATTTTGTTTCAACTTTGCAAATCCTAATATCTGCATGAGTTCTAGGTCAGGTTCAAAAATGGAAAATATCGGTCAACTCCATCAGGTACCTCCCCCACAAATGGTCAAAATTTTGAATAATTACAACTCTTATAAAATGTGATGTAGGGGTCCGATTGTCTTCAGATTTCACACATCCCAATATTTTTATAAACTCCAGATATGGTGTTACAATGGAATATATCGGTCCACTCCTTCTTCCTTCTTCCACTCCCACAAAAGGTTGAAATTTTGAATGTCCATTAAGCTCATAAAACGCGAAATTAATATCTGATTCCACTTAGACTTGGCATATCTGAATATTTCTATTAACAAAGGATCTGTTATAAAGACGGTAGAGATCGGACCATTCCATCTAATACCTCCCCCACAAGGGGTCAAAGTTTTGAATAACCAAAACGTTTATAAAAACCGAAATAAGCATCAGGTTCTCTTTATATTTCACACATCCCATTATTTCTACAAACACAAGATCTGTTGTGAAGATTTAGTACCTCCATCTTCGTCAATTTTTTGACCAATACGAATTGAGACGACTACACCATCCTGAACTTAATTGCGCCCAAACTAACCTGGTTTGTCTAGGCAGCTGGCGTTCTTCAATGTATGGGGGGAGGACTGCGACAGGTTTGGCAGTACAATTAAAGAGGTGCGACGACTTGTGCCGGTCTGTATCACACGCTATAGCTCTCAGATAAATGTTTCATCCGATTTGGGGTTTTAAGTCCATCATATGCGTATTATGCACTCCACAAGAATGATATTTGGTACCGGTCAACAGATACTACTCGAAAATACCTCTGGCTAATTGTATCGAGATTGGTTCAGATTAAGATATAGCTCCCATATATATCTTTATCTGATATCAGGTTTACTGTGCACCAAATGGCTAATATCAGCCCAAATGGACTGAATTTTGGCAAATACGACTGAATTCATCCTAGAAACTAGTACTTTAAACTTGGTTTAAATCGGTTCAGATATAGCAACACAACAATGTTCTTTGGTACCAGATATCAGATACAGCTCTGAAATAAGTGTATTAAATTTTGTCAAGATCGGTTCAGATTTGGATATGACTCCCATATATATCCTCAACCGATTTTGAGTTAATTGTGCACCAAATAGCCAATATCAGTACAAATGATCTGAATTTTGATATATCTCACCGAAGTCAGCCTCGAAGCAAGTACATCAAATAATAATAAAATATTTAACGCAAAAAATGATTGAAATACCAGTACTTTCATATATATGATTCAAATGGAAAAAAATGGTTAATATCTTTAAAGCGCGCCCCGCAATGTAAGTTTCTTTCAATCTTGATTTCGAAAATTATTTTGTTTTTATACCCTACAACACTATGTGTTGGAGGTATTATAAGTTTGATTAGGCCAAAAATTATATAACACCTCGAAATAATGGTTTCCGACATAGAAAAGCATATATGGATCTTCCTATCTCTCCGAGCAGTCGATCTAGCTATATATGTCCGCCCGTCCCTCTGTCCATGTTAATTTGTAATCACTCTACAGGTCGCAATTGTGGCCCGATCCTTACGAAATTGAAAATGGAGGTGGGATTAGGGTCAGAATAGAACCCTATTGTTTTTCTGATTTTGCACTGCTATATAGGCCACAATTATGAACCAATCGACGTGGGAATTTGCATGAGTTTAGGGCTGGGCAGAATCTAACCAATTTGCATAATATTTAGCGGGTAAAATGAATCATAACTTTTATGTCAAAAATACGAAAATTTCCACTAAACCGCGAATATTTTTGATCGCTGCCATTACAGTATGCTAATAGCCAAGATATCATCGGATATGTATCAAAATAGGTACAATATAAATGTATGTAAAAGAAATTGATCTTAGTCATTCATTATAAGTCAAGAACCGCTGGACAATTCTCATCAATTCGGTATCTTGCCCGAAAAGGATAATATCTAAGAAAATCGCGTAAAAATATGACAATAAAAAAGTGAATATATATTTCTTTAATTTTTGTCATATTTTTTATCGCATGCGATTTTTTTTTCAATTTGATTTACAATTTTAAATTGTACTTTTTCAAAAGTTTTTGATTTCGTGTGAGCAGTACGTTATTCGTTTCGTTTGTTTTCGTTCGCTGAAAATAACAACAACTGTAAGATATTTGACAGTTGAAACTATTCCATAATAAGACATAGACCATTAATCCAGAGAAATTTTTGAAAAACGATGTAATGTGTTTTTCGTAGTCGAGTGAGTCGACAGCGTTAATCAGCATATTGACTATGCAAAAGCATGCTGAGAGAGTTTGTGTACTTCTGGCACTGAAATGTTTGTGGTTTTGTTTTGTTTGGAGTACAAAACGATTGAAAGAATTTTAAAAGTTTGTGTCTTTGCGAGAGGGGAACGTTAATCGTTTCGTTTGTATTCGTTCGCTGTTTACACTGCCTCCTGTGGCTTTGATACCCTGACGCGTTCTTCTCCCTAATTTGAGTTTCTGCATCGCCACCACTAATACTACACTTCTATTGAATCCCTGCAACATTTTTGATGCCTCCAGTCTGAAATGAGATTTAAATAATATATACAACAGATTCCCAGATTTATTATTCATCATTACCTTAAGAAATCGGTCCGAAATGGGTCTTAAATTCGAGTGATTTTGCTTTTTACCAAAAAAAAAAAACTATTTTTAACTGACAATTTTCACAAAAAATCAAAACTAATTTGTCAATAAAGAACAGATTTGGGAAAAGTTTATACAACATAAGTGTTTCTCAAGCATTGTTGAAAGATTTTTATTACAAACTATTTTTATAATGTTATTCACAAGCTGTATTGTATTTTTGGTACGTTGGGTAGTATGGTATCATAAATGTAGGGCACTGAAACCAATCGATTTTAATTTGTTATTTGCCTGGCTTAACATGCCAAATTAATTTGTGCATATATGTGTTCTTTTTAATCATAAAAATTGTTGAGAAAATATTCAAATTCAGTTGTAATTAAAATGCGTATTACAACGTACGTATAGATTAAAAATTACAATTTTTGTGAGAGATATATAGAACATGATTTTGAAAATAAATTTTGACCTTTCATTCAGTTTTCGCGTTTATAAATTACTTATTCAAAATCAATGCAGCAATTGTTTGTATTTTGATAGTTTTGATAGCAATTCTGACATTGCAAGCCAAACAGGTAAGACCTCTTTACTTGCAATTTTTTCAAAGTTAGCCTACCTTGTCTTCAGTGTACTATGGTACCATGATGTCTTCCAATTGTATCATGCTCGACTACTGAAAATAGCAAATTACTTTCTCATTTCTGAAATCGAGTGAAAACTATAGTGGTGTATTGAAATGAATTTGTATTCTTTATTATTATTACTGCTAGTTTTTATTGGAAGTTTGTTTCTATAAATTTCTTAAGATATTATTGAATACATACTTTATGTAAATTTTATAATTTTTTATTGAATTACTCAGAGACTGTTTCATTAAATGAATTATACATTTTAGTTTTTATAAAATATGAATTACAAATTAGAATAAAAAATTGCAAAATAACCGGAAAACGTATACAAATTAACTCTATTTTTAGTAGATAGAAAACAACTTTTGGAATTGGATGATCTTGGTCTATGTAGACAATACAAATACCAACTCAAAAATTCAGTTAAACAAAGTCGCCAAAATCATCAAAATATCGAATATACGAAGATTTGAACCTACATAGGTAATTTTATGCTGTGGGAGGTAGAACCCATTGCAACTACCAACAAATACCAAATTTAAAGCCATTCCGGTGAAAAGTGTAACACAAATCATCAAAATTCTGAATATTTGAATTTCGCAGACGAACAAACAAAAAGAATACACAGGGTGAGATGAAAAAACTGCAACCAACTTCAGACTGCTGTCATTTCTAAGCCACTCGCCCGACAGCTGTTAAAATTATTCCAGTGGCAGCTCATTATATTGTTTACAAGCGTACAAAAGCATTTTGGTGAGAAAAAAGTTATTCGTGATGGAATTCAAGCGTGATAGTATGATTTCTTTATATTTGGCTGGAAAATCACAAGAGGCTATCGTTAGAGCACTCCAGCATTTAAATGTTAACAACTCTTTTGTGTCTCGTACCATCGCTCGTTAGCGTGATACTGGTAGCGTAGCCCGACGTCAAGATAGTGGACGGAAGAAAACAGCAACATCAGCAAAAATGGTTCGAAAAAGTAAAGAAGCTTCTTGTGCTCGTGAGCCGAACATATCGTAATATTCCATTCGACAAATATTGAAAATGTGCTCAGGGTAAAGCCATTGAAATTCCAAAAAGTGCAAAAACTTACACCGCAACAAAAAGAAAATAGACTCAAAAGAGGTTAAAAGTTGCTTAGCTTGGCCGAAAGTTGTGAACTGCGGAATTTGGTTTTCTCCGACGAGAAAACATTCGTTGTCCAGCAGTTTCTAAAGATCGTGTTTACTTGCCAAAGAGGTCAGCTGAAAATGTCCACCTTCCGTTGGCCACCAGAACTCAAGCGCCGGCCATGGTGATGGTGTGGGCCGCCATAACAACCGATGGTCGCTCTCCAAATAAATGCCGAATATTATCTCGAAAATATTCTAAAGGGTGTATTAAAGCCTTGGACACGCAAACATTTTGGTCACAGACCTTGGACATTCCAACAGGACTCAGCACCTCCGCATTAGCACTCGCCACCCAAGAATGGTTAAAAAATGAGTTTCCTCCCTTCATTTCCAGCGCACAATGGCCACCAAAATCTCCGGATACCAATCCGTTGGACTATTGTGTCTGGAGTATTTTGGAAAGCAAGGTTGGCACTAGAAAATACCAAAGTTTCGATCAACTCAAGCAAGCGCTTCGCCGGTAATGGGTCAAAATACCGCAGAGCAACATTCGGGCAGCGTGTGACGGTTTCAATGGCCGTTTGAAAGCCATAATTCGTGCCAAAGGTGACCAATTCGAAATAATCTAAACTTATTTTAAAATTTGATGCTATTTCCGACATTTTTTGCTTTCATTTAATAAAATTTAAAAAAATGTAAAAATTAGGGCGTTAACTCTGGTTCAGTTTTTTTATCTCACCCTGTATACTTTGTATGGTCTAAAATGGATATTTGAAGCTGTTACAAACGGAATGACATACTATGTTGGAGGTTATAAACATTCAACTCTTTACTTGAGTTTTTGATAATACTTTACAAACTTCTGACGAAATTCCTTTTGCCTGTTACAAACAAATGCACAAAGACATAATACCCTGACCACCTTGTGGTGTAGGGTATAATTATGACCGCATTCTGTATGTGCCAGATTTGGTATATATTTGGAAAGCCTACCAATCTTCTGACAATACTACAAATGCAAAAAACAGACAAATGCATTCCAAACATTTGTTTGTTAGTTATCCTGATGCATCATCTTGTATTCTTATACCATGGAATTCATTTAGGGCGAATCAGGGAATTATTTTATCATGAGGCGAATTCAAGATTGCAACAATTTGTTTTGATGCCTGGGTTTTGACAGCCGATTATTCGCTACTCCAGCTGATTGCTTTGTTTTCATGCCTCATTCGTAAACAAGATAGTTCTCGGCGATTTTATTTCCTGCTAATTTTTATCGGACATTATCTGTTTGCTTTCCATTTGCTGGGAACGTTTTTTATTTTGTTGTCAAAAACATACTTCTACTCTTGGAATTGGACACATTGATTGGACAGGATTATCAGGAATTTATATTAAAAAAAGAAGTGAGTAAAAACCCAAAATTAATATTTTCCAATTAGATAATGAGCTAATTCGATTATACCCAGCGATAAAATCTACATTTCCAAACAAAATGTATGATTATGCTGCTTCCGACTCAGTATTAAGCGGTGTATCCAATATATATTTGGTGAGCATTGCTACTGCACTTTTGGCGGTGATTATTGCCCTGTACTTCAGTAACTTACTCAAGGAAGATGAAAGCGTAAGTGAATCAAAACTTTGGCTTCTAATAATAATGGTCATAAATGAGCAATATCTTTTTAGGAAATTGTTGTCCGAAAGAGTGTCTATGATGAAGATGATGTAGAAAATGAATATCTGCACGACAATTCCACAGAAATCGAAAATCACTTTGTTTCCAATAATGAACCCTATATGGAAACATATTCGGATGAAATGAGTACTGACGAATATGATGATGAAGAATTGGAGTATATAAAAGGCAATTATGGTACGTCCACAGAAACGAATAGTGATTATGATGACGACGATGATATACATACGGATGGTTTGGTTGGTAAATTGAAGTCAAGAAGAGCAAAAGAATTGGAGGCGCAGCTTACAAGGGATCAGCTGGAGGAGGAAAGAAGGTATGTGTGTGTAAAACACTTATTTTAAGTTTTTGATGATTAAAAAAACAAACTTTTTAAGAATGACCTTACAAAATTTGCAGGGAGCATCTGTATAAAATGTCATTTGTAAATACAAAGTGTGTGGGTTCGACATAGGTACTCCATACTAATAATTTTTAATTTAAATAGATTACTTATAGTCCTTGGCATTCTGCAGTAAGGTAGTTTGTTAAACATTACATTATTTACCACAAGAAAAAAAATAAGTTTTGTCTCTTTTCAAAATTGTAGAAAACAGTCGATGTGTGTTTAAACTTTTGGTTTATTGTATAGTAATTACCATCCTCAAATTGGTTTTTTCTAAACAGTCTATATATGGAATTTAGAACTTTTTAAAATCTTTAAATGTTCTAGCTTTATAAAAATCATGAAAATGTGTGCTTTATTATAACAAATCCCTGCTGAGAAGAATCATCTTATAAATATAGAGGGTTTAAAAAATTGAGCAATCTTTTCACAAATACAGGGTGAGATAAAACTGCAACAAAGTCAAAAGCCACAATTTTTACATTTTTTAAATTTTATTGAACGAAAGCAAAAAATGTCGGAAATAGCATCAAATTTTAGAATAAGTTTGGATTTGTTTTTTGTCCCATTCCCGGCGAAGAGCTTTCTTGAGTTGATCGACACTTTGGTATTTTTTAGTGCCAACCTTGCTTTCCAAAATACTCCATATTTGGTGGCCATATTTTCGCGATAATATTCGGTAAACACGATCATTTTGTTGGTTTACAAACTGCTGGACAATGAACGTTTTTTCACCGGAGAAAACGAAATTCAGCAGTTCACCACTTTCGGCCAAGCGAAGCAACTCTTTATCTCTTGAGTCTATTTTCTTTCAGTTGCGGTGTAAGTTCTTGCACTTTTTGGAATTTTAATGGCTTTACCCCGAGCTCATTTTTCAATAGTTGCCGAATGGAATATTGCGATATGTTCAGCTCACGAGCAATTTTTCGGCCACTGTGACGTGGGTTTCGATCAAGTCGCTTCTTTACATTTCGAACCATTTCTGCTGATGTTGCTGTTTTCTTTCGTCCACTTCCTTGACGCCGGGCTACGCCAGTAGCATGGTAACGAGCAATGTTGCGAGACACAAAAAATTTATTCACATTTCAATGCTGAAGTGATCTAACGAAAGCCACTTGTGGTTTTCCAGCCAAATATAAAAAAATCACACTATCACGCTTGAATTCCATCACGAATAACTTTTTTCTGGAAAATTCTCACCAAAATGCTTTTGTACGCTTGTAAACAATATAATGAGCTTAGCAGCTGTCGGACGAGTGGCTTCGAAATGACAGCAGTCTTAAGTTGGTTGCAGTTTTTTCATCTCACCCTGTATGTATAACAAAATAAACACAGGAAATTAACTATAATTCCATTTTAATTTCATCTTTTTGCAGAATTGAGAGAGAACAATTAGCTGCAATATTTGAGCTTTTGAAAAAACAAGAAGCTGAATTGAATATGAAAGAAATAGACGAGAACGAATTAAACGCCCAATTAAGCCTATATCGTTGAAACCTGTCCACAAAACCAGCACTTTAAACAAATGGTTTACAAATAGTCCAAAGGAAAGTACTATAAACATAAACCACCTTACAGTTTTTAGACATCTAGACGTAATGTAATAGAATATATTGTAGAATTATATTTTTATAAAAAACTTTTTTTAGACATTAAGTGCCAGAGATTGTTGTACAAAATTAACACCATGTTCGCAATGCGAGCACGTTTGTTTTTCAAAGGATTTTTGTTGAAAATTTATTTCGTGATATTAGATAAATGTTTGTTAATATGCCTAGTTGTAATAGTTGTCATAAACCATATTGTTACTAAACAAAAGAAAATGTAGAAAATAAAATTTAGACAAATTTACTTTGAAATGTATTTTTTATGCTACTAATTCTGGGGACTGAGTTCTTGTTCTATTAAACAAGAAAATAAAAATATTTTCTTTATAAAATTCTCTACTTTCAAAGAGGTTTTTTCAAAAACTAACATTAAGAGGTTTATCTATCAGTCCAAATATTTATGTTCAGCGGCTAACATCTAGAATTGTTCGGTATATGCTCTCTTCATTTGTCCTTGTTACACTAAAGCGAATGAAAAAAGCGTACGCAATATCTTTTAAAAAAAAGTTTATTTTAATGTCCTCTTCTTTGTTTTCCGCCAAGGACTCACTCGACTTAAGATTACGCTCATCGAAATGGTCGACATATGACCACTCAAAAATGTGTGTTGATGCTGTAATGTCTTAAAGCCTTTAAATATTAGATTAAAGATCGTAGAAGAAAAGCACAATACAATTATTTAATTAGTACAATACATTTGTTAATTTCTTTGTTTTGCATTTTATAACTGCGCTCTTATTTAACATAATTGGGATTTTTCTTAAGTATAACGAAACCTTCCATTATAGGCGTCAGAGCAATATATTCCTCTGTTGCCAATTCGGCACGTTCGCCCATAGCCAAGAGAACGGGTGTAGTGTGTGTTTGGAAACCGGTAATGGTTTTGGGTTTGCCAGCTTGTCCCACAACATCAATAGCCATGCCGACACGTACGGGCACTTGCAATTGGTTCAGATCTTCATCGAAGGTTACCAACATGCGAGCCTGCATGGCTGGTACCAAGGTGTAAAGCAGGTAATGGGAGCGTCCCAAGATCAAGTTTTTAACATCAAGCAATGACACTAATGTGGCCATAAGACCAGCCACTGCCATGGGATTCATAAGTTGACGATCACTGTGATAGGGACTTAGGGTAAGCGTGCCCTTACCCAAATGTGTTAAACTTTGGGCAATGCGTACCATAAACAAATTGCTTGGATCCTTGGAGTGATATTGTGCCAATTGACGTAACATAGCGGCCAAACGAGCATTATTGGTGCCAGCACCAACAAGACCCATTGCAAAAATGGCATTGTGTGCAACCTCGGCATCGCTGTCGTGTGAAAATTTACTCAATGTATCCAAAATATTCAGTTTTGGATTGGAGGCAGATATCAAACCCAAGGCTAAGGGCACTGCACGACGTATACAAGGTTCACAGTAACGTAACAAGTTGCCAAAGGAACGGAACGCCATTTCAGCACCAATATCTTCTCCCATAGCTATCAAAGCAATACCCAAAACAGCAATGGATTGTGTGGCAGAAAGATCCTTTTCTTTTTCCTTCTCCTTTTCAGCCTTTTCCTACGAAAAAAATACCTTTTTATTAGGGAACTTAATAATATACTCCCAGACTTACCTTTTCCTTATTGTTCTTATCCTTCTTATTTTTATCCTCGTTTTCGCTATTGCTTGAGGTCTCATAATGATCCGAGCAAATATGCAATAATTGTTGAATTTTCAAAACATTACCAGTTCCGGCATAGGCGCAAATATCTACCATGGTCATGGCCATCGATTTGTAGGGCTCCTCAACAACTTCCAAGGTTAACATGACTGCTTCTGTGGCCTTTTGACGTCCCAAATAGAGAAAACCCAAACCCAAAAACAGAAAACGGGCAAATGTATCTTTCAAATCGGATTTGGTTAGAAACATGATGGTCTGCAATAGAATCTCTGTGATTTCAGCATTGCAGGAGCCAACACCAATCAAGCCCAGGGAAAGGGCCGTAATACCCATTATTTCAACGCTTGGTTGTTGAGAGAAAACAGTCTTCAATGTATCGATGACAATGGAACGATTTGAGCCAGCATAGGCAATGCCCAAACCTAGGATAGCTCCAATACGCATGGAAGTGTTCTGATTGTGAATATAATCAGAGAGCAAGGCATGAGCAGGATCAACTTCGTTGCGTATACCACAATTTACAATGCCACAAGCCAATAAAGCGCCTGACTTTATATAATCTTCCGTGGAGTACAAATATTTATCAATCATGGTCAAGCCGCCATCAACATCCCACAACAAAATCAGACCCAATGAAGCAGTAGCTGATAACATGCCATGTTCTTTGTTCTTATACAGCCATTTATTACCATCTTCGGAAAGAAGTTTGTCAACGCCAAAGCCAGCGTTAACGAAACCATTTACAAAACTGGCAGCTAGATTTTGTTTGGCAGAATCCACCTAAGATATAGAAATTAAATAAAATGTGATTTTACAAACATTATTAAATTAAACTGAACCATACCTGAATTGAGGCAAATCTGGTCCTGGCATTATCCAAATGAGATTTGTAGATATCTTCAGGAGTCTTGGGTTCCATAATATCCAACTCTCGTGCCAAATTCAAAAAATGTTTGTTCAAATTTGCATTCGACATAATTTCCATTAAATCATCATAGTCGGGGAATGATTCATCCAACTCCAAACAAACCTGTTGGCGAGCCAACATAAATGCCAATTGTTTTTGTACAGCAGCATCCTTTGTCTCCTTAAAGATTTCCGTTATCTTGTCCATATCATTTAACATCAAAGCCAAACGCATTGCTTGGGTGTATTGGTTAAATTTACGGGACAATTGAAGTGCCGTTTCCAAAATAATAGTATTATCGGGTTCTGGGACATAGGGATAGCATGACTGCAGATACAAACATACTCTTGGATATGCTGACTCATCTACATAGTCTTGCAGTAAATGCAGATGATCTATTTCGATAAGTAAATCGCAGGCATCGGCCTCAGCATTGTGTTCCATATTGTAGGGTATGATCTGTTTTACCAACTCAATCAATTGGGCCCTAAATTCTCCTGATGTGTCTAAATAATGGGCAGCAATTTCACCAGATAAGTGACGCACATACTCATGACCCCATTCGCCGATTTTTTGCGATCTGTCGCACAAGAAACGATAGGCCAAACAATCCTTACCACTGCCCATGGTCATGGACAGGACTGAAATAATATCGGCGCACAAATAGCGCGTCTTTTCGTCGGGCATTTGCTTGTAAAGGGTCTTCATAGTTTCATAATGAGGCCTCATGAATTTCAATGGCTTTGGTACCGATGTCATTGACGTTGTGGAGGCTCTTATCAATTTTGCCATCATTTCCAATGCAGGCATGTACAATTTGGCATCTGGCTCCTGTAGACGCTGCACTAACATGTCTAATTCTTCCTGTAGCTGCTGATCTTCATCAGACAATTCTTGTTCTTTTTCATCTTTGCTTGGATCTTTTTTGTCTGCTGCTGCTGTCTTGGGATTCTCATCCTTCTTTTCGCTTGTGGCAGTAGGTTTCTTTTCGGCTTTTGCGGCTTCGCTTGGCATTTTGAACGGTTACCTCAATTTATTTTCTTAAATAGCTGGCAATTGAAAGATTACCAAATATTAAACACATTGAAGGGTTTATATTATAATAATTCGACGTAATTACCTTTAATTTTCCTATTACAAATCGTAATTGTATTGCAAAAATTCGCGTTTTCCTCAACAATTACAGTGCAAGTTTTCGTTTGTCAGAAGTATGGGGTATTGCCAGTCTTAAAAGATTGTCACAAAGTTGCTGAGTCGAAACAGTGTTGTATCAACAATGCATTTAAGAAAGGGACAGATATGCGTACTGACAAATTACAAAAATACACTCTAAAAATTTAAGTTTTACAGAAAAAGGCAGTGTTAATCCTAATAGCGTATTTATACTGTTAAAGATTAACCCCCTGGTTTCGTGTTGTTTTGATGTGCAAAATGATCATGGTAGAAGAATATAGGTAGACACATCGACACAGATGCTGGGACAATGAACTGTCAAACCAATTTTGGAATTGAAAATGTTGAATGAAAAATTATTTAAATTTGCAAAATTGTTGAAAATAAGTTAATAATCGGTTGGTACAACATGCCAAAAATCAAAAAAAAAATTATTTTTTTGGACAACCGAAACGCAACTTCGTACAGCCGGGCCACAAACGATACAATCTTGTATACAACCTGTCCAAGTTGTACAACCAGTTGTATCATGTGTGGTTTGTATAATAGAGACAATTGATGTTGGAAAATAAGTGATTGCACACATTAGTGACATTCTGTCATGGTGAAGTATGGTGAGGTAGAGATACCAGCTGATTACAATTTGTTTCCAAGTGTGTCCGGCTTAAAAACAAAACATTTTCAAAATCAATGATCAATCAGTTTTGCCATGAAATTGAAAAATTAAACAGTAAATTTTAGCGCAATTCATACCTGTATTCTTCTACTATGTACTGTACACAGTGATGCTTCCCGTTAGTATGTAACATGGTAGAAGAATAGAGATAGATGTATTAACGCTTGGGAACATTGATATGTAAAAAATTTTAAAATATTTTTTCAAATATAAGTAGTGCCATGTTTACGTTAGAACTTTTTGTAGTGTTAACCTACTTTGAGAGGATTTATTTGAAGTAAAAGTAATGGATATGACAATTTAAATCCAAATCCAGTGGGTTAACCCTCATATATATAAACGTACTTTAGGACCATGGCTCAATAAAAAATGTCGATTCAACTTCAAGGAAACTAGGAAAATGCAACTATGTACTGAAGTTATATTTATGTACTTACACCTTAAGGCATGATTACGTTAGAGCTTTTTCCGGGGTTAACCTTCTTTATGAAGATTTATTTGAGGTATAGGCAATGGAATTGACTTTAAACCGGCTGGGTTTTCTAAATCCCTTACATAAACATAAACGTACTATTAGGAGGATATAAATGCGGCTCAGATGATGTTTGCATGGTAAAAGAATAAAGGTATACGCATCGACACAGCTGCTGGGACAATGAACTGTCAAACCAATTTTGGAATTGAAAATGTACAATGAAAAATTATTTATATTTGTAAAAATAGTTAAAATCGCGTATTATAATAACCTCCAAATCACGTCGTATAAGAACACATCTAAAAATCTAATTATATATGAAAAGACATTTAAAATTTTTTGACATATCAATGTTGATGTATCAATAATAATACAGGTATTCTTCTACAGATTTTTTTATTTTTATGTAAATTTCGCACCAGATTGAATATAAATCCTGATAATGTGTGTAAGTCTGTATAATGCCATGTTTACGTTAGAACTTTTTGTAGGGTTAACCTACTTTGAGAGGATTTATTTGAAGTAAAAGTAATGGATATGACAATTTAAATCCAAATCCAGTGGGTTAACCCTCATATATATAAACGTACTTTAAAGTTACACATATCGGGTGTTGCATGGACGTAATTTCAGTTGTACAATACATAAATTAAGCACATGTTCTCCAAACACAGCGTTTTACGATGACACAACATTTATTAGACATATAATCAATTGAATTAACAATCTAAATGAAAAATTCGTATTGACCTAAAAACTCTAAGAAATTAAAATATTAAAACCCAACAATATGCTTAAAAACAAAATTTGATTCGAGTTATCCCTTTTAATTGACCAATATCAATAAGTATATTTGAACACAGGTAAAGTGCAACGTTGAATAAATTAATGATTTCTGGATCACATTTTTGGCTCAGTGTACCATATGTTCACTGGGCGATGAAACAGATGATGATTCACTGAATATTGTTCCACAAAATATACAACTGTGCTTGTCCAGAATATACTCTATTCTCTTTGGAGGAATTTAATAAGCATCTGCTAAGAAATTAAAATATTAAAACCCAACAATATGCTTAAAAACAAAATTTGATTCGAGTTATCCCTTTTAATTGACCAATATCAATAAGTATATTTGAACACAGGTAAAGTGCAACGTTGAATAAATTAATGATTTCTGGATCACATTTTTGGCTCAGTGTACCATATGTTCACTGGGCGATGAAACAGATGATGATTCACTGAATATTGTTCCACAAAATATACAACTGTGCTTGTCCAGAATATACTCTATTCTCTTTGGAGGAATTTAATAAGCATCTGCTTTATATTTTACAAAAAATCAATTAAAATATACAGAGAACCTCCCGCATAATGGACAAAAACAGTGCTGCCTTAGTAAAGAAACTACAATCCGAATTGGAAGTCTATCAAAACTTGCAAAAAAGTACGTATCCATTTTTGGGAATTGTTCATGCTATGATAGTCTACCACTTAACCACAAAATATGAATGTATGGGTGTATGTTTGTTTCCTTTTAGCATGCATGAAGTTGGTGAAGCAGCGTACATTGTTGGAAAGCCAGTTGAATGAGAACAAGTGCGTCTTGGATGAATTGAACCTATTGGCTCCGGACAATAAAGTTTACAAATTATATGGACCGGTTTTGGTGAAGCAAGAGCTCGAAGAATCTCGTCAAAATGTAGGAAAACGTATTGAATACATTTCCAAAGAGTTGAAGAGCTCAACAGATACCTTGGAGAGTGTGGAAAAGGATATGGCCAAACATCGCGAATCAGTACAAAAATTACAACAACAATACCAAGTTGCTTTGGCAATGAAGTAAACTGAACGTGCACAATCTGTATTTACTAAGCTATATAATCGGCAAATGATTAAAAAATTAAAAACTCAAAAAATAAAACATGTAATTCAATAATTTTCAATATGTACTAATTTTGTTAATGATATTGCTGAATTAAAATATGAAAGCACAATCCAAGTGAGTACCGAAAGCTTTAACATTCTAATGCTGAATATTTTGGCTATATAGTTTTCTACCGTTAATGATCCCAAATTACCAAATAACCCTTGAAAATGTCGCTGAGATTTTCAAAGTAACATTTGCGAACAAGGGGAGGTCTAATCAAGCGAGGAAGTTAAAATATCAAATCGAAGTTTTTTTTCGACCGGAAGACAGTCTTCACAGCTTTATAGTTCTGGAACACGTCAAAAAATATCAAACATGATGGAGTTACTTAAAACTGTTCGAAAGTTATATCTAAATAATCGATAAAAGGCCCAATTGTAGGCCTAATGTTAAAAAGACCCCCTTGTAGAAGTCCACAAAAACATACCAACTTATAGTTGACACTATATATAACCTTTCCAACATTCTACAATATGTGCAATTATCTTTCCTAGATCCAAAGTTATTAGTCTAACAATTAAATTCGCGAACCAAAGTTTCATAAATTTAATACATTTTTATTTAGCCTGCCTTCGACAGGGGCTTGGTATTTTTGTTTTTAAAACAGATTTTATTCTCCTGGTTTTCTCAACACCGTCTAAGCGAATACTGCAGTAACCGTTAGACCAATAGCTTCTAAATAATACCTGCATATATTGCCTATATCGGTTTACTTCGCGTGAAATATCAAGAAAAATACTTTTCTGAAATCATCAGAGTTTTTCTTATATTTTATTATTTTTTTATTTAATTTTCAATTAATACAGTTAACTCGGCCATAGGACAATAGACGGTTTCAAAAGATTCTATACATGACTACTCGGAAAGGTGGAGGTATTTTTAAATATTGATAAAACAATGGATTTATTTTCGTTTTTGTAGCCACAAACATCTAAAATTTATGCTGTAGCCATTTGCATATCAAAAGCATATTATAGGGAACTAACGGTTGCATCACAGCGGGATTATATATATTTTATTTTTTGTATTATTTGTTGTTTGTAAATTTAAAAGATTTCTCTATTGGTTTCAATTAATTATTATTTCAGATGCAATTGGATGTATCAATTTGCAGTCGTCGTACGATAAATCTACTATATTCGTACTTGCCAATTGACATTCACTGTAAATAGTTAACAAATCTGACAGAGAGTGACAGTGAGTTAGAATTATTTTCTTTGATAGTGCCACATCAGTCAATATCCTCAATTTCTGGATATTTTTAAAAAGAACATCGAGATTGCTAGAAAATGGGATCAGGACAAAGTGTCGAAATTCCTGGAGGTGGTACTGAAGGATACCACGTACTAAAGGTTAGTATAAATTTAAATATGAATACATAAAGTATGATATTTTCTGGCTTATCTTTAACATTTTTCTTAAACATTTTAAGGTTCAAGATAACTCGCCCGGACAAAAGGCTGGCCTGGAGGCATTTTTCGACTTTATTATTGCAATTGCTGGTACTAGACTGGATCAAGATAATGATATGTTAAAGGAACTGTTGAAGCAGAATGTGGATAAGCCGGTAAAACTTGTCGTATACTCGAGTAAAACTCAAAGTGTTCGTGAACTAACGTTGACTCCGAGCACTGGCTGGGGTGGTCAAGGCTTATTGGGTGTAAGTATACGTTTCTGTTCGTTTGAGGGTGCCAACGAACATGTGTGGCATATTTTGGAGGTGTATCCAGACTCTCCAGCTCAATTGGCTGGTCTGAGGGCCTACTCAGATTATGTCATTGGTGCTGATGCTATTCGTCATGAAAACGATGATCTATTTACTTTGATAATGACACATGAACAGCAACCTCTAAAGATGTATGTATACAATATTGATGATGATGCATGTCGAGAGGTAACGATTAAGCCCAATTCTAATTGGGGAGGAGAAGGAGCCTTGGGATGTGGCATTGGTTATGGTTATCTTCATCGTATACCGCTTCAAGCTGGAAATCCGGGTACTGTTGCTCAGCCACCGAAAAGTATACCTACTGCTGCGCCAACAATACCACCATCTGTAACCACACCTGTGGTACCAGCTACAGCAGCGACCACTGTAATTGCTCCAACATTGCCATATGTGCCTCCATTGAGCAATACATTTGCTAGTACATCGGCTGCAACGGTAACACCATCCACAACACAGCAGCAGCAGCAACCACAGCAAAGTGTATTCAAACAATACTTTAATCCCGATGATAATACGCCTGAACTGATAACAACTCCTGAGGACCCGGCTCAAAGCAATGCCAAGCAAAGTGACCAAGTTCCTGTGGAAACACAAAACAATCCTGCTGCACAGATTGCCACAACAGCTGCTCCTGAAATAAATCCCCAAAGTGTGGCGCCTGTCTTTGCACCCTTCCCTGAAGCAGTGCATGTTTCTAATCCTTCGATTCCAGCGATGCCAGTTGCAACTCCAGCTACAACCTTACCACCACCGTCGAATTTATACATACCTGGAGTAATTGAAGCACCCACGACCACGAACCTATCGAACATACAACTCCCATACCCCCAAGCCACTGCTCCCCAACAACAACAACCCCAAATACCTGCAAATATGGGTATGCCACAGACCACGGTACTTGATATGTCATCTCCGGCTGCTCTATCTTATCCAGCGGCTCAAACTATTCCCAGCTATCCCCAGATGCAGCCATCAATGGGTGGCCTTTATCCAGCACAACCAACACCTATGCCTCCACAAATGGCTTCATACATTCAAAAATAGAAAGTAGATAAAAATGGAGCTGTCGGTTATTTCTCTTTATGTTTTTCTCTTTTTAGTTTCCAATTTACCATGGTATTTCGTCATCTGTTGGTATAAGTCTGGACGAAAAAGAAAACGTTGAATCATTTTCATATATTACCACTAAAGATAACATTGCAATATACGTTTTATAATTTATATAACAAATATATGTCTATCGTCGTTATACCAGAAAGAAAGTAAATGCTTTATTAACAAATTTTTATTCCAATAAGAAATTTATATGTAAATCAATCATAATATAGTCTAAGAAATATGTATCGCCCTATATAAATCATCATAAATGATGTCACAAAAAAAAATTGATTTTCTATTTTCTTTGTGGTTTACTCAACAGAATGGACTTCTTCGCTGCTCAAAGGCTTTTGAAGAAACAAAAGATTGTTTTTTTTTTCCCGTTTTTTTTTTTAACATTTTAGCGTTTGGCAGATGTCGTTGCATCTCCCGTGTATAACACCTACGATAACAGGTGTTTGCTCTATAGAATAGATGTGTTTACTATTCGAAGGAAACATTGTTTTTTGTCGAACAGTTTGGGTTTTACTGGTATAGGCGCATCTCCACTGTTGCACCTGGAATATCAAATAAAAACTTTCCACCCTGGTGTAAACAAATTTCTGAAATACCATAGCAACAACGTTAAACTTTGTTATTCAAAAATTTATCATTTTTCAAAAAGGAATTGCTTTTTGCGTTTGGTTCTTAAATCGAATTGCTACAAAAAATGAATAATTTTGTATTTCCCGAAGAATTGAGCTTTTTTGTTGGGAGTATACGTCCATTTGAGATTCGTGATGTTGGTTCGGACAAATGGTTAGATGTTCATGAGATGATCATAAAACTAAGCCAACAGGCCATTCTTGAGGCTGCTGAACATCGAGAGGAAGAAGTCAAGGAAATGCTAATAACCCAAGATAAATTAAAGATTCTCATACATGAAGCTTTCTGTGTATTCTTGTGGAAGACAAAGCTATTACCTCATCTCCTGGATATTGATCCCAATCCACAGGCCACATTTTTGATTTACACCGTGCTATACCATGAGGGTGCTGTTATAACATTGTTAGATATGGCCCTATATCATTCCAGTGGTTGTGAGGCATTAAAAGATACATCACTGGATTTAATTGATTATTGTGCACAGGGTGTTGCCCAAGTCATTGGTTTGGTAAGGTAAGTTTATGCTAAACTATTAAATATAGCATTTCGAGAGAAGTCTGTATTCATAATTAAAACCTAATAAATCTCCCACAGCATGGGCTATCACGAGAACGGGGACAACATTGACGTGGATGAAGCAATACTAACAGAGTTGGAACGCCAAAAAAGAGACCTCATCTATAAAATTGGTATTCGCTGCATTTCCATACTTTGTTACATGGCTGATAATTTAAATTCTTTGCCAATAAGTGCAACACGCCGTATGGTTGTAACCCACGATATTATATGGTTAATGGCTGATTTATTGCAATTTCGACCATGGCAAAGAAAAACCAAAAAAGGTCTAGAAAAGTACGTCGATGAAAAATGGGTTGTTGTAAGGGGCGAAGGTGTTGCAAAAGTTGTTAAACATGAAGCCCATGCATGGTTTTGTTTAAGACAATTATTATTCAATTCAAATGTTATGCAGTCATATGAGCTTAACGAAGAAAGAAGGAAGCATTTGGGAAAGGTAAAATAGTCTTGTCCTAAACAACTCCTTTCCAAGGAACATTTTAGATTTTGTTTTTGGTTGAAAAGTGACTCTGCAACACTTATATAACATAACTTAATAGTATCCTATGAAATAAACAATCTCATTTTATAGTGTTTGGGCTTATTGCACGAATCCCTGTTGGACCAATTGCCGCCATTAATTGATCTAAAACAACACCTATGCCAACTATCAATGTCCGGCAATGATGCAGCGACAACAGCTTCTAAGAAATCAAATCTTGTTTTAGAAGAACTGCCAGAAATAAAGGAAAACCTAATTGCTGATACCGAAAAATATGGTGGATTCTTGGGAATTGCCCAATTGCAGGAGCAAATATTTCTCTCCAAAGATAAAGATCATATTTTAAGTGTGGCTCAACGACTTAATATAGCCTACAATACTGATCTCTTGGCCGAATTGGAGGAAAAGGTGACAGCTACTAACGAACAGTTGGTCGACGGATCTAATATGCAGTCAAATACAAATGCAGAACACAAGTGCGCAAATTGCCAAGGAAGTGCAGAGAAAAAATGCTCACAGTGTAAAGTCATTTACTACTGTTCTAGGTAAGTTGGCGACAAAATCAATCTAGAACGTGTTGGACACTTGATGATATAAAATTTGGGCCAACCTAAAGAATTATTATATTGATTTGTATGAAATTGATGAGAATATGAATAGATTTTAACAACCTTTTCTAAAACGTTTCATCCCATAGTTCACAGATCTTGACATAGGATTTTTTAGAGGATTATGTACTGTGTTTATACCCTCAGTCATATGGCCTGAGAGGGTATAACGGTGTTAGACCCTAGGTCTCTTTGGACATTTGGAGACGATCTAGCAATGTTCGTCCATCCATCCGTCTGTCTGGGACTATCCTATTCGATTCAAACTTTGCACATCGTAAAATTATTGTCAAACTTAGATTGAGTTCGGAGATGGGCAATAACGGTTCACTCCTTCTGGTACCTCTCACCCAAAATGGCAAGAATTTCAAAGAAAATATTTTACTGCACAGAAAAGGAAAGGATAATCCAACTTTGCGAACCGTAATATTTGCATCAGTGCTAGGTCAGGTGCGAAAATGGACAACATCGGTCCACTCCATCAAATACCTCCCCCACAAAGGTTCAAAATTTTGAATAATTATAACTCTTATAAAATGTGATGTAAGCGTCCGATTATGTTCAAATATCACACATCACAATATTTTTATTAACCCAAGGTCTGGTGAGAAGATGGAATATATCGGCCCACTCCTTCTGGTACCTCTCCCACAAAAGGCCGAAATTTTCAAAAAATATATTTTCTGTACAGAGAGAGGAACAATAATCCGAGTTTGCTCCAACTTTGCAAATCCTAATATTTGCATCAGTGCTAGGTCAGGTGCGAAAAGGTCTGGTGTATAAATGGTATATATCGGCCCACTCCTTCTGGTACCTCCCCCACAAAAGGTCGAAATTTTAAATATCCATTAAGCACATAAGACACAAAATTAACATCCGATTCCATTCAGACCTTGCACATCCCAATATTTCTATAAACACAAGAACTGCTATAAAGATGGTAGAGATCGGACCGTTCCTTCTGGTACTTCCCCCACAAAGTGTCAAAGTTTTGAATAACCTAAACGATTTTAAAATCCGAAATGTGCATCCGGTTCTCTTCAAATAACACACATCACAATATTTTTATTAACTCAGGGTATGGTGTGAAAATGGAATATATCGGTTCGCTCCTTCTGGTACCTCCCCCACAAAGGCTCAACATTTTGAAAATCCATGAAGCCCCTGTAACGCGAAATTATCATCGATTCAATTCAGCCTCGGCAAATCTCAATATTTTTATCAACACAAGATCTGTTATAAAGATGGTAGAGATCGGACCATCTCTTCCGGTACCTCCCGCACAAAGGCCAAAATTTTGAATAACCCAAAACGATCATAAAATCAGAAATAGGCATATAATAAGTTCTCTTCAAATATGCCACATTATTTTTACTATCACAATATCTGTTGTGTGAAAATGAGATATATCAGCGAACTCTTTCTGGTACTTTCCCCACAATAGGTTAAAAATTTAAAAAAGGTCATAAAATTCGAAATAAGCATCAAACTTTCTTAAAATTTCACACATCCAAACATTTTTGCTAACGCAAAATCTGTTATGCAGGTGATAGATATCTGTCAACCGTTCTGGTGCCTCAACCACAAATCATCACAATTTCCAATACTTATATCTGTCATAACTTGCGAAACAAGTCGGCGATTCTTTACAATTTGCTATATCGGTCCGCTATATATGTTACCTCACGCATATTTCCACATTTTCCAAAAATTTGCACATATTTCATGTAAAGTAAAGGAAATAGACGATATAGTGCAAATCTGGTACGTTGTAATATTTTTATCAGTCTTAGGTCAGATACGAATTGGTCAATATTGACTAACTGTTTCGGAACCTCCCCCTTAAAAGGTCAATAGTTTGAATAATCATAACTCAAGGCTTGGGGTATACATCTAAGGGCAAAACCGGCTGATACTATTTTTCTTGTTTTTTATTGTAATTTGATATTAGGCTTCAGAGGTAAATTTTTATTGCGTGGTAATTTTCCTCTAGATAATTTTTGTTATAAGTCCCCTTAGGAGTAAATTTTACTACAGAATAAGCAGTAATTTTTGTATCCCCAAACAGCAATAACTCCATTAATGTCGGTGAATTGAAGGTTTCAGCCACAGTTTCCTGAATTCGGTTAATTGAAGGTTTCAGCCACAGTTTCTTGAATTCTCGCTGGACAACAAAACTTTGACCATAGATTCGCATATATGAAAAAAGCATTCTCAATTTCGAGATATACAAATGCCTCCGTCGAATTTAATGAAAGTCGATTTAGAGTACAATACGCCTTCCTTATATCCTTTCCTTTTGATTATAAATGCTATTAAGCCATAATATAATTTTAAACCCATTACGGTTGACAGTTCACATAAATCCCCAACATAAACCATAGTTAGTTACGCCTGGCTTTTGACCTTTCCTTACAGTTTTTATTCTATTCCATACAGAAAACAAACATTGTTTGAAAATCCAAGTTTTATACAGTTTTTATTTACTCACTTTTTTTGTTGATTATTGAATCATAAATTTTCTACATTTAAAATAGGATAAAAGAATGTTTATGTTTTTTTCAATAATTTATCATATTAAAGGACAGTTTTCTAATTTACACTATGGCTATTCAGAATAAAGAATAATAAGAATAAATACTTTATATACATATTAAAATAGCTTAATTATTTAATATATTAATATATATAATATTTGGAAATCAAATTTAAAAGTTGTGTCATAAATATTCTGGACCATATTCCTAATACGAATTTCTGTATTAATAAATGTTTAGAATTTTTTACACACTTTCCAGATCGAGGCGATATTTGTTTTAAATCAAATTTATAACTCTGCGGTAAAATCACAGTTTAAATACATGAAATAACTTTTCAATGCCAAATGTTTTATGTGCACAAAATTTCTTTAGATTGCCGAGCAATTTGAAGGAATACCAATACGGCCTGATCTTAATTTATACTTGTCCATAAGTAAACAATATACAAACCAATGTTTTTATTGTGGAAATATCGTTTTAATACACACTACCCTACTAAACAGGCCTTATTAAGTTGGTCATTCCGTTGGTAACTTCTCAAAATAAGTATTTTAGACCCAGAATGAATATAGTTTCTTGATCAAGATTAGATTCTATGTTGATTTAGTCATGTCCGTTCTTTTGTCTATCCCTCTGTGGAAATTGCTCTTGCTTCCAAAGAAACGAAGTCGGTTTGTAGAATTTTTTGTATTAAGAATGGGATATTTACGTCCACGATTCATTTTTGTCTCCATATAACAGTAACATCCGTTTCACCACCAAAAAAAATCCAACGGAATTGTCTGTAAATTGGCAGTTGTTATTCCCAGGAGATAGAAACTTCCTTGCATAGAAATGTTTACTATTGGTCCAAATTGTTTTATAGACCTCGTGTACCATTTTCAACAGAAATTCGGTTCTTAATTACATTTTTAAATAGAATACGGAATGGAGTTCACCCCACCTTGTTTGGTTGATAAATGCCATATCTACGTTTAATGATTTGTGCCAGATTTTTCAATGGAATTGTTAAAAATTTGGTATTTGAATTTCGTAATGAATAACATTTCCTCTGGTTAAATTTCCAGTGACAGCTCATTATGTTCTTCACAAGCGTACAAAAGCATTTTGGTGAGAATTTTCCAGAAAAAAAAGTTATTCGTGATGGAATTCAAGCGTGATTCACAAATGACTATCGTTAGAGCACTCCAGCATTTAAATGTGAATAAAAAATAGACTCATAAGAGCTAAAGAGTTGCTTCGCTTGGCCGAAAGAGGTGAACTGCCGAATTTGGTTTTCTCCGATCTACGATGAGAAAACATTCGTTGTCCAGCAGTTTGTAAGCAAACAAAATGATTGTGTTTACTTTACAGAACCATTAATGTATTTGATGCATTTGATGCTATTTCCGACATATGGCGTTTCACATTGTTGCAGTTTTTTATCTCACCCTGTATAGTACAGGTTTCCATATACCCGATATTTGGTATTTTGATGAATTAAGCCACATTATTCAACTGATTTTTTGGAAATTTTGTATTGCCTGTTCGTATAAGGAATATAAAATACGCAACAGCTCAAATACAGGATCTCGGTACTTATATACATATTTTGAAGGTTGTAAATTTTAAATGGCAAAGTGTATTGAAAGTTCGTCCCAACCGTTTTACATGTTTCTATTGTTACATATGAATCCAAACTGACTGGAAAATAGTATTCTTTAGAGAAACCCCTTCTAAAGGTTTCATAGATAAATATGTCTTTCAAAATGCAAAATACTTTCTACAAAATATCAACGATCAAAAGATATTCTACAGCATTTCAATCATGCACCTGTCGGTCTAAGATAGCATCACTTTTTGAACGCGGTGCAACCACTGAATTCACCGAGCATTTTATTATTTCACCAAATGAAAGAATTTTAGGTATTGCAAACGACATCCTATACACATCACTCTTTAGTTTAATAATTAATTGTATGGGGTTTTTATCATTATGGCCGGCTAGCGATAGCATTTTTTTGTCTTCCGAAGCTAAATCTAACTTTCTACATCATTATGATATGACAATATCTTCCATAATTTATCCTCATATATTCTAAACTCTGTACAGATTACCATTCCGTTTCCATTACTCCTTCTGCGACTTTGTGCCACAACTACCACTGTTGGCTGTCATATTTAAATAATTGAAAATTTGATTAAACAGCAACAACGATAGGCATTCCTTAGCTTTTCGTATGGTATTCTCTTCGATTTTCTCTATGGGCATGTTGGGGTGTCTTTGCAGAAAGCCATTTAACCACAAATCATCTGCGGCACCATTAGCTAACCATGTAGGCGGAATTTGTTTTTGATTCTTGTGAGCTATTAGATAGGCAAATTTCATGACATCGCTACGATTCAAATCATACTTAAGTTGGGCCAATGTCTTGATGTACTCAGCCAAAAAGATTTCCTCTTCATTGCTAAAAACATCGTCCATTTGTTTGTTGTTACTCGCTGTGGTGGCTGTGACATTGGCCACCCCTGCCGCTGATGAGCCTCCAATTTGTAGTTTACGCTTTTTGTAATGCCGCCATAGCGTCGTTTTCGCAATCATATTCTTTTTCGCCGCCATTTCAATGGTCATACCTTTCTCAATGTCCACAATAGCAGCATTTATACTTTCAATATTCATTATAGGTCGTTTAATACCGGATTTACTTTTGGGCATAGTGTTTTGTTGTTTAATATTACTTTAGGACTTGTATGCGTCAAACTGCTGGCTGCTGTTGATGATGATGATTATTGTGATGACGTATAAAGTCATTTGCAAGGCGCAGGTTGTAAATACATTGCCACCCTGTAAGTATGACAGCTGTGGAAGTCAAATGTTGGGCGCACTCTTGCACTCGTTTTTAGGTACATTTCAAAATTTGGTCGTTGCAAAAAATTCAGCAGTTTGGGTTATAAGAAAAATTTTCGAGACTTTTTAGAGACTTCTTTTAAGTCTGTAATCAATTAAAGCAAAAACTCCCTTTTATTGTGTATAAATATAATCTTACTTTTATAATTAGGATAGAAGTTTCCTTCAAAATTAAAGAATGTTAATACGTCGTCTGTATAAGGGATATTATTTAGGTCTTAAAAACTAATGAATTATTTTTTTTGTATACAAATATATATCATAGACCACCATCCAAAAACCTAAATAGGTTTCTAGAATTATTCTATGGGTAAACTCAAACTAATTTTTCTTGTTCATATGTCCCGTGCTCCAATGAAAAATCCACAACTTTTAACCAAAACTTAAAATGCATAAAATAAATGGTTACCCTTATTGACATAACCCCCAATAGGTGTGTAACAAAGTATGTGAAGGAAAGTGTTAATTCCTAACTAAATACTTGCAATTAGGTCGCAATTCTGTAATGACCTTTTTTGTACCCTACAACACTATGTGTAACATCTCGAAATATTGGTTTCCCACATAGGAAAGTATATATGGATCTTCCTACCTCGCCGAGATGAGTCGATCTAGCTATGTATTTTTTGTCGCATGCGATTTTTTCAATTTGACTTACAATTTTGAATTGTAAATTTTCTAAATTTTTACAACCCCCAACACTATGTTTTGAGGGTATTATATGCATGTCTCAATTATCGTCCGATCCTCACGAAATTTTATATGGGGTAGGGTTAGGGTCAGAATTAAAGCCTATTGGTCTTAAGATGTAAATTTAGAGAATCAAATGGACTAAAAAAATTAATTTTTCTAATTTTGTAGTCGCTCTATAGGCCACAATTGAAAACCAATCGACACGGAATTTCGCTTCAGAAGAGAGTTAAGGACAGGGAAGAAGTCTAGCATTTTGAATGACCATTGGATTATATTTAGCTGTAAAATGGACCACACATTTCGTGTGAAATTGTTTTGAATACTTAACAACACTACGGAGTGCATAAATATGGGCCAAATTCTCCAGGTCAAAAACCTAAGGGTAACCTCTGAGCAGGGCTCTTTGATATTATTTAAAAAACGAAATGTTCCAAAATGAATTTGATATAAGGATACTTCGAACATATTGTTGTAGGGTATTACATGGTCGGCCCTGCATGGCTATAGCCTTTGCTTACTTGTTTTACGATGACATTAAAAGGGCCTTTGATTTGACTTATGCCCACATTTATAACTATTATTAAGAAATTCAGTATTAGAACCACAGGATTAAAAATGTGGCTATTTCTTTGGAATATCTAAGTTTGGTTCCATTAATGGGAACAATAAAAAACATTGAACATCTTTGCTTAAAGTTTCCTATTCGTTCAGAACCCAATATACATAATAAGAGCCGATTAGCTATTTCATGTGGATTATATGGAACCAATTCAAGAAGAATGAATGTATTCTATTTTCAATACTAAACATCCTCACGATTTCTGTGAAATCTTTTCATTGAATAAGAATTTTACACTTTGCAAGAAATATATATTTGGGAATAAAAATGTGTTTATTTTTTTTATTAACTTTAAATCAACAAGTCTATGAAAACAGCCTCCAATGGAACGAACCTTATGAGTGTGAAACAAATTTTCATAATTGCTTTAAACTTGTTAAGGCTTAACTCTAGTTTAGTAAAAACTCTTAAATTTTTAAAAATTTTTTTCCAGTGGTAGGTATTTTAACCCTGATCCCGGGAAACTATTTTTTTCTTGGTGGACGGTCCCGGGACCCCAGATTTTTGACCCGAAAAAGGTGTTAGGTGTTTTCAATAAAAAAGGATTATTTCGCGTAGCCGTCGTTGGATTACAAAAGCACCACATTTAGAAAATTTTGGTTCGCGTTAGCCGGTGTTGGACATACTCAGAGGAGAAAATCTCAAGTCCCAGGCCGGCTTTTTACAAAAAAGTGTCAAATTTAGAAACCTTTTGTAATTCCAACGACGGCTACGCGAAATAAGCCTTTTTTTACTGAAAACATAATTTTAATGAACTGGTTAGAATCGGTTTATGCGGATTTAAAGACCCATATCTCTGGACCCGAAAAAGGTATTCGCACAAATTGTAGCATTTTGGAAAGGTAAGAGTGTCAGCTATAATTTGGCATCCATTTTGTTTACCTCCATAATGGACCCTTTTTGGGGGTTTTATAAAAAATCCGGGTCTAAAAAATCGATAATTAGACTATAACATTCGAACCTTGGCGACTTACCCCATAATGTGACCACTTGTCCGGTCAAGAATCCAAAATTTCGGGTCAAAAATCTGTGGTCCGGGTCCGTCCCCCAAGAAAAAATAGTTTCCCGGAATCAGGGTAAAAATACCTACCTTTGGAAAAAATTTCAAAAAAAAATTGAATAGTTTTTACTAAACTAAAGTTGTTGCCTTGTTTATCCCCACAACAAATACTTTGACTCCTCATAGACTCTTTCTTGTTTTCTTTTTCATTTACAGGAAATGTCAACTGGACGATTGGACTGGACATAAGAACAATTGCCTCAAGATGAAATAAGGAACTCTTCAAATCCACAATATATCACATCCACAAAACGTATGCCTTTAACATATCGATGCATCCGATTGAAATCGATTTTTTTTCAGTTTTTTTGTTGCTTTTTATTAATAAAAACGTCTCAACACATAAAAAATGTTGTTCACTTTTTAAATCTAAATGGATTTATTTAGTCACTTTTTGTAGTTGTTGTTATTGATGTTGGTTTGGTTGATGTGTTTTTGATAAAAACAAAAACAAGCAGCATCGTTATCATCAACTGAACCCCATCACAGAATAAACTGTACGGTGTGTAGGCAGTTTAACTGTTTTGTCTGAGGTGCTCCTTGACGACATCCAAAGCTTGGGTTTCCTCACCGAAGTCCTTGATGACAACAACGGAACAGCCGCAAACCTTACGGGGCTTGCCCTCCTTGTCGATTTTGCACAAACCGGACCATTCGCCCAATTTCTTGTGGGAATCGACACGGATCAAGGGAATTTGATGTTCGTGGCAGAGGGCAGTAACGAGCTTCTTGTAGTTGGGTTCGTCAAAAGACTCAGCCAAGATACACAAAACAGCTTGACGTCTAGAAACAGAAAAAACGTGCGATCATTATAACACATGCCTGCAGATTCTTTTGTTGCAAAATAAATACTTACTTATCCAAAGCTTTGCAGGCTTGGTGAATACCGTGAACAAGACCATCAGCAATGAGGGATTTCTTCAAGACTTCTTGCAAAGCTTGATTAATGTCCATGGCGCCACCAACAGCGGGAGCAGCGGAGGGTACATCTCTGTTGATATTAAGAAAAATACGAAATTTTTAATAAAACTCACAAACAAACTGATACAGCATCAACTATTTTGATATTATATGCCAACAGAGTCCAAGTTTTTCACAAAACCGCAACCATTCAGTTATTTTTTGCAATTGTTTACATTTCACACTATACGGTGTCTGGGTCTTGGCTCAATTGGTATTAATATTCATTTCGCAAAACTTACACATCAACGTCAGCCATTTTTTAATGTATTTGTCGTCCTTGCACTGAAATTATAAACAAGTTCACACATTATTTCAAAGATGTTCATCATAATTGAAAATTATTTATTTTTGATTTCGGAAAAAAAATCATTGCTTTCGTACCTTTTTGACAACCGGAAAGAAAGAAGGTGGTTTTGCTGCCAACTTCGTTTTATTATTTTGTTGATAGTTTCGTTAAGTTTTTTGACATTTTCGTTAAGATGTGTTCAGTTAACACAAGGGGGCATCACATTCACATCACATTGTTGTCGATTGTAGGTTTTTAAATTTATTTTTAATTGAATTGTGTCTTAAAACTAAAATGTTTCTCCTATTCTTACATATTTTGCGCAAAATCCAGTTCCCGCACAAAACTAAAATTGAAACTCTCTTCTACTATTTGTTGCTCTGTTCCAGAACCTACAAGAATCTACTAGTTTTGAAATTTTGTTTCGATATACATTTCTGTGCCAGACAAAATGTGTAATAGGGCCTTAAGTAAGCTTGAGGTCTCTTCTGGCGTAATTAGGTGTCTACGTACAGTAAGTATAAAAACTTGTACCTAAAAGTACTAAATAGCAATAAATAATAAAATGTACTAAAATTATGATTCTGAATGCAAATTTTGTATCTTGACGTTTCTTTTCACTTCATGTTAATACCATATGTATATATAGTGGCTTTTTATTTTTATCTTTACTATTTTCAGGGACATACTTTTAGGCGATACCTTCAGTTCATTAACTAAAATTCATATAATGTATGCACCACGACTTTATCAGAGATTTTCAACTATACCTTATACATTCGCTTCGGTTCAAAGGACATACTATACTTTTACCCTCTGTCTGGTGGAAAACTTAAAGTTTTGAGTTTCTCGATAGAAATAATTCCATTCCATTTATTCGACGATACTGAGTCTTTGTGTAATGACCATAATTATAATAATCTCTAAAGGGGAAAATCGGTTATCGTAGTAATAAATTTTTCATTCTTGCTGTTAGGCAACAGATCAAAAAATATCCAACATTGGGCTTGAAAATATTTCGTCGACAATGTATTTGATACGACGAGTTTTGTCTTTGATATTTAAATTCTGAGTCTTGTGGCATAACATTGTATATATATTGGGATTTTTACGATTTAGGAAACACTTACTATCGGGTTTGTTAAAAAAAATGCATCAATATCTGCGGATTTTCGGTATTTTCAAGATTTAAACCACATTTTCTATCGGATTTGTTTTAAAATAGGCAATTGTATTTCGTGAATTCAACAATTGGTCTCAAAACGTTTGGCCATATTTGTCCAAAATTGCCAACATTTGTATTTTGAGTTTACAACCATAGTACAAGGAAATAACGGTAACCTCAGCATTCCCTTTTCTGCATGTTCTGTAATTTACCATGTGCATGGCTTTATCTTCTTAGTTCTACCATGGTAGAAAAATACAGGTAGATGCATCAACGCTTGGGAACATTGATATGTCAACAATTTTTTAATGTCTTTTCAAATACCATGAGTTCTACCATGTTTATAACATTAGGTATGAACAATAATCCAATGTTTTGTAATATTTTGTACAAAATATTGTTCCATAACAATTTTTACAGTTGAGCAATTTTGAACGATGAGTTACTAAGAGTTTTGCAAAATTTTACTGGAAAAACTTACTCAGTAAAATCAATTGATTGAAAAACAGATTAATTATGACCAATGTAAAAATTTTTCAAGCAATACTGTAAAAATTTTAATTATTTTTCAGATTATAGTCATGGTGAAAGAAGGTAAAGTCATTTCAAAAAGGCACACCCATGTCTGCATTTTCTGTAATTTACCTTGTCAAATTTCACGGCATAGAAAACAGACTCTCATCTTAGATTTTTGTAAGTACAATGCATTTTTAATGTACATTTTGACAATGAGATGTTGTCAAATGAATAATTTTAAGAAAATTGTGAACATATGATTACCTTTTACCTTCTTAATTAAATAAATAAATAATTTCACCTTGCATTTAATATTTTATTAGGCTATTAAATAATTTATTTTTCTTATTTTTCACTACATAAATTGCAAGTTTGGTTTCATTTGTTTATGAGAAAAAATTTTCTCAGCAAATTTTACTAAATAATTTTTACTAGAAAAGTAATCGTACATAGCATGGCAGAAGAATTTGAATATTTTCTGAACAAATTTTTTGTTATTGAAAAGAAAACACATACATAAACAAATAGAGATGACATATTAAGCCAAGAAAAGCCCTACCTTGATATCATTGTACCATGGTACATACATGGTACAACGAAGAGAAGGTAGGTCAACTTTAAAAAAAATGCAAGTATAGAGGTCTACCTGTTTGGCTTGTAATGTCAGAATTAGTATCAAAACAATAAAAAATCAAACAACTTGTTGCATTAATTTTGAACAAATAATTGAAAACCGCGAAAACTGAATGAAAGGTCAACATTTCTTTTCAAAATCATGTTCTATATATCTCTTATGGTTTATTTCGCGACATAAACTGTAGACTTTGTCGATGCATATGTTGCAATAAGCATTTTGAAAACACCCGAATTTGAATATTTTCTGAACAATTTTTTTATTATTGAAAAGAATATGCACACATAAACAAATGAAGTTGACATATTAAGCCAGAAAAATAAAAAAATTGAAACCATATGGTAGTTCTGCCCTACCTTGAATTTATTGTACCATGGGTACATACCTATTTATTGACAGAGAATTTTACTATCAGCTGTGATGATGAAAGCACCTTTGACAGCCGTTTAATCGACCTACACATCTCTGAAGTGATTCATTGATGAGGCAATTTACAAGAAAACAAGGACGTTTTAGTTAAAAACAACATTTGTAGATTAAAAACAAATAAATTTTTCTTCTTTTCTTATTTCTAAAAAACTATCAAACTGGGGAACGAAATGTCGTCGCAACAAATGGAAAGTATGTGGCACCACTTCCTTAATTTAGACGGAATAATTTACTGTTATTTTCTCGTATTTTTCTTGCAACTCATTTAGAACATTTATTCAATTTAAAATTTGCTGTGAAGGAGCTGGAACGCAATAGCAAAAAATGTGAGAAGGAAGAAAAACTCGAAAAGGCCAAAGCCAAGAAGGCCATACAAAAGGGTAATATGGATGTGGCTCGAATACACGCCGAAAATGCAATACGACAGAAAAACCAGGCAGTTAATTACTTGCGAATGAGTGCAAGAGTTGATGCCGTCGCTAGTCGTGTCCAGTCTGCATTGACTACACGTAAAGTAACTGGCTCTATGGCTGGTGTTGTAAAGGCCATGGATGCTGCCATGAAGGGAATGAATTTAGAAAAGATATCCTCCTTGATGGAGAAATTCGAACAGCAATTCGAGGATTTGGATGTTCAAAGTTCTGTTATGGAAAATACCATGTCCGATACCACAACAACCTCAGTGCCACAAGGTGATGTTGATAATCTATTGCAACAAGTGGCTGACGAAGCTGGGTATGTATTTAAAAAGTTTGTTATTTTTTTGTTTTGGTTATTTAAAACACAAATTTGTTTGATTTCAGTCTGGAACTAAATATGGAACTGCCCAGCGGTGTTCAATCATCGACAATTGGAGCCTCCACACAAGTATCACAGGAACAAGATGAGTTGACTCAACGATTGGCACGTTTAAGACAAGCTGAATAGATGTTGGTTGTATCTGCAATATGGAATTTGATTGTTATGCTTGTCGTCTTTCGGGCCCGTTAGGGATGTAGATTTTATAGTTTGTAATTTAAGTTCACTTCTCACTGTCTATAATAAAATTTGTAAAAGAAGCTTTTAAATGTATACAAATATATTCAAAATGGAATGCGGAATGATCACATTGCACTCCATTGAAGCGGAAAAGTGCCTATATTGTTTTGGGAAATGTTAGTATATCTTGAGGTTTCTTTTGTTGATTTTGAGATAAGGTTCACAATCTATTTTAGTTAATAAGGAGATTCACAATTTATTAGTTCTTTTCAGAATGACTCATTTTGAAAAAAGATAACGTATGTAAGAAAACGGTCTATAACGGGGATTCTAGTAAATGCTAAATGTGTTTTCAATCATATGTTGACCTATTCCAATAAACATAAGTAGAGTGGTTCGGAATGGAAATATGTGTACCAAAGATTTTAGTACCGTACGAATCAAATTTGTTAGACTGTATTTAGAGGGAAATATTTGTACGTAGAACTATAGTTAAGAAAGATACTATCTTGCTAACAAATAAAATACTTTAAATACAAGCTTTTTAAATGCTGTTATTGCTATCTTATATTAATACCACTACTTAATACTAATGTTTACAAATCCATCTATGCAAATCACAGCAACTGATCATTTTTAAGATTCATTTGTCGCTGCTGCATCATAAGCAACTGTTGGGCTTGACTCTCTTGATACAACATATCTTGCATGTCCATGGCGGTCATGTTAATACCTTGCCCAGTCGATGTAATTAATTTGTCGTCACTTGCCGATTTTTTAACCCGTTGTTTTCTTGGTTTCTTCTCTTTGGTTGTAGCTTCTGCAGTATTAGTGTTGATATCCTTATTCTTAGGTTTCGGCCCTCGCTTCTGTTCTATTTTTCTTTTGGGATGTGGAGCAACCATTGGCAAACTCCTCCAACCGTCATTGTGTCTATCAAGTCTTGCCTTGAGGATCTCAACATCTCTTGTACGACGCCTTATCATTTTCTTGACATTGTTTATTCTACAATTTAAAGAGAATTTTAGGATTTGCTTATTATTTGTTATGGCTGGGAGTCTCTTACCTTAACACAAACCTTTCATTTTCAGTTTGTATTTCCTGACAACGTGCCAATAGTTTTTCCACAAATGGTTTGTATTTGGAATCTTTTTCAGTGAGAAGCATTTTGTTTTTAATTGTTTATCATTCCATGGGTTGTAAATAAGAAAAACAAGCTGAGAAAACTGTCAATTGATAACAACTTCCCGCCTAGTGAACCCTAACTACCAACAAAGCCAAAAAAGTCATTGTAAACCAAGCCGTATAAAAAAATTCCAACGGCGCCAAGGCTGCGGAAGCCAAGAAGAATTATTAATTTTAACAAGGATATCAAAATTATGACTTTTTAAATACACATGTAAATAAACATATGACAGGTGTTGTATTTTCCCCCAAGCCAAGTATTTAGTTATTCTCAGCGGCATCAATATGTTTTAGATTTCAAAGTCATCAACGGCTGTGACTTTTTGAAAATAAGTTACCGGCGTTCACCCCTGCTTAGTACCGGCTTGAAGCTCTGCTGTCCTGCTGTGTATTTCTTTCTCTAGGAGCAAGGAGATGTCTACCGGCACTGCTAATTCTGCTGTTTCCAGCAAATCTACAAATTCAACAACCTCAACATCTAAAGTTCCTGTCAACGAAAAATCGAACAATTCTCAGAATGCGAATACCTCAACTGCCAGTATTATCAAATCGTATCGTGAAATTGTAAACGACCCTAAAAATCTCGATGAGGCTGCCAACTATTTGTATCAGTCGCTGTTGGACGATGCCGTCGTAGGTGTATTTCTGGAAATTCACCATTTGCGCAAGACTGGCAATCTGACAGCGATGGATGGAGTAAATGAAGATGAATCGGAAACTTCATTTCGCATTGTTGACATGCCGAATTTCGATATATTTGGCATATCCACCGCTAAGAAACCAATGGACTGCACCTGCCCCAACTGTGATAGGCCTGTGTCGGCGGCTCGTTTTGCTCCCCACTTGGAAAAGTGCATGGGTATGGGTCGTATATCTAGCCGCATTGCTAGCCGTCGTCTGGCCACAAAGGAGAGTAACAGTGCCAGTTCTTCGTCATCTTCGTCATATCTGCAGACGACAAATGCCGGAAGTGATGATGAAGACGACGTTGATTGGTCATCGGAGAAACGTCGCAAGAAGTCTAGCCAAAATTCCCGTAATAATGGTTCTAAGAAGAATAATGGCAAAACATTTTGAGCTGATTCGAAGCGACAGTTTTCTTCGTGTTTATCCTCTAATGATTATCTAATTTAGTTATGCTCTAGTAATTAATTTTTTATAATCGTATTTTAGTTTAATTTATGAATGTATTATTAATTATTTAGTTTTGAATATGGCCTATTCATAACGCATCTCTTTTTTATACATTAAAAATCTATAAATGGAAATTGAAAGCTTATATGTTTTTGGGGAGAGGTAAAATGTGTTTTTTTTTTAATTTATTCATTCAAATTATATGAAAGACATAAAGCACTTAATTTTTCCCCATAAGGGCATCAGTTTCCATAAGATAAATGCCAATGAAGTAAATCTTTAAGATAAATAGGATGACCCCGTTATAAAAATATATATTTTTTATTACTCGAATAATTTGGATCCAACACTTTATCGTTATGATAATAACCACCATTGTTGAGAGACTTCGCTATAGATTACAGTTCATATTCATTTCTAAATATTCTCCAGATAATTTCACTTTTTTAACATATTTTCTTCTCGTTTTCACTTCTAACCTATCTTGGGAAGCTTTTTATGACCTCAATGCCTTTTCACGAGAGTGTAAAAATAGTTGTTTGGGGAGAAAGGTATTCTATGTGGAAAGGGGAATACCACATTTGTGGAATATTTAGAAGATGAAATGTTAACGTTAATTGTCTTCCAGTCATGCTTTTTATCGTCGAAACGATAAAGTTTCGGAATTTATGTGATTGCCATTTGAAATATCATTTCGAATTGTTGTGTTTATTGCAGTTTCGTTACTTGACCACCACCAACAATGCGTGATAACTGTTTCTCTACATCTTTTATGTATTTTTCGGGTAAACAGGCCTCACGCATAGCTGATAATTTGACATTTATGACAGCCCGTATATTGGCATCTCGTTGCCTTTCACTCTCACGCCAAGCATCCGCTTGAGCTTTCTCCAATTCTTTTAACCGGCGCCTTTGCATTTCATTGTCACCCATTTGACGAATAATATCCTGGCGATACATGTCACGCTTGCGATCTCTTTCCTCTTGTGCTTTTCTCTCTTTGGCCTCCTCATTTTTAAGACGTTCAATAAGTACATTGAAATCTTGTTCGGCACGGGCAATTTGCAAGGCCTGACGATGTTTGGTCTCTTGCATCTGTCGTTCACGTGCATCGGCCAACTCCTTTTCAATTTGCTTTTTACGCAAGACGGCTTCGCGCTCCTTGCGCCTGTATTCCCGTTCAATTTTCTCTTGCTCCCTTAGATAAGACATTTCTTCACGATCCGATTTGGATTGAAGGATCTTTTCGGCCAGTGAATAGATACGTTGTTGCTTACGCTCGAATTCCTGCTTGGCTAGCATTTTTTCCTTGTGTAAAGCCTTTAAACGTTCCGCCTTCTGTTTCATATAGGCGGCTACTTTCATTTCTGCTTCCCGTTCTTGTTGCCATAGCATTTTACGAAACTGGGTAGACATTTCTACTACTTTAGCCAAATCTTCACGATATTTTCGTCGCCTTTCCTGGGATTCTTTCATGCGACGTTCTTCATCGCGTTTTATGGCCTCGTGTGCTTTGCGCAACATTTGGGATTCCTCTTCAATGCGTTCTGCCTCCAGAAAACGTAAATTTTCTCTTTCATGAAGCTGTTTTTTAATCTCATCCGCATACTTTTGTTTGTTTTCATGCAGTTTATTGAATTTTTCATCTTCTTCAGATAGTGCCTTTATAGCATTGTCTATTACTTGACGCTCCAATAGTTGTTCATGATTCTTCAGTTCCCGTTGTATTTGAGTCTTTTCCTGAACCTGAGCGTCACGCACAGCATGACACTTGGCTTCCAATATAATGCGGTTAGCCTTTTTGACTTCTTCCTCTTGTTCGTGCTTGGCGAGAAATGCCCTTTCCAGTATACGCATTTGATCATTACCCTCATCGGCGGCTAGGTTCGTGTTTCGCTCAGCTTCTTGTCTTTTACGTGCCTCATCCATTTCTTTAAAACGTTGTTTGGTACGCTCGGCTTCCTGTTCCAAACGTTTAGCTTCTTCTTCGCGTTTCATCAATGCATCCAAACGTTCTTCAATAGTCACCACTTTGGATGCAGTCTTAAGACGTTCTAATTCCCTTGGCGGTATGGAGACTTTTCGTTCATCTTTAGAACGGGGTTGTTTCTTTGGTTTGGCGGGGATTTTTGGTGCCAAACCTCGAGTATAGAAAATGTCCGAACACGGATTAAAAGATATTTCCTGTTTACAGGCATAGTTCGGAATTTGAAAGTCTGAGCTATGACGTACAGCAGTTTTAGCTCGACTTGTAGTTGTCGATTGGGAGAAATGCTGGACAGAACGTCTATTACATGCCGAAAAACAAGGCATTTTGATGGAAATTCGACAGCAATGTTTAGGATAACTAAATGATATAAGTATTTCTAATGAAATATATTGGCTGTCTGGTTGCCAATAAAAAAGTAATATATAATTGTTTGCTTAACAACAAGTTATTTATTTGCAACCATAGTAATATTTGTAGCAAATAATTGGTTGTTCCATGGCAATAAATCGGTGGTTCTCCTAAAAATTACATGAGTTCGAGATTGCTAATTTTAAAGAGAGCCAAAATAATTTATATTTTTTAAAAAATTAAACATTTTTTTAATTCTTCACACCAATTCAGCTCAACTCACTTGGATGCAAATTAGTTTATATTATTAATTTTTAATTTATTGCGTTTTTTAAGAGAATTTTTTTTATGTGCAGGCCTTATATCGCATAATATGTATATTAATGGAACATTTTTCTATTATAATATTTGATATATATTGTTATAGTAATATCACAATATTGCTTAACATTAAGTTGCATAACAGTTGCCACATTTACTTTTGATAATTTCAGACTGCGTAGACCTTAATGTAATCTATACGCATTGTCTGGCTGTCTTCGGTCCAATTAAATTTCCCATCTTTAATATTTTGCCAAAAGATGCTTATAGCTTTGGGTGATGTATTTTTCCATGGCTTGACTTCCGGATCCGCTAAAGTGTCGGGAAATTCAAGATGACCTCCTGCAGAGACACCCAAGGATATGAAGAACTGCAAAAGAAAAAGATATTTATCTTATTAATGTTTGATTTTTATAATTAAATTTTGCTATTGTAATTGTATTACTTTTATACGCTTTGTCCCAGAACCAGCTTTGCAAGAGAAAATCGGTTCTGGAACAGGAAAAATTATTATTTTGTAATGAGAAGCCTGAAGGACCAAAAAAAAAAAAAAAAAAAAATTACCTGTTCATTAAAACCATCAAGATTGCTGTGAAATTCACCATATGTTCGGCCATCAACAGACACAGATATAGAGTTATTGCTCCATACCAGTGTATAAATGTGAAAATTATTTCCAAAATGTTCACTGGCATAGAGTTCTTTAAAATCCGTATCATGTTGTTCAATATTTTTGACAAGACCACCATATAGGCGACGTCCTCCAATATCTTTCATCGGATTGTCGGTTAAAAGTTGTTCATTGCCTCGAGCAAATGCAATGCGCATTTGTTTTTTATTAAAACTTCCATAATTTTCCAATGTTATATCTTGAAAATAAGTAAGAGCCACATTAACTAATTGCTACATATTTACAATACCATTGCAATACTTACAAGGCAATAACCAACTGCCTTTGGGTAATTTTGCTTTAATCTCAACTCTACCGTATTTGAATTGAAATGTATTTTTCGTATTGATGTTCGAAGAATTTATGGGTGGAACATAAGTGAAGGGAAATTGTGTCATTGATTTGCATTCTTTCATTATATTCTCCACCGGGGTACAACGTGTACCAAAATCAATAGCTGCCATTCTTGCATTGGCTTGGGTAAATGTGGGTTTTATATTTAAGATGCCATCATTGATGAATACATTCTCTTGCCTAGTGTCGAACAAAACAAATTCTTCGTTTATACGACCGGTCAATAGATTACGAACATCAAAAGACCATTTCGAGAGATCCAACTCTGTGTCATTGAAGTTCTCTTCAAAAATTAGTTGATTTTTGCAAATATTTGTTAAATCTTTGACAACAGTTTGTGAAGGTTCACACGTATTTATTGGAGGTTGTGGTTTTTCCTCACTCCCACAGAGTTTCGAGGAAATTGTTTTTGATATTTTCATTGCTACATTATCATTTTCTCCAACAACAAGGTATTGATTATCTTTATAAGCTTCCCCATTGTAATCCACTAATATTGAGACGTTTATTTTGTCTTTTTCTTTTAATGCTTTCATCGGTTGGGTGATTTTCCAGTTTGGATTTGGTTCCAAAACCATATCCATGTAACCGGGACAAATATCATTGATTTTGATGTAATAGATCACTTTGCGTATACCAGATTCATCTGAATAATATAATAAATAAATAGACAAAAAATTAATAAAAATATAGTAAAATGTATAATAATATAGCCGGTGTTATCCTTTGTATAAATTATTAAACTAGAGACAATATTTATAAGGATTGCTAACACCAGGAACAAGAGGAGATTTACTTAGCATTATATGTTTTTCTATATTCCATAGAGAATGTATGTATACTACAACGTTACGGTACTTTACCCTTTATTCAATACTCAACATACCGTCCAAACTTAAGGAGAATCCATTATTTAGCTGCTCTAACTTGACATTGGGGATTTCATATGAACAGCACGTCTTTGCAATTAAGACAAGGAGCAGTAGTATTTTACCAAAAACCAATGAAGACATTTGCATTATTCCAATCCAGAGAAAAAATGTAGGTATTCGCACAACGCCGTATTGAACTTGACTGATAAGCAATGACGACAAACAAACAGAATAAAATTCGAGAGTATGAACAAGAAAAAAACCACCATCAAGTTTATGATTATCGCTCAAAACTTGTTTTAAACAATCTCAATCTCAGAACAAGCAACTGTAGCATGCAATGGATGTGGAATATGGTAATAGCTCCCATACACTTTCTTAAGGTACCGAAAATTGGAATTTATAATTTGTACTGCGATAATGATTACAAACTTGGTTCCAATATAGATTCAAATCTTCTTGATTCCCAAAAGCTAATACCAAAATTGTATTATCTAACATTCACTCTAATACATTGTAAAGTTTATAAGTATAAACATAATCAATTTTTTCAAAAACTAGTTCAACGAATATATAAAAATATATATATTTATTATCAATTAGTACAGTTACCATGGACGGTCCCAAAAACTTTAGACTACTCCAAAATTATTTATAGTATTCTTAATCTTAACATTTTTGAACAATATTTTGATTGAAGTGAGCTTATAATTTACGCTTATAACATTTTAATGAATAATAAAGTGTCTTTAGAGTTTTAATGAACAATTTGAGGAATATATTTCTAAGAGCTTTCGAATCCATATACTCTTTTCACCTAATATTGACTTTTAATTCGCTTTTTTAGGGTATATTCTATTCGACTACTAGCACATAGATAGTATAATTTTTGCTCTCTCGCACTCAGCTTAATACATCCTTAGTCACACTCTAGCTGATAACAATGATGGAAATCCCAAGAAATTAATCCGCACATTTATGCCATTTTTTTGCTCTATAGAAAACAGTCTCTTCTCAAGCAACAACCAATTAAGATCACGGTTATATTGATGTACGCTTCTTGCAAAATGAGAAGCTTGCAATTATTTATTGGCGTTGTATTGCTTTTAAATCGAGTACGATTCAATTATGGCTACACTGTGGAGACTGTGAAATTAGAAGTGTTCAATGATAAGTTCCGTGCCTCGATACCAAGTAAGGTTCCTAATGAAATTGAAAACACACAAAACGAAGTGTAATTCCTTGTTGTTTTTAGATGATCCTGACATCAAATGGGTAGCATTTAATGTTAATATTAACAAAGCCTTTAGCTCATTCGAAGCTGGTCAATTATCAGGTTTAGTGGGAATGCCCAAAAATGGCAAATGGACTCATGAATTCAGACGTTCACTATCAGATTCCGATGTTATCTACATCTGGCTGGCGATGCAATATGATGGGGTTATATTTCGTGATAGGCAAGGGCCATTTTCGGTTGCTGCAATACGAAATGGAGATCCCAATATAATGGCAATAACAACGTCTTCAACCACAACAACACCAACGACGACCACCACAACACCGGTACCATCGCCCAGCTCGGGTGATGAAAATCGTGTGAATAATACCCAAAATTGTTTCGATTCACAAACAGAACTACCGCATGGAGATAATAAACATAAACATTGCAAAGGCGATCTATTGTTTGAAGAAAATTTTGATAATCTGGACGATTCTCGTTGGATCAATGAAGTACGAATACCCATAAGAACAACGGATGATGAATTTGTTTTTTACAATGGAACAGCGTATGTAGATAATGGTATCTTGAAAATAACACCAACGTTGTATAATGGAGCGGTTAATAGAGATTATGTGAATTTGGGAAATAGGTGAGTTTTGTGCAACCTTTCTACAGCATTTACCATTTAAAGGTATTAGAGATGGGTATAGAAAGATATAGATATGTAGGATAGGTAGGAAAGATATAGATAGGTAGGATAGGTATTCTGTCTCTTCTTCTCTTTTGTTTTATAAAATTATTTATGTTTAAATTCCTAATATAAAATAATTTTTATAAAGCATTTTGCGCGGTTTTTTATAGACCGCTAACTTTAAACCTTAAAGATTTCGAATGTATTTTTGATAACATCTTCTCTGTTTGAATATCGAATTCAAGAATAGTAAAAAGTAAAGTGGATACACTCACACAGGACATTTAGCTCTATTTTCCTTAAATAAATAAAATTAAGGCAAATTCTGTCTTTGAAAGTTTTTAGCAAAAAGTTTTATTTCTGTAGTATAAGACTTTCTACATGCAGAAAGCTTTTGTTGAGGTCTTTTATCTTAAGAATTCCTTTAATTGGTTTTTCTATATACGAGAGGCGATATATTGATTAAATAATATGATTTTTCTTTCAGATGCACCGCCCGGTATGATAAATGCAGTCTACAAGGTAGACCCAATTATTATATACCCCCTATTGTATCAGGTCGCATAAACTCCAGAAATTCATTCAATTTTAAATACGGACGCATAGAAGTTAAGGCGAAAATGCCCAAAGGCGATTGGTTAGTACCACGTAAGTTGGAGAAACACATTGTGGCCTTAGATTTCAAGCATATAATTTTTCTATTGGAATTCCAAATTCACAGTACTTCTGCTGGAACCAAATGCAATGAAATACGGAAATGCTGCGTATAAGAGTGGGGAGATGCGCATAGCATTTGTTCGTGGAAACAAAGAGTTAAAATGGCGTGATCTAGAGATTGATGGTTCGCATTTATATGGTGGTGTCATAGTTAAAAGAGAAGCCGAACGAAGACATGACTTTATGGCCAATGTCACATTGGATGATGTGAACGGTTCAAAAGAACATTTCGGCAATACATTTCATGTATATTCGTTGATTTGGAAGCCTACCGAGTTACTGTTATTCGTAGACGGTTATCAATATGGTAGAATAGCAACAGATTTTAAAAAATCCATACGTGAACAAGTTTGGGATTTAGGTGGAGATAATGCTCCATTAGACGATATGGTAAACTTCATCTGTTCTATTATTTAAGGCGTCTAAATGCGAATTAATGTATTTCTAGTTTTACATAACTTTGGGACTATCAGCTGGTGGACATGGTGACTTTCCACATGGAATTCCAAATAAGCCCTGGGTTAATACTAACCCTAAAGCGCCGCTGCATTTCAGTGAACAACGTAACGCATGGCATTCTTCATGGGAACAGCCGTCCTTGGAAGTTGATTATGTAAGAGTGTATGCTATATAAGTAAATATTTAATAAAAATATTTTAAGCACATAAAAATATTGTTAACTATTCTTAACTTTCCAAATAGGCCACATATATATCTATGGAATACCTATCCACAGATTTTTATCTATCTATAAAAAAAAAACAGTTCTGGAACAGAGCAGAAGTTGGTTTTTATAAACTACTTCAAGGCAGGTTTTTTTTTTCTGAGCCCGGGTTTGAATCGGATCTAACAAGCTCGGCTTAATTTTTGTTAAATGAAAAAGGGATATGAAAACATTTATAAAACAAAGTATTGTCAAAAAAAAAAATTGCAAAGAAAATATTTTTCATTTCATATTTTCATAAAACAATAATCAAGCCCCTGACACATGTAGAGTATAATAATAGCCATTTTTTTATTTATTTCTTCCATTAATGTAATACAAAGTACAAGTATTACTAGTTGCAAAAAACCTGAGCTTATAATAATAATACACTTAATTCTTATTTCCTAAAATACACCATAGATTACTTGGCCCCCAGCCGTTTAATATTAAAGAAAACCCAATTTCAATTAAAAGGTTTAAAAAGGCGATAACATCGCCTAACGGTTTAAATAAATCCATCATGTGTCCACTTATCGGATAGTAACTTACATTAGCTTTAAGTGGGTGTAAAACGTTCTTGAATACAAATTTTCTGGTAGAATACCCAACACAAAAATAATTTCCTGGAATTAAGGAATAAGAATTGAAATAGTTTATATTAAGACTACAAATAATTGAATTGTACCAAGCCTGCAATAATTGCTCTGTTCCAAAATTTCTGTTCTCCGGAAAAGTCCGTTATGTTATCGAAAGAAATTGCAAAACTAGAAGTGGATTGCTTTCTTTTTGGCACTCGTCCCTTCATTTATTCAGTGAACACATACATTTTGCACACTCGCATTGAACGATATTCAACACCCATTCTTTCTTTTCCTCAAGTTAACCAAGTCAACATACAGCTGGTGCGACATGTTGCCTCCTCCTTCATTCGCAACATTTTCAATTCAATTTCAATTTTCTTTATTGAGACTTCTTTTTATCAGATATTACAATTTTATATTTAGTAACAAACAATAACATATGTTGATTTTAGTTCTGTAAACGTATTGAACTAATAAACTCTAACAGTGTTGACATCTTCAATTCGATACGAATTAATAGTTCTTATAAAATACATTTAATGTAATATAGTGACAGTATAAAAAACAATGTTTGCTCACGACATTTACGGTGTTGTACAGAGCTTGGTCTGATATTAACAATATTAAGGGAAACAACCTAACAGAAAACAGGATAACAATAAATTTCCTGTAAAATAAAAACATGAAATTAACAATTAACAATAATCGTTTTTTTTTTTTTTATAACAATGGAAATCGAAAGTACAATTACAGTATGTACATATACAGGTATAAACAGATAATAATCTTTATAATTGAGATTACGAAATTATAGCGTTCATATAATTGTATTATTAGCGTATATACAAAAAACATTAAAAACATATAATACTGGAGACGTAAGATTTTATCCTCGATGCGAACAAGGCACAGCCTTGATGTAGAATTGAGGAGGTGAGGTTAGATTGACATTATTAAGATCTTCGTGAAGTATTCCTACTGACGATAGGTAAGTAGACGAAGTCCATGTGGTATTGTGGTTTGCTTCAAAGATTTCGTTCATTAATGGATTTTCGTGATGCTCCAGTCTTTCGACGAATTTTAGGTGTTGTTGCATCGCATAGTGACAGAGAGGTTTGATGGAAGCGTTGGTGTAAATGAATTCGTTCGAGTAACGTTTCGAGGGGCATTGGAAGTTTTTGTTCAAGCATTTGCGTAGGACATTTCTCTCGAATATTTCCATGTTGTTGGCCACCACAGGAGAAATGGAGAACCAAATAGGGAAGGCGTAGATGAGCAGAGGTCGTATCGCTACCTTATAAATTAGAAGTTTTGTCTGTGATGGCAGATATTTACTCTTGAGGATACCAGCATACATTCCAGCAACCTTTTTTGCTTTGGTGGTGATAAGCCGACCATGCTGATTAAATCGAAATAGGTAACTAAAGGTTACACCTAGATACTTTAATGATGTTTTGAATGGAATTTGGATACCATCAAGCGGAAGAGAGAGGTTTTTACTTTGCGGCACCACCAGTCTATGACATTTGCCACTCGCATTGCGAATGCAAATAGCTTCAGATTTTGTGGGGTTTATTTTAATGCCCCATTTTTTGTAAAAGTTGTTAATGATGTTGAGATGTGTGGCAACTGCGTTACGAGCTTCGTCTGGAAATTGGTTGTGCGAATAGATAAGACAATCATCTGCATACAGGATAGCTTGCGAGTTTAAGTGGCGGTGTGGGAAATCATAAAGATATAAATTGAATAAGAGGGGCGCTAGGACGCTCCCTTGCGGGACTCCGCTTCTTACTTCTCCAAAATCCGAAATGGCATTTTGAATTTGGACACAAAATTTGCGGTCCTGAAAGTAGTTATGTAACAACTTAATGAGGAATGGATCAACATTAAGTTCAATTAGCTTGTAAATAATACCTTTATGCCAGGTCGAATCGAAGGCTTTCTGAATGTCTAATGATACTGCGACTGTTGAATTCTGCAATCTTAGGTTGTAGACAATATCCGAGTGTAGTTTAAGAAGTGCATGTTGCGTCGAATTTCCAGGCCTGAATCCAAACTGGTAGTATGAAAGAGGATTTATAACAAATTCATTTTCGATTTTTGATTTTAACACAGCTTCAAAAAGTTTTCCGATATTAGAGAGCAGTGAAATAGGTCTGAAATCAGCCACATTTTCTGAGGAGTTCTTTTTTTTAATGGGAATTATCTTTGAAATCTTCCACGATGGGGGGAAGTGCCCATTATTAAGACAGTTGTTGAAGACAATGACCAAGAGTTTTATGGCCGACTCAGGGATCTTTTTCAGTATGTAGTTCGAGATGTTATCAATGCTGCAAGATTTCTTGTTTTTAGAAGCGGCGATTATGCTTTTAACAGACTCCGAATTTGTGAAGTGGTAAAGGCAAGGTAGATGTACTAGGTAATCGCATCAGCTCAGCTGACGGCACCATTAAATGTCAAAACAAATTGTTGTAATGAAGAATTCGCCCTAAATGAATGCAACAACAAATTTGTTTATGTTGTTTTCCCTAAAAGTACCTTTTAAATAATTTAAGAGCAAGTTAAGAGTGAAACCAGTAAAAAAATTAAAAGAAAATGAAGGAAGGAGGTTAAAATGGAGTGCAACTCTAAGAATTAAGTTAACCTCAACATCTAAGATTCCCAAAGCACATCACGGGAAGTAGTGCGAGAATTCCGCTCTTGTCATTTGCAGTTCCGGAAAACTTTCGGCTTAAACCAGTAAAATATAGTCATTATAAGTTTCTTGGTTTAAAAAATATCGCAATACTACAATTAATACTTATTTTACTCTTATTTGTTTTACAATAAAAACGACGTTCGTTTACGACGAGAGGCACACAAAATAAAATGTAAACAAACACCTCGTTTCTGATTGGTTGAAACAAATTTGCCGCAACCTTTAAATGTCATGGCGAATCTATGTTTTTCGCCTTAGATGCCAATTTTGACATTTGAGGGGACCACAAAAGTTGCTTTGTTGTAGCAATTCGCCGATGCGGTTACCTGTTAGATCTACCTTGGGTAAAGGTCTTCATTATCGAGGGATGTGAAATCATCATTAAAGGTAAAGGCAACATTTTCTGTGTTGTCAATATGTCTGTGTACAGAGTACGCAGAAAGCACAGCGCACCGTCGTCGATTGGTTTACACATAATAGGACGCCGCCACCGAAGAAATTGCTGCGCTTCGTAGTCTGCTCCAAATAAAATAAAATTTTAATCATTCGAACATTTTTACATTTCACAGAAATAGCTTCAATTGCGTCGTCTATTCCACATGCCAAACACAGAAAATCAACAAATGATTGTTCTGATATTTTAATTCGGAAATATGTATTACAAAACAATACTGACGTTTCTATTTACCGGCTTAATATGTGAAGCAACAGTCGCGCAGCATTATAAGGAAGTGAGACATGCCCAACGTCAAATAAGAGCTGCATTGGATAATGCCAACGCAGCTGCAAGGGATCGCACCCTTATTGATAATCATGATTGTGAAGAGCTGAAAACACTTTGTACGCACATCAAATCTACTGATAACCTTTCGGTCTTAGAATGCGTGGCCACATTTACATCTAGTCAATTAGAAGGTCTCTCCGATAAGTGTCAACATGCTGTGTGGCATGAAACTAAGGAGCTACTGAATAATAAATGGCTGGAAGACAATCTCTTGCAAAGAACATGTATGAAGGAAAAAGATAAACTGGAATCATGCATAAATGCTGTTGATGTTTGGTCGTGCATTAAGGATCGAGCTCAAATAATGGAGCATGGCAACAAATGCCGTACTTTTATAAAGAGAGTCAGTGCCATTTTATTCCCAGATTATGACAATTTGGGAGATTTCTTCAACAGTTGTTCCATGGAATTGCAGCAACTGGAATGTGGTCGACTGAATACTGAACGCAGACCCATTTCCCAACTTGAGACTGCGGAGTGCTTGATGCAGACAGGTGCCGATGTTTTGGGACAACCATGTAAAGCGGCGGTTGCTCGAATCGAACAGCAAAATGAAGATTTGAGGTTTTTTGACATTTGCTCCGAAGATCTTAAACATTTGTGTCCCGAAGAAGTCACAAGAACACCCGGGGCATTTAAATGTCTGGTGAAAAATAAGGGTAATCCTGGAATGACTACACGCTGTGCTGACCAAATTGGTCAAAGAGATCGAGAAATTGCCAAGGACTATAGGGTGTCCCGTGGTCTGGCAAAAGCATGCAAAGATGATATTAAGCAACATCATTGCCGTCGGGGTGTCTCCGAAGATAAACAAGTACGCTTGGCTCAAATTCTACTATGTCTAGAGACGGTTGAGAAGAATGGTACAAAAATTGCTCCCGAATGTCGCCTGGAAATTGATGATCATCGTCGCATGTTGATGTCCGATGGACAATTGTCACCTGAAATTTTAAATGACTGTGCTGATGATATACCCAAATTCTGTGGAAATGTTGATAAATTGTCTAACATTGGTATGGGTCAGGGAACGGGAGGTGAAATTATTCATTGTCTAATGGAGCATGCTCGAAAGCGGCGTAAAGATAGGCGTATTACATCGCAATGCCAACGTTCCCTGGAAACGTTAATTAAAATCTCAGACGTGGGAGAAGATTGGCGTGTGGATCCGGTATTGCGACGCAATTGTAAACCTGTTGTAGATGTTGCCTGTCGAGACACCGATGGTGGTAATGCCCGTGTTATGTCATGCCTAATGGAACAACTAGGAACTCCAGTTATGACAGCAGACTGCGAACATTCCCTGCTGCTGATACAATATTTTGTAGCCAGAGATTTTAAGTTGGATCCCCAGCTGTACAAACACTGTCATGATGACGCAATCAAATATTGTCATGCCAAAAAGCAATGGGATGATGTAACAGACATACAAATGGATCCCGAAAGAGGTCCACTAATTTTACCCTGTCTTCATCGTATGGCTTACAGTGACGACGAACAGAATACCCTGCGTCCAGCTTGCTTTAAGGAAGTTAAGCGAGTCATGAGACAAAGAGCGGTATCTGTCGATTTGATACCAGAAGTAGAGGACGCTTGCATTGATGATCTTTCGTATTATTGTTTTGACCACACCGAGAAAGGTGCGGAAATGGATTGCCTACAAACTAATTTGGAAAAATTGCAAAAATCGTGTAAGGTGAGTAATAAATGGAAATGGAGAAGAAGAAGGAAGGCCCATTGTCATATTAAATCGAATCTCTTCTTAAGAATGCACTATTTTATTTACTCTCATATTTTCACTTTATTTTTTTAGGATGCTGTTACATCATATACCGAGGAAGAAGCTGCACATGTCGAACTAAATCCCGTGATTATGTCCGTATGCACTGAAGCCATGAAAACCCATTGTGATCACATTCTAAAAGGTGGAAAAGACCGAGGAGATATGATGGACTGCCTAATTTCGCATAAAAATGATGCTGATCTGAGACAGGATCTTAAATGTCGGGCAGCTATAGAACACTTTCAAATTATTTCACTGAAAAACTATCATTTTACGTATAAGTTCAAAGAAGCCTGCCGTCCACATGTGGTACGTTTTTGCTCAGGAAGTACTACCAAAAATGATGTGGTAGCCTGTCTCAGTGAAGTTATGCGTAACGATACTATACGCGGTCAACGACCACGCATACCCAAAGAATGCCGCCAGCAAGTCAAAGCGCAGCTATATCAACAACGAGAATCCCTGGAACTTGATCCAAAACTAGCAAAAGCATGCAAAAAAGAAATGGAACAATTTTGTTCGGATAAAAAAGGCCCGGGACAGGTGAATGATAAGAATGCAAGTTTATGTTGATTCACAACCATTTGTATATTGCCCCCAGTTCATGATTACATTTTCTATATTTTTATTATGGCACTTAATGTCTGCCTTTTTGAATTCATGAAACATCAATTATTTTTTCATTCGCATAGGCTTTGGAATGTTTAACATTAAATACGCCTAGATTGGGCAGCGATTGTCATCATGCTATCTTTCTGGTCAAGAAATCGGAGCTTGGCGATAGTGCAACAGATTACACTTTGGTAAATACTTGTAAAGAAATGACATATAAATATTGTTCTAAGGAGGATCCTATGCGTCTGCTTGACTGTCTGAAAGTGTACAAGGATGATCCGTCTTTTGATCCACGATGTCATTTAGTAGTAGTAAATCGAATGATTGAACAAAACACCGACTTTAGATTTAACCCCTCGCTACAACTTCATTGCGGTAAAAATATTGATCGATACTGTTCCGATATTGTAGCAAATGCACAACCTAATGAGGAGTTAAATGGGAAGGTAAGTTGGAGATAATCCTAAAAAAGCCATATAAAATCTAACAGGAATTCTTCCAATACAACAAACTCACAGGTTATTCAGTGTCTTAAGGATAAATTCCGTCGATCACTCCTCGATGAAGAGTGTTCCCAGGAAATGGTGAAAATTTTGCAAGAGCAGGCTCTTAACTATAAACTTAATCCTTTGTTGCAAACATTTTGTAAACATGAGATTGCCGTCCTTTGTAATCCTGACAACTATGTCAAAGAGCATGGCATGGTTGAGGAGTGTCTTAAAACAGCTTTCCTAAATCAGAAAATTGTTAATCGTGATTGCCGACTGGAGGTAGCAACTTTAATTGCTGAAGCCAAAGCGGACATTCATGTCGATCCCATATTGGAGGAAGCCTGTACAGATGATTTGTTGCGCTATTGTTCCAATGTGAAAAAGGGAAATGGACGAAGTAAGTATTACAAACTGTATCCAAAGCACAGGAAATACAAGTATATTTGACAAATTTTCTGTGTATTTTACTTTAGAACTAAAATGCCTGCAAACAATTTTGCAAGATCATTCCAAGGCCATGGAAGAAGACTGTCGTTTAAAATTACAAAGACGAATTGAAATGTTCCGAAATGCAGATACGGTATGTATACATGTGAAGCATAAACATTGTAAATAATAAACATACGCATTTGTATTTGTTGTTTATTTTATTTATAGGTATTAGTTCAGCCGCCGGAAAATATGGAACAATTGGTTAATCAAGTTGTCACATCGCCGGCGAAAAAGTTCTTTATCGTTATTTTGATGACTGCTGTTGGTATGGTATTCATGTTGGGTATCTTCTTCGGACGAGTCACAAAACGTGCAATGAACACCAAAAATAAATAATATTTATGAAATGAATGTAATCTTTCAGTGACTTAAAAATGTTCTACCAAAACATATACATACATATATTTTTATAATTAATATTTTTATCTAGTGATTCCATAGAAAAGCTAACATAAGTTAAGAACAAAAAAAGTATTGGGACATTTATTTGTAGCAACAAGTTTGAATTCCAAATTTTAGTTTTAATGTTTTTAATTCCATTTTGTTTTCTGTATTGGCGTTATTTTCTGTGTTTATGATTTTTTTTATTAAATTATGTTGTATGTGAAAATCTTTTATTGTTTGTGCATTAAATTTCATAGAATAATATTAGGAAAATCAATTTAGATATACTTGCAGAGGCCGAATTGTTATAGGGATTTTGGATGATTCGAAATTGTAACATAACAACAACACTTCCTTTAACGAAGTTACGTATACTATGTAGATCGAAAAAAAAAAAAAATAAATAAAGAGGAATTTCTAGGCAGCAACACACATTATAAATATAAGAGAAAAAAAAAGAACTACAAAAGGATGCAGTCATACATTTAAATAATTTAATTTTATGAGCACACAGTTATTTTAATGGCTTCGAAATGTATTTTATGTTTTAATTTATCAACATGCTATGGAGAATACACTTTTTGTATGTAAAATAAAAACTATTTTTTATAAGATAAAATATATTTAGTGAAATAAAAGGATGTTTTAAAAGCTTCTAGTGCAACTAAAAATTGCCTTACAATTTGACATAATTAATTTACCCTAGGATACGTGGTTGTTAATCCAACAACAACGAATTATAAAATTTACATTCCAACCATCGTAGAGGAATGGTAGAGGATGCATCAATGCTTGGGAACATTGATATGTCAAAAAATTTTTTTTTAAATATAAGTAGTTTTTTATATGCTTTCTTATACGACGTCACTCGGAGATTATTATAATACGCATTCTTCAACAATTTTAAGGAATTTGAATAATTTTTTATTCAGCATTTTCAATTCCAAAATTGGTTTGACAATTCATTGTCCCAGCACCATGATTACAACATAATGTGCTCATAAACATCATATCGGGTGAGTACTATTCCTGTAATTCCTGAATATCAGGCGTTGGAATCGTTTTAATCCGTAATTTTTGATTTACATTCTTCAGATTCCGATCGATTTAGTAAATTAAAAAATTCACCATTCAGTGGTTATGTGGCAACATTATGAAATCAAAACGAACCATATAATTGGAAAACACTGTAGACGTGGAAATTGTGAAAAATATTCTGTTTAAAAGAATTATTTTGCCAAACGAAAGTAACTACTGATTTAATGCCACTTTCTATCGGCATTCGTTCTGTTATATACCTGATTATACAGGGTGAGATGAATAAACGGCAAACAACTTCAGGCTGCTGTTATTTCCAAGCCACTCGTCTGACAGCTCATTATATTGTTTACAAGTGTACAAAAGCATTCTGGTGAGAATTTTCCAGAAAAAAGGTTATTCGTGATGGAATTCAAGCGTAATGACTATCGTTAGAGCACTCCAGCATTTAAATTTGAAATTAAATCTTTTGTGTCTCGTACCATAGCTTGTTACCGTGATACTGGTAGCGTAGCCCGACGTGGAAGTGGACGCAAGAAAACAACGAAAAATGGCTCGTGAACTGAACATATTGCAATATTTAATTCGGCAAATATTGAAAAATGAGCTCGGGGTAAAGCCATTGAAATTCCAAAAAGTGCAAGAACTTACACCGGAACAGAATGAAAAAAATAGACTCAAAAGAGTTAAAGAGTTGCTTCGCTTGGCTGCAAGTGGTGAACTGCCGAATTTGGTTTTGCCCATACCGCACGGAAGCACATTTCGAACGGCTTATTTTTCCGTAAGCCGCCATTATACAAACCAGCCAGCTCCTAGTCGGTAGAGACCCTGCAGTTGATGTCCGTCCGTTACGACGCGGCGACGCGAAGTGATCCGGCACCTTAATAAAAGAGAAGAAAAGAAACATAGCTGAGTAAAAAGAAAATCTAATAAATTTTATCAATTTAAAAACTTTATTATTTTATATCCTGTTATGTGGAAGTCCTAGGTTAAGTTGTGTCGTTTAAGTGTTAATTTCCGTAAGATCATAAGAATTTTAATCTATTGCCGCGCGGTGAAATTGGTATGTCCCCATCCATCTAAGAGAGCTTTGTTAGGAAGGAATCCGTAAACTTTGCGTTGAACAAGCAAGACTTGGCGTAAAATTACGACTGCGTTAATTAAGGGTAATTTTAGTAAGTGACTCGCAAAAACTAGTTGTGTTCCAGTACTTTTTTAGTAGTAAAACTAGCAGAAGAGAGAACAGTTCGAAATGTCATTCTCATTTAGGTTTGCTCAAAAAATAAGGGAACGGAAAATTAGCAGAAATGCGATAAAATGTCAAAATTCAAAATTATAAAAGTAAACAGCCTAAATCGGACTGGTGAAACCTTACTGAAAAGAGCGCCAACATTTAAAAAATGAGTATTGAAGACGATAGGTTAAAATTAATAATTTATAATAATAATTACTAATCTGATTCCTCATTCAGCCAGTCCTCTTCACTGCTGGAATCATCCAAAAGTGAATACATCAGTTACTCCATATTTTCTCTTTTTGTTTTTTGCACGACAAATATTAGTTTTTCCTTTAGTTTTCAAGTTGATCATTTTCTTTATTGAAATGTATCTATACATTTTTCAACCTTGTTAGCCCTGCCAATTAAATGTCAAATTTACAATATGCGCATTTCTGCTCGGCCAAATTCATGTAGCTAAAACAAGCAGAAATGTGCACCACTCAGCGCCATTTTTTTCTCGAGAGAGCTGCAAGTTTTGCTAGTTTTTGGAGTACGGGAACGCGTTGTAGCAGAATTAGTGCTAATTAGTACTAATTTGCAGGTTCTGGAACACAACTACTATTATCAACGCAGGTGTTAATGTTTCGATTTTTTTATTTCTTGTGTTAGAAATAAGTTTTAACGACCAAATACGACAATAAAAAGGTCTTAAATATTGTTTATCACTAGGATCCATGGTAAAAGAATACAGGTAGATGCATCAACGCTTGGAAACATTGATATGTCAAAAAAATTTAAATGTTTTTTCAAATATAAGAAGATTTTTATATGTTTTCTTATACTACGTCATTCGGAGGTTATTATAATTCGTGTTTTTCAACAATTTTTGCAAATTTAAATAATTTTTCATTCAACATTTTCAATTCCAAAATTGGTTTGACAGTTCATTGTCCCAGCAGCTGTGTCGACGCGTCTACCTATATTCTTCTACCATGCTAGGATCTAACCATGGTAGAAGAACATAGGTAGATGCATCGACACAGCTGCTGGGACAATGAACTGTCAAACCAATTTTGGAATTGAAAATGTTGAATGAAAAATTATTTGAATTCGTTGAAAAACACGAATTATAATAACCTCCGAATGACGTCGTATAAAAAAACATATACAAATCTACTTATATTTGAAAAAAAAAAACATTAAAATTTTTTTTGGCATATCAATGCTCCCATGCGTTGATGCATCTACCTGTATTCTTCTGCCATGGATCCAACTTAAGGACGGGCGGGCGATGCGAAGGAGCAAAGCCACAAAACTCTACCGTAGTTCTACCATGTTAGGAACATTAAAATGTCAAACATTTTTTAATGATTTTTCCAAAATACTTAAATTTTTATATGGAATAATAAGAGAATGTAGAAAAAATCTACCCCCTAAATACATTTCACGTAGACACAGTTTGTATATGTGTGTGTATTGTTTTGAATAAACAGAAGAATAATTTAAAATATTTCAAGTATAGGGACAATATAAACGCATATTTTTCACGTTAACGCGTAAAAAATGTATAATTTTGGGATAAAAGAATCTTGTCCTACTATCTTGGATTAAATTTTGTTGAGAAATTCCAATATTCCATTCCAAAAATCTACCCCCTAAATAAATTTTTTTCTTTGGGTGCCCCTATCCCATCAAAACGTAGACACAGTTTGTATATGTGTGTGTATTGTTTTGAATAAACAGAAGAATAATTTAAAATATTTCAAGTATAGGGACAATATTAACGCATATTTTTCACGCTAACGCGTAAAAAATGTATAATTTTGGGATAAAATAATCTTGTTCTACTATCTTGGATTCAATTTTGTTGAGAAATTCCAATATTCCATTCAAGTTTTGTGGTCTTCCGCAATATAATATTTTTGTGAAAAAAAATTATTGACAGACAAAACCAATTGTTGCATTTTTAAAAGTATTTGACACAATAAGACTTCAGCACAGAGTTGCATTTTTCTAGTTTCCTTGAAGTTGAACAATCTTTCTAATTGAGTCATGGATTTTTATATGTTTTCTAATACGACGTCTATCAGAGGTTGTTAAGATATGCATTTACAAAGAATTTTTACAAATTTCAAAGAATTTTCATTCAAAAATATTCTATTCCAAAATTGGTTTGACAGTAGCTGTGTTGATGCGACAGGTACATCAACGCTAGGGAACATTGATATGTCAGAAAAATTGTAAATTTTTTGTCAAATATAAGTAGATTTTTATATGCTTCCATGGTAGAAGAATATAGGTAGATGCATAACAGCTTTGTAACATTGATAAGTCAACGTTTTTAAAATGTTTTATCGAAAATAAGTATATTTTAAAAACTTTTCTTATATGACGCAATTGTTACAATATGATTTTTTTTCGTTCAACATTTTCAATTCCAAAATAGGTTTGACAGTTCATTGTCGCAGCAGCTGTGTCGACAATGAACTTTCTGTACTCTTCTACCATGATGTTTTCTTATGCGGTGTCATTTGCAAACATGCTTTGACATTTCATTGTCCCAGCAACTGTGTCGATGCGTCTACATATATTCTTCTACCATGCCTACGTGGTAGAAGAATACAGAATTCTTGGGAATATTGATATGTCAAAAAATTTTAAAAGTTTTTTTCAAATATAAGTAGATTTTTATTTGTTTTCTTACACGTCGTCATTCGGAGGGTATTTTAATTCGCGTTTTCAACAAATTTTGAAAATTTAAATAACTTTTCATTCAACGTTATCAATTGCAAAGACCATAAAGGTCAACAACTCCAATGTAAACATACTATTCTTTATGCTTGGTATCGGACTTACTACATTAGAAAATCTACGTTACGTCCTCAATAATTACAAATCGATTGTGATGGAACAAATCGGAATCGTCTCGGTCCATCCAATAATCGATTAAACTTCCTAATCTCAATACATTTATAAATTAATTCTCGAGCAATAGCCAGCGAGTTTTCAGCGAGTGTTCCTCCCGAAAAAGACAAATTTAATAAATCAACTTAAAAATGCCTGCTAAAGCTGTCTGTGTTATTAACGGTGATGCCAAAGGCACTGTTTTCTTTGAACAAACCGTAAGTAGAGACATCTAACATTATAATAAAAGGATATTTTTTCCTATCTACTTTCTACATGATTCTAAAAAAATCTGAATTTTTATGGGTTTGAAGTTCAAGAATAAAACAGCACAGCACACACATGTCTATCTATTATGTGCTTGTGTATGTAAAAGTAAATATTGAAGCCGGCAAAAGGCAACGAAAAATACCATAGTCATGATTGTGGACCTATGCCAGGGTCGTGTGCACTGATTAGAGGTTTGAGACGGCCCATCGTAGGAAAATTGAAATTCAAAGCAAATGCAATTTGTTGTGTGTGTGGGTATATAAGAATAATTAAATACACACCTTTAAACGCTTTATGATAAATGCACCTACTTATGAACACAATGAATACGCAATAAGTTGTCTCGAGCGAAGTTCTCGGTAATTGAGACATGGGGACATTCAGAGTGTTGCCAACTATAAAGATCATGGCGACGAAAAATTGCAAATAAGAATGTTTGGCCGTTACATGAAAAAGAGTGTGCCATAGTAAATTTGTCCGAAAGTCTTGAATATCCAAAAAATATTGTCGACACCTAAGTATGACCTGTTTTTTTAACTACATTGCTATGGGCCTATATTTATAAACTGTTTTGCTTTTCAAATGAAAAAAAATCTAATCTCAAAAGCACTAATAGAAACGGAGTTCTAAGGATTTTTGGACTTTCATATGACACCCGTAACTTAGGAATCTGGCTATACCCATTCATACTTTGCTTGCGTTTTGTGGCCGTACCTTAATTATCTGGTAATTTTTTCTTAGTATAAGATATTCTAGGTTTAGTAAGTAAACGAAATGATTAGTGAATAACTAAAATAAATAATTACCTGAAATGCTGAATCGAAAAAGCTTTGTCATCTCATTTTGACATTTTACTAGTTTGTTTTTCGTTACTGTACTTTCTAATCAAAGCTACTCTCTCGTGCCGAATTTCTAATTTATCTGTTTTACTAATTTTACCATTAAAATATAAGAGTATATTTTGTGGGAGAGAAGCACATTGGATGAGAGGCTTTGAATGAACAACAGTGTTGCCAGCTCACTTGTAATTACACGTATCGTGTGTAATTTTTTGTTGCATGTGTGGCCCATGTGTAATTACCAAATGCTACTGCACAAAGAATGTTTAGGTGATGACTTTACTGGAGAATGTTCGACACTTGTGTTTGTTTTTTACAAAGTCGTCATATAAATAGCGTAAAAAAAAGCCAAGTGACCACTACCTTAACCGGGATGAATTCATGATATTGGTAGCGATCAGCAAATGTTGCAAAGCTGTCAGTTTTGTTTTGAAAAACTACTCTCTGCAATAGAGAGTAACACGAAGATAATAAGCAAATACCCTGGACTCAAGCAATCGAATATTTAGCAAATAATTATATTTTTTAGCTATAATTTGATATAAAATGAATTTTTGTTTATTTTTGGACTATACAGGGTGAGATTAAAAAAAAAAACTTCAACAAAGTCAAAGTTACTGGATGAAAACAAAAAAATGTCGGATATAGCATTAAATTTTAGAATAAGTTTAGATTTGTTCGAATTGGTTACCTTTGGCACGAATTATGGCCTTCAAACGGCCAATTAAACCGTCACACGCTGCCCGAATGTTGCTCTTCGGTATTTTGGCCCATTCCCCGCGAAGCGCTTGCTTGAGGTTATCGACACTGGTATTTTTTAGTGCCAACCTTGCTTACCAAAAGACTCCAGACACAATAGTCCAACGGATTGGTATCCGGAGATTTTGGTGGCCATTGTGGGCTGGAAATGAAGCGATTAACCTCATTTTAGAACCATTCTAGGGTGGCGCATGCTCAATCCTATTGGAATGTCCAAGGTCTGCGGCCAAAATGTTTGCGAGCCCAAGGCTTTAATACATCCTCCAGAATATTTTCGCTATAATATTCGGCATTTATTCTGATGTCACGGTCGATTAATACGAGCGGAGAGTGACCATTGACTGTTATGGCGGCCCACACTATCACCATGGCCGGCGCTTGAGTTCTGGTGGTCAACCGAAGGTGCACATTTTCAGCTGACCTCTTTGGCAAGTAAACACGATAATTTTGTTTGTTTACAAACTGCTGGACAACAAATGTTTTCTCATCGGAGAAAACCCAAATTCGGCAGTTCACCACTTTCGACCAGCAAAGCAACTCTTTAGCTCTTTTAAGTCTATTTTATTTCTGTTGCGGTGTAAGTTCTTGCACTTTTTGGAATTTCAATGGCTTTACCCCGAGCTCATTTTTCGATATTTGCCGAATGGAATATTGCGATATGTTCAGCTCACGAGCTATTTTTCTACCACTGCGACGCGGGTTTGTTCAAGTCGCTTCTTTACTTTTCGAACCTTTTATGCTGATATTGCTGTTTTCTTCCGTCCACTTCCTTGACGTTGGGCTACCAGTATCACGGCAACGAGCGATGGTACGAGACACAAAAGATTTATTAACATTTAAATGCTGGAGGGCTCTAACGATAACCACCTGTGGCTTTTCAGCCAAACAAAAAGAAATCACGCTTGAATTCCATCATGGATAACAAAGAGCATTTCCTTTCTATTATCTAGGACGAATCTTCTCCTGTTGTTGTAACTGGTGAGGTTACTGGTTTGTCCAAGGGCTTACATGGCTTCCACGTCCATGAATTCGGTGACAACACCAACGGATGTACATCAGCTGGACCCCATTTCAATCCAAAAGGCAAAGAACATGGTGCACCCTCCGATGAGAACCGTCACGTTGGCGATTTGGGTAATATTGAAGCCAGTGGAGATGGCCCAACAAAGGTATGATATCATGTTGCACTTTTTTGTCTGTTTTACCAGTTATTTATTTATTTATTTTATTTATTTAATTAAAGGTCAACATCACTGATTCTCAAATTAGTCTGTTCGGCGCCAATAGCATTTTGGGACGTACAGTCGTCGTACATGCCGATCCCGATGATTTGGGCAAGGGTGGCCATGAATTGAGCAAGTCAACTGGAAACGCTGGTGCTCGCATTGGTTGCGGTGTAATTGGAATTGCTAAAATTTAAATCACCCCACGATACTTTTGAGTTTTATTGATTTACATACTTATTGTAGGGTTAGCCACATGTTTCCATTGTTTTAATCTACATATTGAACCCCAATAGAAGCGCTTTATAATTTAATTATATATTGCTCCTAAGTTTCCTTATAGTGCTGAAAATTATATATGCTATATTCAAATGTGTATATCAGCGCAAACTATTTGCAATTCTAAACAAATCTTCGAGTAAAGATATTGGTGAATAGAAAACAAAGATTTAAGTTTGATTTATGAATACGAGATACAGCGACATTTAGGTGAGTAAGAAAATCGAATAATTTGTCGATTTATTATAAAATGTTCGAAAACATAAAATTCCAGCAATTGAAAGCGAAACTGTGATGTTGATAGATTTTAGACAAGCTTTGAATTAAATAGTCTACATAATGCATCAACGCTTGGGAAAATTGATATGGCATTTTTAATACCCTCCACCATAGTATGACTTAATATAGTATGACTTAAACTTAATATACCCTAAGTTTGTCATTCCGTGTGTAACACCTCAAAATATACATTTAGGCCTCATTCTTGATCAGCATAAAATTCTATGTCGATTTAGCGATGTCCGTCAGTCTATCCGTCTGTGGAAATCAATCCAGCTTCCGAACGAATTGAAGTAGATCGATAAAATTTTACTCAAATGTATATAATGTATGCTTTTGGTATTGGATATGCGCCATGTAGGTCCACGTTTTGGTATAGCCACCATATAAAGGCACCTCACGATATTGGGTATTTTGATGATTTTAGCGACAGTATTCACCGGAATTGTTTCAAATTTGGTATTTCAAGTTCGTAATGGAGACTACAGCCTAAGACAGAAAATTGTCTGTGCAGGTAGACGTCTTCGTCCCATATAACGGTACATCCCGATATTCGGTATTTTGATGATTTTAGCTACGTTACTTACCGATTTTTTTATTCAAGTTTCGCATTTGAATATTGTAATTGCTTATGACAAAAGTTACCTATGCAGGTCTATGTCGTCGTATAGACCCAAATATAACAGCTACATTCGGTTCCAAATGGTGGAGGGCATTTAAAGTTCGGCCCGGCTGAACTTTCGGCTTTTTGACTAGATTTGTATAAGTTTTTTTATAAGACACCAATCGGAGGTTGTTTTCATATGCGTTTATCAACAAATTTTGAATAATTTTTCATTTAAAGCATGGTACAATGAAGATAGGGTAGACCATGGTACAGTGAAGAGAAGGTAGGTCAACTTTGAAAAAATTGCAAGTATAGAGGTCTACCTGTTTGGCTTGTAATGTCAGAAATAGTATCAAAACAATAACAAAATCAAACAACTTGTTGCATTTATTTTGAATAAATAATTGAAAACCGCGAAAACTGAATAAAAGGTCAACACTTCTATTCAAAACCAGGTTCTATATATCTCTAAAGGATTATTTCGCTACAAAAACTCTAGATTTTGTCGATGCATACGATGAAATAAACATTTTGGAAACATCCGAATTTGAATGTTTTCTGAACAATTTTTTTGTTATTGAAAAGAAAACACATACATAAACAAATAAAGATGACAAATTAAGCCAAGAAAATAAAAAAATTGAAATCATATGGTATCGTAGCCCTACCTTGATATCATTGTACCATGGGGTAGGCCAACTTTGAAAAAATTGCAAGTATAGAGGTCTACCTGTTTGGCTTGTAATGTCAGAATTAGTATCAAAACAATAAAAAAAATCAAACAACTTGTTGCATTTATTTTGAATAAATAATTGAAAACCGCGAAAACTGAGTGAAAGGTCAACACTTCTTTTCAAAACGTGGTTCTATATATCTCTAAAGGATTATTTCGCTACAAAAACTCTAGATTTTGTCGATGCATACGATGAAATAAACATTTTGAAAACATCCGAATTTGAATGTTTTCTGAACAATTTTTTTGTCATTGAAAAGAAAACACATACATAAACAAATAAAGATGACATATTAAGCCAAGAAAATAAAAAAATTGAAATCATATGGTATCATAGCCCTACCTTGATATCATTTTACCGTGATTTAAAGTTTTCAATTTCAATTTTTTTTTGACAGTTCATTGTCCCATCAGCTATATCGGTTTACATGGTTTACATACCATGGTAGAAGAATACAGGTAGTTGCATCGACATAGCTCTTGGGACAATGAACTGTCAAATCAATTTTGAGATTGAAAATTTTGAATAAAAAATTATTCAAATTTGTAAAATATGCTCGAAAATCTAGTAGACAAATTTAAGAGAAAATAATTACGTTTACATGAAAAAAACTCTTCCAGATCGCTGAAAAATCACAACAAATGTAAGATATTTTTTATACTGTTAGATTTATTGTGACTGGTCAATTTTCAGGGTTTAGCCGTGTAGAGATTTTGTATTTTACTTACAAACTTTTATCCGGGTTAATAGCACGTTTAGACACAAAATTTTATACGGATTAACCCACGTTTTTAGGATTTATTGCCTAAATCTGATTTTTTTCTACCAGATTTACCATACAAAAACGGATTTTCTCACAGCAGGAGTTAATTTGGATCCGTTGAGGAATCTACAAACTAACGGAACATGTCACTGGACACAACATTAGTATTGCAGTACACTCCATGTATGATAGAAGAATACAGGTAGTCGCATTGACACAGCTGCTGGGACAATGAACTGTCAAACCGATTTTGGAATTGAAAATTTCGAATGAACAATTATTAAAATTTGTAAAAATTGTTGAAAAATACATATTATAACAACCTCTGATTTGCGTCGTATAAAAAACATTGAAAAATCCACTTATTTTTAATAAAACGTTTTAAAAATTTTGACATATCAATGTTCCCAAGTATTGATGCATCTACCTATATTCTTTTACCATGACTCCATGTTATAATAATTACAAGGTAGGGCAGAATGATTAAATTTGAAAACAACATCCTGAAGCTAGAATCCACTAGAAGGTAAAGTCAAGTAATCATATGTTTAATTTTTTTTTTCAAATTTATGCATTTGACATCAACTCATTGTCAAAATCTATATTTTTCTACCATGGTAGAAAATTTATTTATTTATTTATTTGACACTACAAGACTCCGGCACCGAGTTGCATTTTTAGTTTCTTTGAAGTTGAGCAACCTTTCTTATTGAGCCATGGGACGCCCGACATTTGGTTTGTTGGGTGATCAGTGTAAAAGTCGCAGCTGATTGCGTCCTTTTTCCATGTCCCATTCGTAAACAAAGCAAAGACTATCGGCCATTATGCATCACACACATTCGTAAACAAAAATAAATGTATTGCTCATTTTGTTTTGTGCTTAGTATTTAGCTATATTTGTCATTTGTCTCTTTTGTTTGGAACGTTTTTTAATTCGTTCGGTCCGAACAAGGCAAGATGGCGAACAAGAAAATCGAAAAAACCACTCGGCTGATTGCTGCATAGTCTTCTTTTAACTATTTCTGCGTTGAAAATTTAATAATATACGTACAAATAAGACCATAGATAGGCATTTTGAGGTCCCAATCCTCGTGTAATGCTTTTATTACAAGAAAAACGGCCCCTAAAGCGAGCTTTGGGGCCGCCAGATGTGTATCCACAAGATGCCCGACAACGCGAAGACGAATTGACTCCATCAAATGTTAAACATGGATTTGCTACTATGCCTCCACTATCGGATGAATTTGGCACAGCCCACACGTCAAATGTCAATGCCAGTAAGGTGGCCTCGTTCTTCAATGCCATAGTGGCTAAAAAGGAAGAGTTAATGACCCTGCAAGATACAGTGCGTAAGAAGCAGCAATTCAATATCAAAGATAACTTTTGGCCGGTATCACCTCGTACAAAGACGGCTTTGGATGCTTGGTTTAAGGATTTGGCTGGGAATAAACCATTACTCAGTTTGGCCAAGAAGGCACCATCATTCAACAAAAAGGAAGAAATACTGATAACGTTGTGTGACCACCAGGTGAATATGCAGAGAGCTACTTGGTACATCAAACTGAGTGCTGCATATACGGCGAGCGTGTCTGAGTCGAAAAATAAAAAGAGAAATCTGATTGACCCGGTCACAGAATGGACTGGCATATTAATAAAATTTATGAAAGACTTGTTACCCAAACTACAAGAATACTACCATTTGAGCGAAAAGAGTAAGTAATATTAATTTTATTATCAAGATAGGAGGAAATTTATGCAAAATTGAATTTTAGGTACTCCCGCCGAAAGGGCGTTAATGAGTGGATATGGTGCTCCTACTACCAATAGTAATGGTAATGGTCAAAATGTGCATGCACCCAATTCGTTGACTGCAGCCCATTCAATGGCAAGCCCTGTACCCATGTTGAGTCCGGCCAATAGTCAATCGTCAACTGGAGCCTCTATGGGATCAATGAGTAACAACAGTTCGTCTATGGTAGGCTGTTCCAGCAATCAAAATGTCCTGTCTGGTGGCAGCAATATGCCCGCTACTGGTTCCACAATATCGGGAAGTGGGAGTAATTTTGAAGATAGTAGAAATGCTTTGAAGTATTGGAATTATTGCGCCCAACTGGCTAAATATATGCATGAGGAACAATTGCTGGATAGACAAGAGTTTTTGAACTGGATATTGGAGCTTTTGGATAAGATGCGTACTCAGTCTACCTTTGATGAATCGCTGAAGAAACTAATTTTAACATTTGCCTTGCAATACATGCACGATTTTGTTCAATCGGAGAGACTGTGTCGCAAAATGGCATATATTGTTGCGAAAAAGCTTTCAAATCTATTAAATGGCGTTATAGATCAGCAACAACTCAATTCAAATCACCAACAACCAAAACCCTTGCAGGCTTTGCAAGGTGTAACGCCCATGGATGTGGATGACATCGATGAGGGTTGCCAGAAGAAGAAGACCCCACTTGATCCGTATGAAGTGGCCTTAAACGAATACCTTACGTGTCCACATCATCGTGACATTGTTTTGTGTTTGAGCAGCATTTTGCAAATAGTTACCATAGAATGTCCCACAGCAATGGTGTGGTGTGGCATAGGCGAAAATCGTGCCCCTGCATCGTTGTGTGGTAGTCCATTGGATCATTTACCGTTGGCTCCATCTTCTTTGCCCATGCCTTCCAAATGTCCTCTTACCAATAATGAAGTTCGTCGTCAACTACGTTCCATAGAATCGGAAATTATTTTACGTTCCAAACATGCTGAAAATCGTTGGTTTGCTGAAAAATGGCTAAATGCCAACAAGAATTCCTATACTCATGTCCTAACGATTCTTGATCATTTAGATACTCATTGTTTTGATTTAATGGATCAAAGCAATTCCATTGATACCCTGTATGCTAATATCTTTCAACCCTTTGTAAGTGTGCGGCGTGAAGTGGGGGCAAATGGTGAAATGAATGAGATACATCAGGAGTACGATGCTAACATCGTGGACGGGAATACAGTGAAGATTCTATGTGAATGGGCAGTTTCAAGTCAACGGTAAGTAGCGACAAAAAATGGGAATATCTAAAATTCTAAAAATTCTAAATTGTTTATCTCTCTCTCTTTTAGATGGGGTGAACATCGTGCCATTGTCGTAGCTATTTTATTGGACAAACGTCAAATTGAAGTAACAACGCCATCTGCGGAAGATGTAAACAATGGCAATGGAAATGGCAACAATCCAAATGATGACAAAGACTCGATAGCTTCAGGAGCCGGTTTAATTGGTGGTTTGCCAGTGTTTCAGTCTGTATTGATGAATTTTCTGGATCATGACGCTCCCGTACTCGATGAAAATGGCAGTACTGCTAATCGTACTCAATTCACTAATTTGGTACATTTATTCAGTGCCCTCATACGTCACGATGTTTTCTCCCATAATGCGTATATGTATACCTTAATATCTCGTGGAGATCTGTTGGAAGGAGCGAATGGCATGGGTAACAGCAACCTGAATAACAAGCCATCAAACATAGTGGCGAATAGTGTTTCCGGCCCAGTTTCGAATAAACCTGTAACACCGCCCCCTAATAATCAAGGATTTGATGACGATTTTACAAGTGGTTTAGATTTTAAACACAATGAATACGATGATTCCAATGTTGATGATGATTTGGAAAAAATCCTACAAAACATCAAAGAAAAGGGTCAAGTGCAGGCCCCAGATAGTCCCAAAATTCCAGAGCATAGTAATAGCAACGGCGGCAATACGATATCACGACATTATATCTATACTAAGCATTTTCCCATACCCCAAGATGACTCCTCAATGTCATATAGTAGCGAATCAAATCAAAGATATATTCTGCTGTTTGGCGTTGGCAAGGAACGCGATGAAAAAAAGCATGCCGTTAAGAAAATGTCAAAAGAAATTTGTAAACTATTTACTAAAAAATTTAGTATTGATGTAGCCGAGGGTGGTAAGGTGAAGAAACATTCACGCAATGAATTCAATTTTGAGGCGACAACCAGTAAGTGCCAAAATATGGCCTACTTTGATCAACACGTGGTCACATCTCAATGTGCTGCGACGGTTTTGGAGCAACTGAATGGCTTTGCTGTGGGAAGCAATAACTACTTGCCGGTGCAAGAACACGTCGCATTCCTTTTTGACTTAATGGAAATGGCTTTAAATATACACAGTCTTCTGGAACTTTGCGATCAGATTTTAAAGGAACTACCCGAAGTAGAAAATCAGTTGCAAGTAAAAAAATCAAATATGGTACGGAGTTATACAACCTCATTGGGATTGTACATTGTGGGCATATTACGGCGATATCACAGCTGCTTGTTGCTGTCGCCAGAACAAACCATTTCAGTATTTGAGGGTTTGTGCCGCATAATAAAACATGTAACTAATCCAGCTGAATGTAGCTCAGCTGAACGTTGTATTTTGGCCTACTTAAATGATCTCTACGAAGCTTGTCATTTGTTGCGCTCCAAAGATCAGGAAGCTGAATTTTTCCTGCAAATTTCCAATATCAAGAAATTCAAAGATATCATCAATCAACCGGAACAATTGGGTATGGTGCCACAAAACTATAATGCCCAGTTTATGCAAGAGTTTTTTGCCTCGCCCAAGAGAGGGGGTAAAATTGATCCATTATGGCTGAGACAGCTGCACGAATCTCCAGCGAATATTTATAGTTTTGTGTCGAATGTCATATTTGCAGTTTGTCATGAAACCGATAATGATCGTCTCAATGATATAGCCATTGCATGTGCTGAATTGACTGCTGGTTGTAATGCTTTGTCGGAGGAATGGATAGCTGCTCTGCAAAGTATTTGCAATGCCATGAAGAAAACTCGATATCCTCATTTGTGTCAAATCGATATACAGAATAGCAAAATACACAACTCTTTGGCCGTCTTTATATGCATTTTAGTGGCACGACACTGTTTTACTCTGGCTGAATTTCTGATGAATTTTGCACTGCCAACTCTGGCTAATGCATATCCTGTGCCAGGCTGTGGAGAGATAACGGCTGATGCAGAATCCGGTAAGTAGTGGATTATCATTTGTCGTCTTTGCAAGTAAATAGAGAAATGTAAGTCTTGATTTTTCACGGTTTAAAATTCTCTTATTTTTGTTTTACAGGAGCCCGTCTTACTTGCCACTTGGTTCTAAAATTGTTCAAGACAATTGAAATTCCTCAGCCTGGAATGTATTCGGTTAGCACTTCGCCAAACCCTTTGAATGCCGTCAACAGTTCATCAAATATTAAATTAAGCTGTGACCGCCACCTTCTGATTGCTGCTCATAAAAATTTACCCCTTGAAGCGGTATTAGCAGTGCTGAAGGCAATCCTGATTGTTGTTGACACCACACCCAGTATGGCTGGTAACAGCTCCACAGGAGCATTTGGTAGCGGTGGTGGTACAAGTGGAAAACGTGGAAGTGGTTTCAATACACCCGTGCATCCAGGAAGCACGCCCAAAAGCAATGATCGACCTGTGGATATAAGCCAAATATTGGGTACAAGTGATTTAAATAGCCATACTGGGGACCACGATCATGACATGTCACAGCCACTCTCAACAACGCCCCTCAATGCCAATCAGGGGCCGAACGGCGAACAAATATCCTTGTTGGAATTTGCACAACATGTGCTCAAGCAAATCTGTGCCCAAGAACATGTTTTGGGACGCTGCCTCAAGAATGCCGACAAACTTTGTGACATGGTTGTCGATGATATGCTAACACCCAAACAATCGCAATCAATTCTACACATGATTTTTTATTCAGAAGCTGAATATAATATCATCTCCGAACTGGATCAGCGGTCAATGATTGTAAGAATTTTGGAAAATCTTGGCCAATGGACGTTGCGCATATCTTGGTTGGATTTACAGTTAATGCACAAGCAAAGCATGAATAATCCTTCGGAATTAATGACATGGTTAGATACAGTAGCCCGTGCCGCTATTGATGTCTTTCTTATGGAAGAAGTTGTAACCGGTAGTGGTGGAAAAACCGAATATCGGCCAAAACCATCAACATGGCTGGTGGCTCCATTGGTATCTAAACTAACTCCTGCTGTGCAGGGCCGTATTTTACGTGTGGCAGGCCAGGTGTTGGAAAGCATGAACTACTTTTCGAAAAGTTCTAAAGCGGATAACAACAGTTCATGCAGCGGAGATGAAAGGGAGAAGAGTAACAGCTGTGGCAGCGCCAGTAGTAGTTATAGTAATGGCTCCAATGGTAGTTCACGTAACAAGAAAATGCCTCTTAATTACCAACCATTTCTGGGTTTGATTTTAACCTGTCTCAAGGGTCAAGATGAGTACAAGGAGAGTTTGTTGGTTTCATTGCATTCTCAGTTGTCCCAGTGTCTGCAGTCGTATGCCGAGGTAAATCCTACATTACTTCCTTTTGACTTTGGCAATTGTTTGATATTGTATTTCCTTCCTCTTGTTTTTTTTTTTTTAAGTTTGATACCATGGGTGGTGTAGACGATCCCCAGGGACGTGAAGAAATGCTTGATGCCTTACAGCTACGTTTCTCTTTGGTCGGTGGCATGTTTGATTCCATACAAAAGAATAGTACTTCGATAACAGATTGGGCCATACTGTTGGTGCAACTAGTATGCCAGGGTGTTATAGATTTAAGTACAAATAGGTAGGTAGAATTCGTAGTACTTGTAAATGTTTATTAACCTCTCTTTGTAGGGAACTTTTTACTACCGTGGTAGATATGTTGACCACATTAGTGCATTCCACATTGGTCTCCGATGGACAATCCGAACGGGATGAACGTTTATACTCCAATCTAATGAAGAAATTAAAAAAAGAAATTGGTGAGAAGAATAATGCTTCCATTAAAGTAATAAGGCAACTGCTGCCATTATATAAACAACCGACAGAGGTAAAGCAAAAAAAAAAACTAATGAAAATCCAAGTAAGACTGCACGGACTTGATACAAAATCATTTTAGGTTATATCTTGTGAACCGGCAGCATTAGATCAAAAGGGCAATAAAATAAACGACATGGATAAGAGACTAATGCGTATATCAGACAAGCAACGCATATCCGTTTGGGATATATTGGAGGGCCACAAAAATCCCGCACCATTGTCGTGGGTTTGGTTTGGTGCCGTCAAATTGGAACGTAAACCCTTAACCTACGAAGAATCGCATCGAAATCTCAAATATCATACACACAGTTTGGCTAAGCCAAGTTCATACTACTACGAAGCACTGCCATTACCCCCAGAAGAGGTTGAGCCAGTTCCTGTGGTACCTGTGGTAGTTATTTTATTTTTATTTTCCATGTTTTTTCGTTTATCACATTTTATGTTATTTTAATTTTGTTCTTTTTTATTTTTAAATGTGAATTTGTGTGTTCATTATTGCATCGTACGCAAATAGACACCAACTCCACCTTTCTTGCAGAAGGATGAAATGAAGGCTGATACACCGTCGTCAGTGGATCAATCACCAAGTGCTGTTGTCACAGGCCGTGGTCGGGGTAAGGGTACTACGCGAAAGCGTAAACCTAAACAGCCGAAAAATGCACCAGCTACAAATGTCCAACCAACGCCACAAATTACTGGAACCCAAGTTGGACAGGGGCCACAACAGGTTCCGGGTCAACAGCAACAAGTCATACCTCAGCAGCAGCAGCAACAACAGCAACAGCAGCAGCAACAACAACAGCAGCAGCAACAACAAATGGCTCAGCAACAACAACAGCAGCAGCAACAACAGCAGCAACAGCAGGTGCCGCAACAAGCTATGAATGCCCAACAACAAATGGGACAAATACCAATGAATATGCAAATGGGTGGGAATGTAAGTTAAAATACCTTTTGGGGTCACAAAATACCGTTCAATTTTCAATAATGTTTCAATTGTCGCCTCTAGGTCAATATGCAACAATTCAATCCGAATCAAATGATGCAGCAAAATCCAAATGCCATGATGCAACAACAACAGATGCAAGGTGTGCCGGGTAATATGGCGCAGCAAATGAATGTTGGTAATCCACAACAGAATCAACAAATGAATTTCATGGGACCCGGCGGACCGCAATCGATGCAACAGGCTGGTATGAATCCTCAGGCCCAACAATGGCAGGGACCAAACCAGTTCCATCCCATGCAACAACAGCAACCACAACAGCAATATCAATATCCACAACAGCAACAGCAATGTAAGAACAACTCAAAGCGTTAATACCACCTGGAAATAACATTAATTCCATTTTTTTCTTGTAGTGAATCGATTTGAACGTCCTCAGATAAACAATCCCAAACATGCTCTGCAAAATATGTTGCGCCAAAGACAGCCAACGTTTAATCAAAATAATCAAAATTTCAGTGCAATGCAACAACAACAGCGACAGGGTATGCCAACGCAACAGCAACCGGGTGGCTTAAATCCAGTCCAGCAACAACAAATGCAGCAACAGCAATTTGGTCGGGCTGGTATGCGAGGCATGGCTCCCAATCAAATGGCCGGCGTTGCACCCAATCAAATTGCCCCCGGAATGGGTAATCAAGTTGCCATGAGTGCACAAGGTATGGGTGGCCAAAATCCCATGATGCAACAACAAATGTCGGCTCAGGGTATGAATCCGCAAGCCAATACACAAATGGGCATGAATCAAAACGCTGGCATGATGGGTGCGACTGCCACTGGTAATCCTAACATGATGACTGCCCAGGCTAATAGTGGCATGGTAAACACAGGCGGAATGATGCAACAAAATGTGGGAGTCGGTGTTGGTGTGGGCAACAGCAATGTTGTCAACCAGGGAATGGTTAATCAAGGTGGACCCGGACAATTCCAAAATTTCAATCAATATCAGCAACAAGGAATGAATCAAACGCCTGGACCAAACCAACAGGCCAATATGATGGGTGGATTTAATCAAATGAATCAACGCACAAATCCCGCAGATTTTATGGCCCAACAACAACGTGGCACGGGAGCCATGGCCGGCCAACGTGGACAATACATGAATCAAGCACCCAATGTAACCATGAGTAACATGATGGGCCAGGGCAATGTACCGCCTTATCAAAGGCAGCAATCAACCGGAGGCAAACCTGGTGTGACACAGCAACAATTCCAACAGCAACAAAGAATGCAACAGATGATGCAAATGCAGGGTAAGTTAAAAGGAAAGGGGGAAATTCTCTGCGTGTGACGTGAAGACTCATCTACATTGTTTGTTTATTTCTTTTTTCAGGAATGGGGCCTCAAAATGCTGGTGCCGGTGGCATGGGTCAACCACAAAATCAAAATGTTGCACAACAACAAAATCCCAACCTAGTGGCTCAGCTGCAACGTCAAATGCCCAATCAACCCAATATGATGGGTGGCCCACAATACCAACAACATCCGCCACCGTATTAAAACTCAAAGTAACTAGTAGTATGCCTCAACATTTTAATCATCACCCATCCACTATATTTTATAGCTTTAGGCTCTGTATCGATAATTTGTGTATGTTATCTTATTTAATCATTTATATTTAAAAAAAAAAACAACGTATTCTTTATAAGTTATTATTTTATTTTTCCAATTTTAAGTTTTGATCAAATTATACATAGTATTATAATAAAATGTATTTGAATTAAATTAAATGGAAATTAAATATTAAAAATACTTGAAAGTATATTTTATTCAGAGGTGGAGAGAGAGAGTAATTAAATGAAAGCAATATCAGCAGTGAAACTGCGAAAATTTGCCGTTGGAAAAGTAGGGAATTTCGATCACGAAAATGCTCGTTTGGCAGTATAACAATCAATTAAAAAAGGATCTTTGGAATCAATAAAGTTTATTATAAATATAAAAAATACCAATAAAGATATATAAAATGATATCGTTGTCATTTGAAGCCTATCGGACCTAAATAGCATTTCTGTGTGGTATGAAAAAGATTTTGTTTTAAAGCAGAATGAGAATTAAGCTTCAGCAGCTTCGCGTGGGGCAGATTTACATGCATCACTGTAAGGCTGCGACCTAGTTTTACTTCTGTTAATAATCACTGAAAATTGATAAAGCATGTATGTTTTTCCTCGAAAAGACTACAGCAGTTAGAGTCATTGGGTCCACACTTGGGCGCCATGTGCCTATCAAATACTTGGATCTGGTTTCTTTAGACAGATTCTACCTCTTCAAGAGAAGAGACCAAATTAGCTGTGCCTCTCCGAAGACATATTTATCAGACAATTTGGCGACTTCACAGGTTTCGTTAACCCACCGCTCTGCTATTACGTCAACAAACTTAAAATGCTTTATATGATTGAAACTGTCAAGATCTGGCATGGTGGGCCTAGTTGTAAGGCGTTGAGGTTAATATGGACAGTAACTTCAGTTTGAAGAACTCTATGCCTACTCTTTCTCCCACTAAGTTCGAGATATACCATAGCATAATTATTGGTCACAGCCGAACAAGAGAAGGCATAATATCGAATATTGCAGACTATTGGAGGATGAGGAAGAAGTGAAATCAATTTAATACATAGTTATGGAATAGACCTCCACCAGCCTTTTATGAACGTCATTATTTACTTACTCTCCACAACCTTATTTCCTTTCCCATTCTGCACTTCTTTTCAGCGGTTTTCAAATGAAGAAACTGTCAGCAACAAATTATTAAACAGGAAGTTTCACAATGCTGGGATACATATTTTTTTAGGAACTCAATTAACACCTGCCTTACAGGAATTCCACACCCGGCACCGTATGACGATTATGGATGATTGTGAATGGTCACGGTGTCGGGTAAGATTGAACGCCGATCTGATTAACCTTGTGGACCACACAATTGTGTAGTCTTCAGTCTTTTCGCAACAACGTAAATGAGAACTTTTTCAGCACACAACAGATCACCAAAGTAGCCAAAAATATCATTCCGAACGGCCTAAGGAAAAATATGAGCTTTCCATGCAAAAACCGTCTTTGCTATGCTTAAGGGCACTTAAATTTCTACGAAGATTTTCCTGTATATCAACATATGGTCATTCTTCCGTTTGCTGTTTCTACTTAGTAGTAACCGTGGGAATATTGAAACCCTGAAATGGTGGATTAAGGGACATAATATATCTCAACAAAGTCACTCTCTGAAAAAGTACTATTCTTCACTTAATAGCACTGCTCCCTAATCACAAGGTAGCAAAGGAACTGTAAGTACCAGCGATTTTAATTCTAAAGTTCATATCAAGCGACCTGGAGTATCATTTGTATCATTTACATTTCAAATAAATGTGCATGTAAAGTCATGTTTTCCACGTTAATCTACATAATGTTGAAACACTTTTTAGGTCTTTTGGGCTAATTTACATATGACTCTAACACGATGTGTAGTTTTAAAAGAGAGAGAGAGAGTGTGGAGATCAATTTTGACATTTGATTTACTGAGAGTTTGCAAATTCTTACTGGAAAATATTACTCAGTGCGAATTATACAGTAATAAACTATTATACAGTAATAAACTTGCAAGAAATGTATTCAGACAGACCTAATATATGAACTGAATTGCCTTTGGCAAACACACTTGCTGTGTTCCAGAACCTTCAATTCAAACTTGCAAGAAATGTATTCAGACAGACCTAATATATGATCTGAATTGCCTTTGGCAAACACACTTGCTATGTTCCAGAACCTTCAATGATTCTAAAAATTTCCGCTACGATATCCAATTTTTCCTTTATAATTTCGAAACAACTTGAAAAATAGTCGATTCCTGCATGGTACAATAAGGAGGTAGAACAGCTTCGTAAAACTACAGAAATACAACCTTGAGGATATGCCGACATCCTGTCAGAATAATTCAAAATTATATGTAACTAGTTGCTAATTGAGCCAATAGCGCGAAAGATGAATGAAATGCCAGGATTTTTCTTTCAAAAATCTGTTCCAAATTTTTTAATCTTTCAACTCCATAGCAAAACTGGTTAATATCTTTAAGAAGCACCCCGCTATATACGTTTCTTTCAATCATTGATTTTGAAAGCATATTGTTTTTGTTTCTCAAAACAATAAATACATGCAAACAATTGGCAGAAGTCGGGCGCGCTTAGAAAGAAATTTGAATCAGCTGATAGCACTACCTTACATTTTTGTTGTATTATTGGTTCTTGCCGGTTTTGGAACAGAACATTTGCAAATTTTTCGATATAATTTTGGTGATTTTCTACACAAAATCGAATTGTAACTCGAGAAAATATTGTTTCATCCACAAATTCCAACAAACATGCTCTGTTCAGAACCTGTATTTACTACTTGTGCATTTATTTCGATAGCACAAAGGAAACAAGTAAGCAAAGGCTACAGTCGAGCGGGGCCGACAGTTGAATACCCTACAACACTATAATAAACGATACAGTTTATATAGGCGAGATACTCGAAAGAATTCCACAAGATATTGTGACAAATAATAAAAGAAAACCATCAGGTTTCGTTCTCTAATTTTCGAATAATAGCAACTTAAACGAATTTGTTCATTTCCAATTTATTGGTAGATGTTGCACGTAAATGGTCTTCCTAGATCTGGAACCAATATTTCCCAAAGACCTATAATCTCTCAGAAGTGGCAAAAGATTAACAATTATTATTGATTTTTGACTGAAACGCATCTATATGAGATACAGACATTTGACTATATTCTTCCATGAAATCAGCGTTAACGAAATAGTCAGATGTGCGTCTTTTCTGTATTTGTGAATTCTCCAAAAAGTCGCTGGAATAGACATTTTCCTATTTTGTCTACAAAAGTTGGCAAACTATTTCACACATTGAATATTTTTGGATGGCCATCCAAAACTGCTTCGCTTTTGCAATGTTCGGTAACCCCCATTCAAATGTGCGTGAGAATTGGGCGATAATTACGACCTGCTGACAATTTTGCAATTTTTTGGTCCATTTCAACCCCTAACTATATTGCGATCATCTCCAAAAATAATAGGCTTCTATTCTGACCCTCATCTTATACCCAGGCAAAATTTCGTAAAGATCGGGCCATAAATGCGATCTGTATATGATATCCTAACTACTTAGTTTTGTTAGCTGTAGAAATATTACCAAATGTTTAATTCAAAATGAAAATATGACAAAATTGAAAAAATATGAGAAAATATTACAAAATCAATATTTTCATCTTTAGAGAGATATTTTTATGCAATTTTTTTAGACGTTTTTTCTTTCCTGCCAAAAGGCCATTTTGAATTAATGAGAACTGTCGAAATCAGTTGAGCCGTTCTCGACATATAAAAGATCTTTCAAGCATATCTTCTTTGATAGACACATATAACGCACATATTTTGCTATATATCCGATTTGATGGATGTTAACATCAATGTAAAGATCAGAGGTAACCTTGTCATGGCTTTGTGATTTCGCCGGGATTTAAAATATTCGCGGTTTAATGAAAAATTTTGAATTTTTTTCAATACAAAAGATATGGTCTAATTGGTAGGCAAATTGGTAGGCTTCTTCCCCGACCTAAACTCTAGCTACATGCGAAATTCCGCGTCGATTGGTCTATAATTGCGACCTGGGGCTGGATTCTTGTTCTATGAAAATATGAAATGAAAAATATTTCCTTTATAAAATTTTTCATTTGACATTTCTTTCCTTTATAAAAGTTTTCATTTCACATTTTCATAGAACAAGAATTGAGGCCCTGTAGTGCAACTGCAAAATCAGGATTTTTTCAGTTTTTGGTCCATTTCAACCCCTAAATATTATGCGATCATCTCCAAAAGAAATAGGGTTCTATTCTGACCTTAACCCCACCTACATTCTAAATTTCGTGAAGATCGGGCCATAATTGCGACCTGTAGCGTGATTACAAATTAACATGGACAGACGGACAGACGGACGGACATACATAGCTAGATCGACTCAGCTCGGCGAGCTAGGAAGATCCATATATACTTTCCTATATGGGAAACCAATATTTCGAGGTGTTACATAAATTTTGGCCCAATCAAACTTATAATACCCCCAACACATAGTGTTGTAGGGTATAAAAATCGGTTATTGTTATAACATTTTTAAATTCTGGAACAGAGCAATAGTTTTAAATTGTTTCCTTTTTAAAAACGTGCTATATTTCCGGTTTCTGTAGCTTACCTTGTCAAATTTCACTGCATAGAAAAGGTTCCCATCTCTTATTTGTATAAATACAATGAAATTATAAACATAAATTTTGACAATAAAATGCTGTCAAATGTGTAATGATAACATGACTCTACTTTCTTAATTTTACCACGATATTTAACATTTTGGTAGATTTTAAAATATGGACCTGGCTGTAGATTTTAAGATATTATACTGGCGAATTTGGGTAATACAGACGTACAAACGTTTTACCATAGTAGGAAAGTTGAATATTTGTGTAGGTATGTCGAAAGTAACGCTGCTAGTTTTGAATACAATAATTATGTATATGTTTTAACATAATAGCATATAATAGGGGCATCATATAAAATAATATTTAAAATGTAACTACATTACATAACTTCTCATACATCAAGCAAATTTCTCACCTGACTTAATCATACACAATTCTGTTATTCCCATCTCTGTTTGAAACGTGACATTTGTGATAAATAAACCCCCTTTTGCGATTCGCACCGTATCCAAAAACTTTGACATACAAACAAAACTTGAGAGAAAGAGAACCAGAACAATATATAAAAAATAATGGATAAAAATGAGAGTGATTGGTGGTGGTGGCTTGAACGACGCGCGCGCACTGCAAAACAGCAAAACAAATTGACAAATGGGGAGATACAAAGCACACAAAAATTACAATTCAAAATAAATGGAAATAGTCGAAATTCACTTCTAAGAGAGTGTTGACGGTTGCATGTCCCCCAAAACAAGTGAGTACTAGTGAGTGTGTTGATGTGAGTGCATCAGTACCAGCAGAAAATTAAAGAACATTTTACAGCAAACATACATTTCTGAAAGAAAAAAAAATAAATTTGGAAAAAACATAGGCAAAGTAAATTTCCAACGTAAGTGCAAAGAAAGTTTGCCGAGTAAACACTTTTTTTAAATTCAAGTTATTATTGCCAAGTGAAAAAATGTCCAAGAGTTTTGAAAGATTTTCAAAAGTGGAGGAATCAATGAGGTCTGGCCAAAAAAAACAACTAAAAATGGCTTGAACAAAATTGCGTAATATCCTCTCCAATACAAAAATTTAATGGTGTATTTTGAAAGGAACATGTTAAAATAGCATGGAGATTTGCAGTACAAAAATAATAAAGCCCCAGAAGATAAAAAGTAAAACATTTGCAAAAAAAACAAAACAGGTTCTTCAGTTGTGAAAAATCGTTGCTCTCAAAACTACTTGTGGTCCATAAAATTCTAAAAGGGGGAGAGACGACAACAGAAATCTACCTACCTTTACTTAATAACAAAACACAACACACGTCAACACGAATATGGGATTTAATAAACCATGTTTTAATATTTTTTTTGACCATTCAAATCGACATGAGCCTTAACTTCAACCTAATAAATCTTAAAAACCAGCTAAATGAGATCGCCGTTTTTAAGTCACCAGAAATATTGATTGCAAAAGTGCACTAACACTGGGTCAATTTTATTCAAAAACATCTAAAGAGAATTTAATTTTTATTGGAATTTTAGTGTATTTTATTGGAATACATTGTAGATATAATCCCTAAAAAGAATTGTTTGATAACATTTTAAGACAACACTCAAGGCACACTCGTCCTTCGAAGACAAAGTATCCTGTTTAATTATTTAGAAGCACATAAGTGTGTAGTGAAAATAATTACTAATGAAAGTGGACACAAGAAAAAGTTATCTTGTGGGTAGGATTTTATCGAGGCAAAAATTAGGCAGCAAAACTTAAAATGACTCACCACCTCTTTTAGAAAAATCGTCCACTTTTCCTATTGTTCAAATGGAAAAGGTATACAGGGTTAGATAAAAAAATTGCACCAAAGTCAAATGTCATAATTTTTACATTTTTTTTAATTTTATTGAATGAAAGCAATAAATGTCGGACATAGCATCAAATGTTAGAATAAGTTTAGATTTGTTCGAATTGTTCGCCTTTGGCACGAATTATAGCCTTCAAACGGCCAATGAAACCAGTCACACGCTGCCCGAATGTTGCTCTGCGGAATTTTGGCCCATTACCGGCGAAGCGCTTGCTTGAGGTGATCGACACTTTGGTATTTTTTTCGTGCCAACTTTGCTTTCCAAAATACTTCAGACACAATAGTCCAACGGATTGGTATCCGGAGGTTTTAGTGGCCATTGTGCTCTGGAAATGAAGCGAGGAACCTCATTTTGTAACCACTGCAGAGTGCGATGGTGCTGAGTCCTCTTGGAATGTCCAAGTTCTGAGGCCAATATGTTTGTGTGCCCAAGGCTTTAATATACCCTCCAAAATATTTTCGAGATTTTTTTTCCGGCATTTATTCTGAAGACACGGTCGATTAAAACGAGCGGAGAGCGACCATTGGAGTGGTCTAACGATAGCTACTTGTGGTTTCCCAGCCAAATATAAAGAAATCACGCTTGAATTTCATCACGAATAACTTTTTTTCTGGAAAATTCCCACTAAAATGATTTTGCAAACTTGTAAACAATACAATGAGTTGTCACTGGAATAATTTTTATAGCTGTCGGACGAGTGGCTTAGAAATGACAGCAGTCTGAAGTTGGTTGCAGTTTTTTCATCTCACCCTGTCGAGTGAATACTGTATTAGGAGACCATCCCCCTCCCATCGCAACTGAAGATCGAGAGCTGCCCTAACACATACGAAATAAGGATGCGATTTTCCTCAAATTTCACGCAAGATCTGGTACATCCTTTTTGGCCCGCCCCTTCTTGCGCCTCTCTAACTCATTACTTGCCAAACAAAAAAAACATAGGCAAACAACGATTCTTTGCAACTTGGTATATCTAAATTTTTTCCGTCAATTAGAGATCTGCTGTCAATATGGAGGGTATATTAAGTTTGTCATTCCGTTTGTAACAACTCGAAATATACATTTTAGACCCCACAAAGTATATATATTCTTGAGCATCATAAAATTCTATGTCGATTTAGCGGTGTCCGTCCGTCGGTGGTAATCACTCTAGCTTCCTAAAGAAATAAAGTAGATTAATAAAATTTTACTCAAATGTGTATTATGTCTGCAGGACTTTTGGTATTGAAAATGGGTCATGTAGGTCCACGTTTTGGTATAGCCCCCATATAATGGTAGATCCCGATATTCGGCACTTTGATGATTTTAGCGGCATTATTCACCGGAAATGTTTCAGATTTGGTATTTGAAGTACGTAATGGGTACTACAACCTATTTGTGCAGAAAATTGTTTGTGCATCTCCACGTTTTCGTATAGCTTCCATATAATAGTACCTCCCGATATTCGGTACTTTGATGATTTTAGCGGATGATTTCACTGCAATTGTTACATATATGGTATTTGAAGTTCTGATGGGAACTACAGTCTATGACAGAAAATTGTCTGTGTAGGTCCACGTCTTCGTATAGCCCCAATATAACGGCACCTCACGTTATTCGGTATTTTGATGATTTTAGCGACAATATTCATCGGAATTGTTTCAAGTTTGGTATTTGATGTTCGTAATGGACGCTACAGTCTATGACAGGAGATTGTCTCTGCACTGCTACATTCGGTATTTTTAAGATTTTAACAGAACTTTTAACGGATTCAATTTTTTTGAAAATTGCCAAAATCATTTTAAATAGTGGAGGGTATTCAAAGATCGACCCGGCCGAACCTACACCTTTTTTACTTGTTAATTTTAGATAAATACATACATATGGATTAACTCAATGAGTGTTCTTCACACATGAAAATGCAAATTAGATCTAACTCTCAATTTGATTATACCTTTTTGACCAACGGCATATCTCATATTTTTCATATTCTCAACATCAAATGTGTGAGTTAGATTAGAGCAACCCAAAAACCTTTTTAATTTGATTTACCCTATTCATTTTACACACGACATAAAAATGAAGGTCACCAACAAAGTGTTCCACTCAATTTGTATTTGTGTCAATGTAGAACAATTACTTATTATTAACCCTCAATTGACGATGGCTATGGAAATCTACAAATAAAAATAAAATTTTCAATTCGTTGAAAATTATTCTTCTTTGTTGGGTTTATATACCTCAATGGGTTAATATAACCAGCTGACATAAGAATCTGTTTTTCATTTGCTATTGTTTTGTAACTTTAGCCACATTAATGCATCATAGCTCACGTTAACGCTTGTTGTACCCATACAAATAAGTATGTCTATATATCTAGATGTTGGCGTATGTATAGACATACTTAGTTTTGTACATTTGTGTGTGCCTATTTATGTTTTAAACTCACAACACATATTACTTTTGTTGTATTAAAATAATTTGCAAACATATGCTAAAACTCAACTAAAATGTACGAAAGAATTAATGTCCACATGAAAGGAAAAATCCATAAAAATTGTATTTTTTTTTATAATTAATATAATTTTTTTATGAGTTCCATTATTACATAAGTATCACTTAAATTTAAATTCTCATAACAGCGATTTAAAATCAAAATATTTTAATTTTTCTTTCATTTTTTTTTTTTTTTTGATATCTATGAAGGCTCTCGCCTTCAATAGATCAAAAATCATACGTTCTTTAAGTTATTATCATCATAATAAATGTATTGCTCCCATTTTGTCTTCTTCTAATCTTGATTTGTTTGAATACTTCCAGAATCTGTGGCCCCACACGAATTTCACTCTGGGGGGTAGTGTGTATGTACCTGTACCATATTTTTCCTCATGCTATAGATTAAATTTTTTAAAACTGGCCATTTAATGTTAATTGACTTCAATGACAAGTTCTTTTTTTTTCGATTGTTTTCTTTTTTGATACCAAACAATTCCATCAGAGCCCTCATATAACAATACATCATACATATAGTGTATGTCCCAGCATATTTTATGTACGAACGAATGTACATATACATATTGGCAAATATATATGTGTATGTCGTTTTGTTAATACATTTCTATGCTCATCAAATCTTTATTGAGTAAAAAACAACACTTAAATAGATCGGTTGCTGCTGCAGTGTTCGCACTGTTTGGGTCATTACTGGACTTGTTGTTGATCTCAAAAGAGACCATTTGTTCTTCAATCTTTGAAATACACGCGTAAGGTATGATTTCAATTTTATTCAATATTCTTTTAATTTTTATTTTAATTCATTAGCAGACCCTATGGACAAAAGAGGTTGCAAAAAAACTGAAGATCGGTTCCAAAAATATTATTTTTTTTATCTCATTTTAATTATTCTATTAGAATATGTTATGGACATTTATTTGTGTGTACAGATCAATAAAAAATCAATAGGGAAAAGGCCGGTTATATATTATTACATACAGGGTGATATAAAAAACTGCAACAAAGTCAAACGCCATAATTTTTAATTTTTTTAAACTTTATTGAGTAAAAGCAAAAAATGTCGAAAATAGCATCAAATTTTAGAATAAGTTTGTTCGAATTGATCACCTTTGCCAGGAATTATGGCCTTCAAACGGCCAATGAAACCGTCACACAATGCCCGAATGTTGCTCTGCGGTATTTTGGCACATTCCCGGCGAAGCACTTGCTTGAGGTGATCGACACTTTGGTATTTTTAGTGTCAATCTTGCTTTCCAAAACACTCCATATACAATAGTCCAATGGATCGGTATCCGGAGATTTTGGTGGTCATTGTGCGCTGGAAATGAAGCGAGGAAACTCATTTTGTAACCAGTCTTGGGTGGCGCGTGCTGGGTGCGATGGTGCTGAGTCCTGTTGGAATGTCCAAGGTCTGCGGCCAAAATGTTTGCGTGCCCAAGGCTTTAATACACCCTTCAGTATATTTTCGCTATAATATTCGGCATTTATTCTGCTGCCACGGTCTATTAATACGAGCGGAGAGCGACCATCGGCTTTTATGGCGGCCACACCATCACCATGGCCGGCGCTTCAGTTCTGGTGGCCAACCGAAAGTGCACATTTTCAGCTAACCTCTTTGGCTAGTAAACACGATCATTTTGTTTGTTTACAAACTGCTGGACAAATTTGACAGTTCACTACTTTCGACTAAGCGAAGCAACTCTTTTGAGTCTATTTTCGTTCTGTTGCGGTGTAAGTTGTTGCACTTTTAGAAATTCAATGGCTTTAACCCGAGCCCATTTTCCAGCAAAAATAGTTATTTAAAAATCTTAATTTAATTTCTATAATTCACACAATATCTTAACACAACTACCCGAAAGGATTTACAAACTAAAACAGATTATTTATTTGAAAAAAATTAATTAATAATTTATCCTTTCAGAATTTCAACAAAACTAACAATTAAGCTCAAAATATAATTTAAACGAACCCCAAGACAGACAGCATCATGTTAAATCTAGCACGTACGACAACACAAACTGGTGTTAAGCCAAAAATGGCTGTAACCCTGATTAAAAGCGCACTCAGTCAAAATAATCTCATGACAAAATCACGCTGCATTAGTTCCGTTGTACCCGATACTAATTTAAAAGATTTCGAAACTTATAATGAACCAATACTCGAATATAAAAAAGGTTCGGCTGAACGCAAAACTCTGGAGGAGGCACTCAAGCGTACCGCCGCAACATGTGAAGAAATTCCAATTGTCATTGGTGGCAAAGAGGTGCGCACCGACAAAGTTGTACATCAGGTGATGCCACATAATCATCAACATAAATTGGCTAAATTTTATTATGCCGATAGCAAGACCATACAGAGTGCTATTAAGACAGCCGTTGAGACCCAGCCCAAATGGGATCGTACACCGCTAAGTGAACGTCTGAAGATATGGGAAAAGGCAGCTGATTTGATGGCCGGCAAGTATAGGCAGGAATTGAATGCAGCCACAATGTTGGGTCAGGCAAAGACTGTAATACAAGCTGAAATTGATTCGGCAGCAGAACTAATTGATTTTATCAGGTGTGGTTCTTTTTCGTTTTGAAAAAAAAAGAACAGTTTGATCTTAATTTTTTTAATTTCACTACTTGTTTTCAGATTGAATGCTTTCTTCTTGAAAGAATGCGCCAAATATCAACCGATTAGTGAAAATATCAAAGTAACCAAAAATTCCATGCGTTATCGTGGTATTGATGGTTTCATTGCTGCTGTCAGTCCCTTTAATTTTACTGCCATTGGAGGCAATTTGGCCTATACCCCTGCTTTAATGGTAATTAGACATTAAAATTAGTTTAAATTGCAATAAAATTACATTTTTTACACACGTTCAGGGTAATGCTGTTTTGTGGAAACCCTCTGATACGGCAGTACTGTCCAACTGGCGTATTTTCAATATTATGCGTGAGGCCGGTGTTCCTGATGGTGTTGTTAATTTTGTACCCGCCGATGGTCCTGTCTTCGGTGACACCATTACAGCTTCACCACATTTGGCTGGCATCAATTTTACTGGTTCAGTACCGTAAGTTCATTTTTTTGTTTTGGTTTCGATGGGGAATAATCAAAATTTTATAATCACAAATAAAATTATATTTACTTATATCTTCAATTTCCTTTCGCTTTCAGCACCTTCAATCGCCTCTGGAAACAAGTGGGCAGCAATATTGATAAATATGTTAATTTCCCCCGTTTAATTGGAGAATGTGGTGGCAAAAATTTCCATTTTGTACATCCATCTGCCGATGTTGAAACCGTAGTAGCTGGTACTATACGTTCAGCATTTGAATTCTGCGGTCAAAAGTGTTCGGCTTGTTCGCGCATGTATGTTCCAGAATCTTTGTGGCCCAAGGTAAGTGTGAATTACGGTTTTTTCCCATCCTTTCGGTGCGAAATAATTATTCTCTTTGCCAGATCAAAGATGGTTTAGTCGCTGAAGCAGCAAAACTTAAAATTGGTGATGTTCAAGATTTCTCATCATTCACCTCGGCCGTCATCGATGACAAAGCATTTAAACGTATTACTTCCTACATTGAACATGCCAAAAATAGTCCAAATCTAACCATATTGGCCGGCGGTACTTATTCCGATGCCAAGGGTTATTTCGTTAATCCAACCATAGTCCAAACAACCGATCCCAAAGATAAAATAATGACTGAAGAAATATTTGGACCTGTTTTAACTGTTTATGTGTACAAAGATGCCGATTTGCAGAAAACTATGGATCTAGTGCCAACATCAACTCAATTTGCATTGACTGGAGCTGTATTCGCACAAGATGAGTAAGTATCAATGAGTTTTCGTTTTGACTTTCTCCCTGAAGAGTAGTTATAATGCCCTGGAGTCAATGACTGCGAGTCCATCCTTTCTAATTTATTAGTTTTTCCATTACCTTAATTATTATTATGACCAGTTAGCCAGAAAAGTCGGATAGTAATGTGCAGGTTTCGCAGGAATGTTCTGCACCCCTAGACTGCATCGAAATTGATTTTGTAAGATTCAATAGCTTTAAGTGCCGATTAAATATCTACATAAAATGTTACCGATTCAGTTATTTAATTCTCCATAGTTTTAATCGATTCTGTCGCATTTTTAATCGCAAAGATATCTGCTTGAAAAACACTGCACTTTTCATAAAACTTATAGGAGTAGGCCACTCCTAGTTGCTTATAGAAGACTCCGCCTTATTCCGTGTTTGATCTGTCTGTATATACCGGTAGAGGTGGGTTGACTCCGTTCCATTCATCCCTCCTTGGATTCAGTGTCTCAATTTTGTGAAATCTCATGGTTAAAGATATGTAATCGCTGTTCCCTTAGGTTAAATCTGCTCTTAACAAAAGTCCAGCAATCTTGCAGGACCCTGCCTAATTTAATATTAAAAGTCTTTATGAACTGTCCTCTATCATGTTCAGGCGAGAATCAGGTGAAAACAAGATAAATAGTATCAGTCGGTTTTGCACATGTATAGCCTTGAGTTACGATTATTCTGTTGACCATTTATGAAAGAGGTCCCAAAGCATTTGGCCAATATTGACCGATTCGTATCTTACTTTTGTCTGATATAAATATTTCAACGAGCCATATCATCTACTTCCTATACTTTATATGAGATATGTGCAAATTTTTGGAAAAATGTGGAAATATGCGTGAGGTAAAATATATCACGAACCGAAATATTCCAACTAATCTAATACAGATAAAAATATTAGCATGTGTAAAATTTGGAGGAAATCGAACATTTATATCCAATTTTATACGAAATCATAAATTCCGATAAATTACATATTCATATCAGATTTCTGGTTAAGAGAAATATAAAGATATTGCAGGTTGTAAGGAATCGCCGGAAACTGGGACCCTTTGTGGGTAAAGTACCAGAAGGGGTTGGCAGGTATCTATCATCTTCACAACAGATTTTGTGTTAGCAAAAATGTTTGAGGAGATTTGGATGCTTGTTTCGCGTTTTATGAGCGTTTAGTTTTTCAAAATTTTAAATCCTTTGTGGGGGACATACCAGAAAGAGTGGACCGATACATTCCATCTTTACAGCTGATCTTTTGCTTGTGGAAATAATGGGATGTGTGAAATATGAAGAGAACCGGATTCTTATTTCAGATTTTATAATCGTTTTGGTTATTAAAAATTTTAACCCTTTGTGGGGGAGGTACCAGAAGGAATGGTCAGATCTCTACCAGCTTTATAACAAATCTTGTGTTGATGGATCGGATTTTATGTCGTGTTTGATGAGCTTCATGGATATTCAAAATATTGACCCTTTGTGGGTGATGTAGCAGAAAGAGTGGGCCGATATATCCCATATTTCCACCAGACCTTTTGTTAATAAATATATTGTGATATGTGTTATTTGAAGAGAACCGGATGCTTATTTCGGATTTTATGATCGTTTTGGTTATTCAAAATTTTAACCCTCTGTGGGGGAGGTACCAGAAGGAATGGTCCGATCTCTACAATCTTTATAACAAATCTTGCGTTGATGGAAATATTAAGATATACCAAGTCTGAATGGAAACGGATTTTAATGTCGGGTTTTATGAGTTTCATGAATATTCAAAATTCTGACCTATTGTGGGGGAGGTACCAGAAGGAGTGGACCGATATATCCGATCTTCACAGCAGATCTTTTGCTTGTAAAAATAATGGGATGTGTGAAATATGAAGAGAACCGGATGGTTATTCAAAATTTTAACCCTTTGTGGGGGAGGTACCAGAAGTAGTGGACCGATAAATTCCATCCTAACACCAGACCTAGCACTGATTCAAATATTAGGATATGCAAAGTTGGAGCGAAATCGAATTATCCCTTTCTTTTTCTGTGCAGTAAATTATTTTCTTTGAAAATGATGACATTTTGTGGGGGAGGTACCAGAAGCAGTGGATCGATACTGCCCATCTCCCAACTCGATCTAAGTTTGACAATAATATTACGATGTACCAAGTTTGGACCAAATTGGATACTCCCTTCGAGAGTTATTGTGCTCACCAGCCAGACAGCCAGACAGACGGACGGAAGGACATCGCTAGATCGACTCCAAATGTCCTCAAACGGATTTGGGGTCTAAAACCGTTATTTCGATGAGGCACGTTTTGGCCGTATCAAATGGTATATACCCTCTCTAGCCATATGGCAGAGGGTATAAAAAGTAAGCTGGGTACTGGCATTATTATATTAGATTTGTGCAAGCTTATACCTTGAATTTATTATTAAAAACATAATATTTGAGTCCGTTTTGTAAATTTCTCAAAAAGAAAAATATTTTATTAAAAAATAATTTGTCATTTCAGATCATTCTTAAAACATGCTCTAGAGGAATTCAAAATGGCAGCTGGTAACTTCTATATTAATGATAAATCAACCGGCTCAATTGTAGGCCAGCAACCCTTCGGTGGTGGTCGTATGTCGGGTATGGTATAGTCTTAAGAAAAATTGAATCATTTTTACTCAACTTTTGCACTTTTTCAATTAGGAACCAACGACAAAGCTGGTGGTCCTCATTATATTTTGCGCTGGACTTCGCCGCAAGCTATTAAGGAAACTTTTGTGCCGTTACGAGATATTGAATATCCATACATGAAACAATAAACAATACGATGATAATGAAGAAGACTCTTGCCCAAGGCTATTACTAACAACAACAACAAGAATATAAAGCGAATATAAAGCAAACTACATACAAATATCTATAATCTCAATACAAAATCTCATATGCAACAACAATAATAATCTTAATAAGTGTGCAAGTGTGTGTATGTTTGGGAATGAATGAATGCAGAATGCTTACCCATAAAACAATTTGATATAAATGTATCTCTCTCTCCCCATATATGTCCCAATTAACTCGATTCACTCTCGAATACCTATCCAACAACACCCTCAATATAAGTTTTAAAATTTAGTTATTTTGAGAAAAACATTTACAAACAAAAAAAGAAAGAAATAGCAAGAAGTTTTTAAAATATCCTACATGTTTGTATTTATATATGTTAATAATATATAGTAATATATTTAAACAAAAACATTAAAATATTCCAACAATAATTTTAAATCGAAAGAAATCATTTTAAAGCTGTGTTTTTCTCATTTATAAAAAGTAATAATAAAAAATCAAACAAACAATTTAGCTATAATTTACGAATTGCATTGGAATCTCGAGTATATTCTCTCTCCCTTTGATATGCTGATTACAGAACTTTTCATTTAAAACTATATATTCCTTTACATTTTTTCATATTAAGAATAATAACAATAGATACTACTTTTTGTATATTGTGTTTATGTTTTGTTATGTTTATTTAATTGTTAGTCTTTTTTTTTTTGTTTATTTTTTTTAATTAATTATCTATAAATACAACAACATTTATATAAACCTATATATGTACATTGTATACTAGAAATAAAGAGGGAAAGGAACATCTGTCGTCTTTAAAAAAAAAAAACTACGGCGTAACAATTGCAAAATAAAAAGGAATATGCAAAAGAATAAAAAAAGTACTAAACACGAGACATAGATTTTTGACAATACACTTGATATAAACATACTACATATACTATATATAGCAGCATTGTTTATTTTTAAAAAATTGAAATTGAAAATAAAAAAGAAGAAAACAAAGCAAAAAAAAATCAACATTATTTTGAATCATCTGCATCATAGCGGCACGAATTAGGTCAAAGATTTTGCAAATGCATTTTTTTTGATGTTTACTTTTGTTTTTTACAAGTTTTATTTCAGTTTGTTTACGGTTCAATAAAAAAAATATATAGCAAAAATTTTAGTCTGTTGTGTTTAATTAAAGTAGGTATGGAAATACGTATTATTAGCATCGCTGTGTCTTCTAGCGACAAACATTTCGTTTATCCCAAGAAATTTAGAGGTCTGGAAAGAAAAGTTGTTGCTTATGCTGATGACAAATTCTTCCAATTTGTGAATATATTCTGATATGTTTTTCGAATAATAGGTCTGTATAATCAGTTTTCCAGTAAATATTACTCAGTAATGTGTACTGACAGAACGTTCTCTCTAACCTACAAATATTGCAAAAGGTTATTAAATAACATTCAATAGAAACAAGAATCCTGAAAGAAAATAGATCTTTCCCAAATTGAATGAGTTAAACTTTTTACAGTTAAAAAAATGCTTTCCTATCGTTTATGAATTTTTGGGTTACCGGAAAAAATTTTTTTGTAAGAATTATATAAAACCACACAGGTTGGCGCCCAAATGTACATTTATCCACGGTACAATAAAAAACCAGTAAGGAAACGTCAAAAGTCGGGCGGGGCCGACCATACCCTACACTCCCCTGACAAAAGAATTTATTTGAAGTAGATCACCTGTCAACATTTGGCTTTATATTAGTTATTATTTGATTTCAGAGTTAACTAATATATGAGAGGCATATCCAATTCTGAATTGATTTTGGTTTGCATGTTTGCTTTTATACCAAATCACATTACTATAGAGTGCATGATATCACTTCGAGAAGGATTATATTTAAAAAAATATATTTCGGAGCCGAGTTCGTCCTGAAATTCGCTCCATTGGGGCTGATATTAGCCATTATTTGCACAATAAACCTGAAATCGGATTAAGGATATTTGGGAGCTACATCCAAATCTTAGCCGATCTCGATAAAATTTGGCAAAGGTATTCCGAGCTCTATAAGATGTCTGTTACCAAATATCGTTGTTTTCAAATGCATATTACGCATGTGAGGGACTTGAAAGCCAAATCAGATAAAACATATATATGGGAGCTATAGCTATATCTCTAGACTGAATTCGATCGGATGTGCCAAAATTCAGGTCATTTGGAATGATATTGGCCATTTGATGCACAATTAACTATGGGTTTATGTTGCTTCCGATCATGGAAAGAAAATAAGGCTGAGGAGGGAAAGAAGCAAAAAAATGTTCATGTTCGCAGGTTTCCCTCTCACCTTTAAGGTGAGAATACATAGAGGGCTTCTTTTACTTACTTAAAGGTGAGAATACATAAAACGCTTTTCTGGTCTGCTTAAGTCATCAGCAGTCAACCATAATGTATTCTCACCATAAGCATCAGAAAAAAAAACTCGTGATGCTTTACCTCCTCACAGTAAACTCCAGCAACTGTTCTGTCTTCGCCTATCCAGCAGTCAAACATCTCTTTCTACGATGTCTGCCTGTCGTTTAAACATTTAGAACCGTAAATATATATCTAAACAGACCCACTGCATAAGATACATGTCCCACTTGTAAACAGTGGTGAAATGCCACTACAAAGAATTGATGACATCGCATGATCCAATGACAAATTACTCTACATATGTATCAATTCCTGATTTGTCATCGATCATTTTGTTGGGTGTTTTATTACCAAGATGGTCCTATTTCATCACCTCGATTTAGAATTCGCATTTGATAACATTTTTATGATTTCCCCTCTACGTTTTTTTGATGGCGTGTACTTGTATTGTTTCTGGCCAGAACTATGTGAAAACGAATATATATTATTGTAACATAAGCACTTTTAACATTACATGAAAAATGATAATTCAGCAATTATATAAATATCTATGGCGTCATACAGTGGTTCCATTAAAAAGTAAAAATGGCTACGCTATTTAGATTTTTAGGTGGCAATTGTATTAGGAAATGTCATTTAGACTTTATTCAGAAGTATCATATATGGGCCAAAGGTGGAAATGATTCTTCAAAATTTCAACCGAATTTTCTCTACTTCTATGAGATATTTTCAAATTTTCTCCGTATTGTGTCTACATCTACATAAGTCATATATAATACCATGTCCGGAGTTTCAACTAAATCGAAAACTCCCTTCGATGTCTCTGAGACATTTTTTTTAATTTTGTATCACTTCTAAATCATATTCACTTCTATTTACATTTAAATTATTTTTGGAGATTATTTTCTGAAGGAAACCCCTGTGCATCATCACTTCATGACGGATCAACTACTTAACTCAGTTTTATTGCATGTATGTGAAAGTAACAATTGTTAGTTGTAAAAATGTCTTACTTTTGGGCCTACCTATTATTTATTACTCTCCAGAATTCGTGTATTGGCCAAATTTCGGATTTTATACAAGTCTCAGTGCCAAATGAGTTAAATGAAAACTTTTGGTTGCCAACAAACTACTATTCGGCCATTAATCATCAGTATTTAATCTACTACCAAAAGCAACAGTTTAATTTTCTGAAGTTCAAACATTTTGAAAGAGCCAGATATCCGTGACATGATTCTAAGAAAATTAAGCCACTAACGAAAAAAAAAAACACTTTCAGCAAAAGAAAGAGAAAATAAATCAAGGTGAATCAAAATCATTGGGCTTTAAATGCTATTATTGTGACAAAAAAGTAATAAAAGTGTTTTGAAATTGGCACAACCCAGACAATCAAGTATAACTGCCCTTAAACTGGGCCACCTGGGTCGGTCATCTGGCCATCTGACATATTGTGATTTGTTGTCAAAAGTAATCTTCTTGGCCGACTTTAAGGTGAGGGTATATAAAACGCTTTTTATACCCTACACCACATAGTGGTAAGGGTGCATTTATTTGAAACAGGAAAAAGAAAGTAAGATAGACTCATAGTTACTTTTGAGGATCTTCATAGAATGTCTTTCTGAGTCTATTTATGCATGTCAGTGCGGTTGAGATGAAATTCTCCAAACAATATTCGTTTGGCCTATTGAATTTGGTGATAATCGGATTAAATTTAGATATAGCTCCCATATATCTTCAACCGCCACCTACCTCTGCCAAATTTTATCAAGATTGATTCAGATTTGGATATAGCTCCGATATATATCTTCACCAAGTGGCCAATATCTGTCAAAAATTCCTAAATTTTGTACATCCCACCGAATTTAGTCTAGAAGCAAATACATCAAATTTGGAGAAAATCGGTTTAGCCCAAACGAAGTGAATTTCGGCACGTACGTTTCCATTTTGTGGAACTTGGCTCCGATATATGTTTTTTTTTAATATATTCCTTCTCGAAGTGATATCATGCACTCTATAGCAATGTTATTTGGTATAAAAGATTAAAATGTCTTCGTCAAATTTAGTGAAAATCGATTCAGAATTGGATATGAAATCTGAAACTGGTCTAAAGTCAAATGTCGATAGGTGATATGATCTACTTCAAATTAATTCTTGCGTTACGGGAGCTCCACTAAATATGCATAGTGCAGTAGGGTATCATATAGACGGCCCCGCCCGACTTTTGACTTTTCTTTGCTAGTTTTGGCTGGCTTAAGTCATCGGCTACCCATAACAAAAAGGCCGTAAAAAAGCTCTTTATGTACGTGCACCTTTATATAGGCCTAGCTAAAGACTGTCAATTTTGCTAGAAGATTTGAATCTTCTATTATCTATTGTCTCTTGATACTACACAATTTTCAAATCTGGGTTAAAATTTGGAACTTTTTAAAATTAATGGTCTGTTCCAGAACCTGCAAGAATCTAATAGTTTTGCAATTTTCTCCGATATCATAAAGGGAAAATCGGTTATCGTAGTACAAAACTTCTACATTCTTGCAGTTCTGGAACAGACCATAAGTTATTGCATTTAGACTTCAGAAATTCAATGTTAAATTCAGCCATTTTAATTTAATAAAATTTCAATTGAAATTCGAAATTTCTCCGAAATTTATAAATTCCATTCCAATTTCAGAAAATGTCAAATAAGCTCCGATGCACCAACATAAACCTAGAGTCAGAAAGGATCACAACAAAGCATAAAAGGAGACACCGTTATCTTTTGGACATTATCAACGCCTCCTAAACGTTCTCCTAAATCGTCTAAAGCATTGGATTCTCTATAGCTTTGCTGGAAACAAGTGGACGAGGTAGGAGTAATGCATCACATCTAGGGTTTACAGCATGTCAATATCCAGCCCAGCACCATAAGTAGCTATTCAGCTACCCGACAAACAGCAGACTTCATAAGCGCATCAATAGCACTGCACGCCATCACCAACCATATCATATACATTCCATACTTCAGCACACAGCACTTTTTGAGTGTGAATGCCAACCAGGAAAATATTCCCATACATCGTAGCTGAAAAACGTCAGCTGTCTTGATTAACTAGACTCAATTACGTTCTTGATGGCGTAGCCGCTTCATTCCCTTTTGGGCAAGCACCGTGGCTCCTGTCCCTGAAGGCACGCTTTCTTTGAATTTAATATTAAATCCGAAACCTTGAGATAATGTAGATTTTTAATTTTGTGAATTGCAATGTCTACGAGTAAGCTCCGGATCACATTTCCCTTGTACACCTGATATATACATAACAATCTTTAGCAATATAAGAATTTTTTTTATTAAAGGTTTTTTTAAGCACTAGAAAACTTTAAGAATACCATAAAAACAAAGTGGTTACAAAGAAATAGAATAAATAAATTTTTTTATATCCCAGTTTTTATTAATGTTAAAAAATGTATTTTATTGTATAATTTTTTTGTGCTTGTTAACAAATTTATGTAAATATAATTATTGAATAAGAATGTTGATAGAAAAAGAAACAATAAGGCCGATTTTAATTGCAACTTTTAAGAGGAATAAAAACAGCTACAACAGTCTTCAACTTGAATAGCTTGCTGGTTGTGTCATTTCTCTCTGCCCAAAACCTGCAACTGGCACTAAACTATTTGATTTATTGAGCCAGAAATACATATTATTTGCAATTATTTTATACCTCCAAAGTCATTTTTTTTCGAATTTGAAGTTGTGCCTCACTCAGTCTCCATCGTTAAAAAGTAAATTCTCCGTTTGTAATTGTTTTCGTATAGCACCAACTTGAGTAACAACTTTTGGGGATGTAGCCGATATTGTGAATTTTTGCACAGCAGGAATCTATGCAAAATAAAATAATGCTAAGAAAAAACTACTAAAACATTTGCGCATTCAAAACTTACATCCCATCTATATTTTAAATTTTCCAGTTCATTTGAAATTTGCTTATCTCGTTTTGTAGTTTCTCTGCGCGTCATTTTTGGCATATCACACAAAATCGGTATGGAGAAATTATTACCACCTCTAATTACAACGTCTCGACGTTCACTCGTAAATGGAATTGTTTGAGTTCCGCGTGATTTGGATGTCAATTCTCCATAATTTTTAAAATATCCCATCAAACGTTTATCTGTTTGTCGACGCAGTCTATCAATGTTTTCTTCACTGTCTACAAATATGTCGGTGCTGTGATCGGTTTTTTGGATATTTTTTAAACTTTTTTCATAAGGCTTTTCAATTTCCTCGTTTATATTATTGTGATTTGTTTGGAAATTCAGTTCCGGTTTACCAAACGATACAAATTCTCTATGTTTTGGGCTTGGGTGTGATTCCAGGCTTGGATTTAAATTGTTTCCCACCACATTAGCACTTTTATTATTTCCACTCGGTTCAGCTTCATCACTGGTAACAATTTGTAAAGGTGTTTTCATCTTTCCAAGCATATTGAAAAAAATTGCATTGAGTTTTCAAACAATGAAATACAAGTCTTTAGAATACTTACAACATTATCCATTCTTTCATTTATATGTTCGTTTTCTGTATTTTTATTTGTCGATATTTCCTCCAAACAAAAGGCACACAAGTTTCTACGACAATGCATGCAAACATTTCGCGTATTTTGGCAAGCTCGACATGTATCTGCCTTTTCTAGGCAATTCGAACAAAGCGTATATAAACGATCACAATTATGACAGACTAGTATAAGATTTCGTTCTGCATGACTGTTACAAGATGAGGCTGTTGAATTCTCACCGGGCATCTCGTTCATTGGCAGTGTCATTTTAGTTTGACAACGAAGACAAAAATGCCGATATTCCCTCAATGGCTGATCACATATTGGACATATTTTTTCACTTATATGAAAGCATTCTTTTTCAATTTTCGGAAAATCGATATTGGCTGGCATACGCGATCTTTGGCGATAATTATATTCATTTTTGGCCGAATTGCTAAAATATCTGTATACTTTGTTGTCATCCCAATCGGATGAGATGTTTTCCTTATTACGTTTGGGGTCAACACAAGTTGGTGGCGTTGGGGGTGTTCCCCTTTCAGGTGGCAATAGTTTTGTATCATTTTCTAGCTTTGCTAGCATATGTTTTCTTAGATAACGATTTTGTTCAGCCTTGTAGCGTAGCTAAAAAATAAACGATTCTAATGAATGATAAGTTCTTGTGGGGGATTTTTCTATTATACCTCAGTAGCTTTCATTCGTTCCTTTTCCAACTGTTCTTCCAGTTTAATTGTTTTCAATTGTTCCTGAAGTCGTCTGGTTAGAACTTGTTCTTGTTCCTGTTCTTTTTCCTTGAGCAATTTGATGCTGCGACGTTTTTCTTCAATTTGTTGTATCAGTTCCCGTTGATAGGCCTTTTTCCTCGCTGCCTCGTCCTGTAACAAGTATGTTTATTAGTATTTCTTAAACATAGTTAAATTCCCTATCAATATCTTCCGTTGTCAGAAGTTACACAAAACGCAAGATGTTACCACATCGAATAGAGAATCATAAAAAATATACATCGAAGTTGGTTTTAAAAACTTTTCTTTGGAACATTCAAATTTTCATTGATAAACACAGAGAAATCGATGATAAAAATTCCTTGTCCTTGTATTTCAAGAAGACGCCCATTTTTACCGAATTTAGCTGTTATATTAGGGTCAATACGACGACATGGACCTGCATAGGTAACTTTTATCATAAGCCATTACAATATTCAAATTCGAAACTTAAAAAAATCAGTGAATAATGTACCTAAAAATCATCAAAATACCGAATATCTGGAGGTACCGTTATATGGGGGCTATACGAAGACTTGGACCTGCACAGACAATTTTCTGTCATAGGCTGTAGTATCTAAATTTGAAACAATTCCGGTGAATAATGCCGCTGAAATCTTCAAAATACCCAATATCGGGAGGTACCGTTATATGGGGGCTATACGAAGACGTGGACCTGCACAGACAATTTTCTGTCATAGGCTGTAGTATCCATTACGAACTTCAAATACGAAATTTGGAACAATTCCGGTAAATAATATCGCTAAACTCTTCAAAATACCGAATATCTGGTGGTACCGTTATATGGGGGCTATACGAAGACGTGGACCAGCACAGACAATTTTCTGTCATAGGCTGTAGCATCCATTGCGAAATTGAAATACCAAATTTGAAACAATTCCAGTGAACATTTCGCTAAACTCATCAAAATACCGAATATCGGGAGGTACCGTTATATGGGGGCTATACCAAAACGTGGACCTACATGGCCCATTTTCATTAACATTTGAGTAAAATTTTATCAATCTGCTTCATTTCGTTCGGAATGACAAACTTAATATATCCTCCATACTATGGTGGAGGGTATAAAAAAGGATTGGGGACTCGTTTTTGGATACTGTCGTCCCAGTATATTCGCGATGATAAATATATGGGCCAGTCGAATACTATTTGTTTGTTTGTATAAGGTACCTCAGCATACTATTTTAGATTCCATCTCTAAAAGCTTCGTAATATGACCGGCATATTGAAAATTACCTCAGCATATTTACGTTCTCTATTCATAATGCCTTGTGGTTCGAAAGATGCATCATTCGACAGACTTGTATGACGTAAATCTTGCAAAAGTTTATAACGTGTAGAACCTGGACGAACAGGCGTTACGACCGAAGCCGGGCCATCAATTCCTGTGTTTTTCGATAAATCACCTTCATCTTTGGTCAGTTCAATACCACTTGAAGTTTCAGAATTATTTGACCAGGATCTAGTGGAAAACGGTTCTCTCGTTTGTTTCCTCGGGCTTCGAGCTGAACTAAACATCTGTAAAGAGATGGAAACCACAATATTTACATATATACACATGTACATATGAATGATATAACTTACATGCTGATTTTTTAAAAAGTTTTCCTGATTTTCACGCTGTTTTTGTTGCAAATACAATTGACGTTTTTGATATTCATTGTTGAAACCAGGAAAATAGGAGTAAAATGTATCCGATACCCATTGATCCATGTCATCCTGCTGGTTTGTTAATGAAGTCACGAAAACAAAAATACAAGAAAAGTGAACCTTTAGTATACACAGTAGCACGAAAGGCAACGACAACAACAACAATGACTAATAAACTTAACAACAATAACAAAACTTTGTCGCATTTTATACGCTGCTGCTGTTGTTGGTTGTAAAATAGGGACAACGTGGGGAAGTAGAATTTTTTTGAGAATTAAGTTTAATATTTAATTAAGTGTTAAGCAATAAACACTGTCTTGTGAACTGACACAAAACAAAAATAATCCGCCTGTTTGCACATTACCTAGTTACATATCTAGTATTTAAAAGTAAATAACAGCACCCAAATACAAATCGTTAATGGTTGGTATCATTGAAACTGTTTATAAACATTGAATTGCTTTAAGAAATAATCCATTACCGAATTTAACAACAATTTGGGGAAATCAGTAAAACCTCTTTTCAATAATATTTGTATCTACACAAATTAAATCAACCCGGCAAAATTCGATTTAAACATTTTTGTCGAAAGAGCGCAAAAATACTGCTGACATGTTTCCAAATGCTTCCATAATTATAATTATTAACAACCACAATTTCAATATTCAACCAAGCATAAAACACATATAACCATTTTAGAATTATTAAGTGGATGCAGAAATGCTGCCTAACCCATGTGTACAGGGTGAGATGAAAAAACTGCAATCAACTTCAGACTGCTGTCATTTCTAAGCCACTCATCCGACAGCTGTTAAAATTTTTCCAGTGACAGCTCATTATACAGCAAAAGCATTTTGGTGAGAATTTTCCAGAAAAAAAAGTTATTCGAGATGGAATAGAATGTGATAGTGTGATTTCTTTATATTTGGCTGGAAAACCACAAGTGGCTATCGTTAGAGCACTCCAGCATTTAAATGTGAATAAATCGTTTGTGTCTCGTACCATTACTTGCAACCGTGATACTGTTATCATAGCCCGGCGTCAAAGAAGTGGATGGAGGAAAACAGCAACATCAGCAGAAATGGTTCGAAAAGTAAAGAAGTGACTTGATCGAAACCCACGTCGCAGTGGCCGAAAAATGGCTCGTGAGCTGAACATATCACAATATTCCATTCGGCAAATATTGAAAAATGAGCTCGAGCTTCCAAAAAGTGCAAGAACTTACACCGCAACAGAGAGAAAATAGAGTCAAAAGATCTAAAGAGTTGCTTCGCTTGGCCAAAAGTAGTAAACTGCCGAATTTGGTTTTTCCGATGAGAAAACATTCGTTGTCCAGCAGTTTGTAAACAAACAAAATGATTGTGTTTACTTGTCAAAGAAGTCAGTTGGAAATGTGCACCTTCGGTTGGACACCAGAACTCAAGCGCCGGCCATGGTGATGGAATGGGGCGCCATAACAGCCGATGATCGTTCTCCGCTCGCATTAATCGCCCGTGGCATCAGAAGAAATGCCGAATATTACAGCGAAAATATTCTGTAGGGTGTATAAAAGCCTTCGGCTCGTAAATATTTTGGCCGCAGACCTTGGACATTCCAACAGGACTCAGCACGCGTCTGGAGTATTTTGAAAAGCAAGTTTGGCACTAAAAAATACGAAAGTGTCGATCATCTCAAGCAAGCGCTTCGCCGGGAATTGGCCAACATACCCCAGAGCAATATTCAGACAGCGTGTGACGGTTTCATTGATCGTTTGAAGGCCATAATTCGAGCCAAAGATGACCAATTCAAACAAATCTAAACGTATTCTACAATTTGATGCTATTTTCGTACATTTTTTGCTTTCATTCAATAAAATTTAAAAAAAGAAATGTAAAAATTATGGCGATTGTCTTTGCTGCAGTTTTTTATCTCACCTTGTATATTGTGGTTTCAATTTGAGAAAAAGTAGACATAAAAACCCACTAGTAGTAAATCATTAAACTTGCGCTAAATTCGGATTGACAAAATTTTATTTCTCAGTCAATACCTCATTTTGTTAAATAAGACCCAGACTGTTCGATTAGAGCACAATCCGGAGAAGAAATGTTTATTGGTTTTAATAGCCACTATCTCAAAGCTTTTGAAAATAGATTGTATTCATTCAAATCACATTTGGGAGGAAACATTTTTGGGAAAAGTCTTAAATACCGCTTCGGGGCTTTTGATGTTGAGTTTTGTCGAATTGGTCCGTATTATGACCAAAGTAAACTAATGTAAAATCTAAAATTAAAATTTTACGTGAAATACTACAAATAATGTATGTTTATGAACAGTGTGTTGCAAAGTCTTCAATACACGCTCCAAAACACCTTATCATTATCACCCTTGAAGTATTTAGAAGACCGCAATATCCAACGCTATTAAGATGTTTTCCATTTCAAACAAATCGAAAAATTCCGTATTTCAGGAATCCGGCTAAAGAGTTCCATGCTCTTTCATTAGCTTTTCGCAATTTTACTAGAGTCCTTCTGAGACTTTTCAACCACAAATCTGCAAACCATACACTTGAGGCTAAGTTCATTTAGGAACGATATATTTCTTCCGTTTTCAAGGTTCACTAGTACCCAAATAAATTCTATCATATTTTTCCATCATTGGGAACGCAATTTACCACTAATTTTGACTTTTTAGAAAGGACAATTTCTCAAAACTTGCCAACGTTGTTATTTTCTATATTTATAAAAATTTTATAAATTAAAAAGTATTTACTTTAAATAAATGTTTTTAAAATGCACAAAATACAATACAATGCATCGCAAACTCAATCCAATTTCGATACACAACAACAATGCAATATATGCTACAATAATACAGGTGGCCGCAACAAGTTAGGTTGTAGTTAAATTAACTGCATGTCTGTTCCAAAACCTACAACTAAGTACTTTTTTTTTTTTTTTTGATACATAAATCGACAAATCGGCGGTTGGGTTATTTCAATTATAAGATAACCCCTCAAGCCAGCTGGAAATAATTAAATGGTCAACAAAGTGTTAATAAATTCCAATATTATACCTTATTAATATCTTACCATGGTAGAAGAATATAGGTAGGCGCATCGACACAGCCGTGGGGACAATGAACTGTCAAACCAATATTGGAATTGAAAATGCTGAATGGAAAATTATTTAGAATTATAAAAATTGTTGAAAAACGCTTATTATAATAGCCACCGAATGACGCCGTATAAGAAAACATATAAAAATCTTTTTATTTTTGAAGAAACATTTAAAAATTTTTGACATATCAATGTTCCCAAGCATTGATGCATCTACCTGTATTCTTCTACCATGCATCTTGCATTGTATCCATGGTAGAAGAATTCACATAGATGCTTGGCAACCTTGATATGTCAAAATTTTTAAAATGTTTTGTCAAAAATAAGTAAATTTTTATATGTTTCCTTATACGACGCAAATCGGAGGTTGTTCTCATATGCACTTTTCAACAATTTTTACAAAGATCAATTATTTTTCATCCAGTTCCTTGTCCCAGGACCTGTGTCGTTGCAATTACCTTTATTCTTGTACCATGATTGTATTTATTCCCATGATAAAATTAAGAAGGTAAACTCATGCAATCATATGTTTACAATTTTTTCAAAATTATTCGTTTAACAACAACTCATGGTCCAAATTTATATTTATAAATCCCATGGTACAATAAGGATGTAGAACAGCTTCGTAAAACTACAGAAATACAGCCCTGAGGCTATGCCGCTTCCTGTCAAATGTGCATGCAAACAAGTTGTTTTCCTCAATTTTAAAATCAATTAAACAGCACGAAAATCAAATTAAATGCCTAGATTTTCTTTCAAAAAAATGATGTAATTGTTTTTATTTTTCAAAACAATAAATACATACACAAAATTGGTAGAAGTCGGCTACTCTTAGAAAAAAATGGCTTTTTTGTTCCTCTACGAAGAAACTAGCCGATGACTTAAGCCAGTCAAAAAGAGCGTTTTATGTATTTGCACCTTAAGTTTAAATTCCTTACCAATTATATACCCATAGTACCATGTATATACCCATATTTAAGGAAAAACTACAAAATATCAATTTGACAATGAGGGACATAAAATGAAAAATTGAAATCGTATGATTGCAGAATATTACGTTGATAATTGTACTATGTTTTTTCTTTCAGGGAACCATGAAATATAGACCTTATGTCTATGAAATTTAAAAAAAGTCAAACCTTCGGCCGGGACTTGAGATTTTCTCCTCTGAGGTATGTCCAACACCAGCTTCGCGAACCAAAGTTAGATTAAATTTAATATTTTTCAATAACCGACAAACATAATTTTTAAAATCAGAAATGGAAACCTGTGAAACCAGTGAAATTCAACAAAGTAAATTACAGAAAATGCAGAGATGGGTATACTTATTTGAAATTACTTTACCTTCTTAATTTTACAATGCCTTTATCTAGGGAAGTACTGATTTCCCCCCGACAAAAATTATGTCGTTGGGGTTAGCATAACAAAACCTATTTTCGGTAAAAATTCCTGAATCTTCCACAAGCTGGAGCTAAACTAAGCTTAAGCCAATTATTCATTCCATTTTTTTCTCCTTTATTTGTAGTTACCAAAAATCGCAGACATGTCATGACTTTAAAAACTGTTTTTACTGTTGTATTAATAAGGCCCTCAAGTATTTGACGTGTGGCCATTATACTTTACAAACATTTGCAAAGACGTTTCATCGTACGTATTTTGTTGAGGTCGACTAGTTGAGGTTAGATTTTGATTGGCTATGGCTGTAGATTCGCCTGCCCTTGCAAGTAAATAAATAATTTAAAATAGAAATATTAACCAAAATCTTTTATATTTTGCACGTATAGCAAGTACAAATGTACATTTATTGCTGGCAATTGAATTTATTTAAAATAATGTCCGAAATTCATCCGAAAAATGGATTTGAAAAAATTTTCATTACTCATCCTCCGACGTGAAATTTTTGTGTGCTTGCCTGCTTTCTCTGAAATTGAAGTGTTTTCCATCATATTCATACTTTTTTGTTGTTGTTTTTACACGATTTAATGTGACTGTGTACGTTCTGTCTTTTGTTTTTTGTTGTTTCTTTGCAGTTCGCTCTAGCGTGGGAATAGAACTGTGGGCTTCGTCTGGCTCGAAACAGCCTTACGAGCACAAGTCGAATTTACCACGAGAGGAGACGAAAAATTCTCGATCAATTTCATTCAGCCCAGATGGCCGCTACTTTGCCTATTCGAATGGACAGGAGGTTAAAGTCTTGCAAACCGCCAATTGGCAATTGCAATGCACGCTGCCACGTCCTAAGGCATTCTATTTAAAATTCTCACCGCGTGGCAACTATTTGTGTACATGGGAGTTGTATGTGATCACCAAGGATATTCCCGAGGGATCGCCGAATATGTTCGTGTATGAAATTGCCACCGGCAAGCAAGTATTCAGCATTGTGCAGAAAAAACAAACTGATTGGGAACCCTCTTGGTCATCTGACGAGGGCATTTTCGCTATCGTTGTGGGTGGGGAATCACTGTTCTATGACTTGTCACAGGGCATAGAAGGCTTTAATGCCACCACCAAGAAAATCGGTGGTAGCAAAGGTGGTGTACTATCTGTGGGACCGGGCAGTAGTCCACCATTTATTGCCATCTATACGCCAGGAGCCAAAGGTGCACCTTCCATGTGCAAGTTATACAAGTATCCTGCATTGGCACAAAACCAAACATTGGCATGTAAAAGTTTCTTCAATGCTGATCGCGTTGAAATGATGTGGAATAAACGTGGTACTGGTCTATTATTGTTGACCAGTACTGAAGTGGACAAGACAGGAGCCTCATACTATGGAAATCAGGCTTTGCATTTCTTGAACACCAAAGGCGATTCATGCTCGGTGCCATTGTGTAAGTATAGACATTCCTTTTACAAGTTGACAAATATTTTAATATAAATCATATTCGTTGCAGCTAAGGAAGGTCCTGTGCATTGCGTCAAATGGAGTCCCAAGGCCACCGAATTTGTGGTTGTCTATGGATATATGCCATCTAAGGCAGCTCTGTACAATTTGAAATGCGATGTCATATTCGATTTCAAGGAAGGTCCACGCAATTGTGCCTATTTCAATCCATTTGGAAATCATATCCTTTTTAAAACAACTACCAAATATTGCTCTTAACCTTTTGTATGGTCAGAACGCAGATATTGAACATAATATAAATTTGTAGCTGGTGCGAAAATCATCTGAACACGATAGATTTATATTATGTTCATGTATCTTCGTGATTTGACCTTTATTTTTATTTAATTAACTAAAACAAGCCCTAAGTGTATGCACATGGTTTCCTCTTAACTCCTTAGCACTAGTCGTTTTAGCTGGTTTTGGAAACTTACCCGGCAACGTGGAAATCTGGGATGTAAAAATGAAAGAAATGATAGCCAATATCAAGTGTCCCGATACAACACATTTTGAGTGGAGTCCAAATGGAGAATATTTTGTAACAGCCACAACAGCTCCTAGACTGCGCATAGGAAATGGGTAAGTAATGATGTCAGTATTAAAGAATTTCTTATTTAACTTTGCCCTTCCCTATCATTACAGCTTCAAAGTCTACCACTATTCGGGTGCCCTCATGCATGAAACTATTTGGCCCCAAGGTCAGGAGCTATTGGCCGTTGAATGGCAACAATTTGCTGAGAATACCTTTACGGAACCGATCATTACCAAGGCCAAGCAGGAGGGCATCAAATCGAGTCAACCTGAAGCCAGTAAAAAGGTCTATACACCACCACATCTACGTGGTGGCAATAATGTCGACAAAATTATACAGCCACAAAGCACCATACCAGGCCTACCACCAGGTAAAGAACGTCAATTTTGGCAAAGAAAATACGATTTAGAAAATCCAATAACCAGACCGGGCTCATGGAGAGAACGTAATAACAATGATAGTAGTCGACAAGAGCAAGCTTCGAATGACAATGCGGGGCGACAAAGACATACATTTAATAAGGGAACAAATCGCTATAAGCCCTATGGTGGCTATTCCCAACAAAAAAGACGTTACTAAATATGTTTCCGACAAGTACAAAATTAAACAAGGAGGAGAAGAAAAATATCAATAATACACAATGTTTAAGCGGTCAATAAAATTTCATATGATTAACTTATTTCTTGCTTTTTTTATTTTAGGTTATACTTCCTCACAAGCCAACAACAAGAAACAAGGTGCTCAAAAGTCACAACAACAGCAACATAACAATAATCAACAACAAAATCAGCAACAACAGCAAAATCAAGCAAACAAAAAGCGCAACTTCGATAGAACTAAGACACGAAGGGAATCCAAAGGTGAGGGAGGAGCCGCTGGTAACAATAATCAATCTCCTCAAATTAACAAGAATCAAAACAATGCCACACCATCCCCATTGAATGGTGAAGCTACTGTTGCTCCAGGCAATCAAGAGGAAAATGGGCAACAGCAGCAGCAGCAACAACGCCCACAAAATAAACGCAACCCCAATAATCGCCGCCAACAACCACATCAACAACAATACCAACAAAAAAGGCAACAAAACAACAATGGAAATAATGAAAAACCGCATGAAAATAATATTCAGGAAGGTCATCAGCAAAACCAGGAAAAAACTGCTAACCACCAGCAGCAAATTGGAGGAGAGCAACAACCTTTACAGCAGCAGCAGCAACAGCCATCCAAAAAAGCTGCCAATCCTGAAAAGGACAAGAAAATTCGTAATGTTGCCAAAAAGTTATCGGATATAAAAAAATTGAAGGTGCGCCAAGAACAGGGAGAAGTCTTGGAATTAAATCAACTCAATAAAATCGCTATGGAAGCCAAATTTTTGGAAGAACTTAAAGCATTGAAATTGTCAAACTAATCATTGACAGCTTTAACAACAATAATAAAATACATTGTTGCTCTTCAAATGAACCTAAACTTTGCTTCCCATAGAGATGACTAATATCGTTTCCTTTCCCGAGCCTCCTTTACAAAAACACACAAAGCTTTGTTGTATGTTTGCCTTCCCTTTGATATGATTTTTGTGTATGTTACAATTGAGATCTATTTTCGAATTTTTAATTTATCATTGTTTATAGCCCGCCCGCCCTTCTTTTCCCTATTGGCATTTGTCTATCTGTACAATATGTTTCCTCTTGGGAAAAGGAGCCAGTTTTAATTTGCCAACCATAATAAAAAAAACAACTCCATTAAATCTCTCTAGAACTTTTTATATTTCATGTATATTTTTTATTTGTTATTAAAAAAATACAAATTCCAAAATATTTTTTTTTTTATTTTTTAATCTTTTTATTTAATTTTTATTTGCGCTTTAAACAATAATCGTATTAATAACAAACAAACCATCAGTCAAGAAAATACCAGAACGAAAATAATTGTGATTTATCCTAAACGAGAAAAAAATATTATAAACAACAACTTTATATTTACAACAAAAGCGATAAACAAAAAAAATAATTTCCCATAAATTCGAAGGAACAATACGGTAATAAACGATCACATTTTGCTAAAAAAAATACGAGTTTTATTTGAATATACAGGGTGAGATGAAAAAACTGCAACCAAATTCAGACTGCTGTCATTTCTAAGCCACTCGTCCGACAGCTGTTAAAATTATTCCAGTGACACCTCATTATATTGTTTACAATGTATTATGTATGATGGAATTCAGGCGTCATTTCTTTATATTTGGCTCGAAGAAAACCACAAGTGGCTATCGTTAGAGCCCTCCAGAATTGAAAAGTGAATAAATATTTTGTATCTCGTACCTTCGCCCGTTATCGTGATACTGGTAGCGTAGCCCAACATCAGCAGAAATGGTTCGAAAAGTAAAGAAGCGACTTGGTTGAAAATGGCTCGTGAGCTGAACATATCACAATATCCCATTCGGCAAATATTGAAAAACGAGCTCGGGGTAAAGCCATTGAAATTCCAAAAAGGACAAGAACTTACACCGCAACAGAAAGAAAATAGACTCAAAAGATCTAAAGAGTTGCTTCGCTTGGCCGAAAATGGTGAACTGCCGAATTTGGTTTTCTACGATAAGAAAACATTCGTTGTCCCCAGTTTGTTAACAAACGCATGGCCGCCATGGTGAGAGCCGATGGTCGCTCTCCGCTCCTATTAATCGACCGTGGCATCAGAATAAATGCCGAAAATATTCTGGAGGGTGTATGAAAGCCTTGGGCACGCAAACATTTTGGCCGCAGACCTTGGAAAATCCAACAGGACTCAGCACCATCGCACTCAACACGCGCCACCCAAGAATGGTTGCAAAATGAGGTTCCTCGCTTTATTCCCAGCACACAATGGCCACCAAAATCTCCGGATATCAATCAGTTAGCCTAGAGTACTTTGGAAGGCAAGGTGGGCACTAAAAAATGCCAAAGTGTCGATCACCTCAAGCAAGTGCTTCGCCGGGAATGGGCCAAAATACCGAAGAGCAACAATCTGGCAGCGTGTGACGGTTTCATTGGCCGTTTTAAGGTCAAAATTCGTGCCAAAGGTGACCAATTTGAACCAATCTAAACTTATTCTTAATTTTGATGCTATTTCCGACATTTGAATTTAAAAAAAAATGGCGTTTGACTTTGTTGCAGTTTTTTATCTCACCCTGTAGGCATGTAGATATCAGCATATAATTGGTAACATTTGTTAAATTGGGTATCTTCATCTTTTTAACTTAGCTTTTCTATTCCAAAGCATTTCGCTTTGTTATTGGTTACATTTTGATTGTACTAGGAGAATTCCATTTGGTGTTCATCACGCTCTATTTGAACCTCATTTGTAATTCGTTTCCATTTAAAATTCCCAATAAAATATTTTGGCATTGGTTTTGTATTACAAAAGGAAACTTACGTATTACAAATGAAACTGCTGGGTTATAATTGAGAAGTTTCGATTCACAAAAATATATATATATATCGATAACACCTGGAAAATGTGTGGTTGTTTAATCTTCATTGGGGGAAGAAACTTCTGTTGACTGTGCGCTGGAAGTATATCATGGAAGTATATTGTAAAATAATTTACAAAATATAAGAAAAATTTTTATGATTACTTGAGCGGTTGTGGGATATGTTTATACCTATACTTTCTGTGTATAGATAAAATAGGTATGTATTAATAAGAAAAAACTATAGTAGTAATAAGAGTGCCTATTTCAGAATATATATTATTTCAAGCTTCCATGGATAATGTCCAAGAGCAGAGATATTTAATATGTAACCTAAAGATTTTTCACAGGCTCATTGGACTCTAAAAAATCAAGACTAAATTTGATTTGGGTTGTATTTGAACAAACTTTTGTAAAACAATAAATAAAAAAACAAATCTTAATTTCACATTATTAATGTTAATCCCATTTGGATTTCTTCTTTGTGAAAACTTCTCGTCCATCTTCTTGTACGGCAGCATAATAGCCTAAACTTTCATATTTCATTCGCATATACGTTATATATCCAAAGACGCCGGTTATAGCCACAAGCCCTAAGCCCATAATGATTTTATTCTAAAAAGAAATAAATCGTACACTCATTAAAGAATATCAAATGTTCCTTGCAACATACGGGTCTGGTATAGAGTTCAAAATTAAGCACTCTAAAAACGTTTGTGGTACGAATCTGTCGTATACCATCTCCAGCCTGGGCTGCGGGTTTTCCTTCAGCTTCCTTGCCACTCATTTTACACTAGTGAATTGTTAAAATTATCCGGCAAATTTTAAATTTTGCCTATTTTATTTTTATATTGTTGTACAAATAAATACAGCTGGAAAAATATTCTCGAGTTGCTGGAGACACATATATGGCTTTTCTATCCATGGACCATTAATTGGAGGTTATGTTGGCGGTCGGGTTTTGTTTATTGTTTTTTTAGTCTTTTAAATCACGCACAATCTCAAATCACACATATACACATTTGTTCTATTTGTTTCTAAATTATTTATATATAAATTTTTATACGAAATTAAATAATTAATTAATAAATTAATAAATTAAAATCAATTGAATGAATTACCAACCGACGCCACCGAGAAAAGAAAAAGAAGTAAAAGAAGTAACGAACAAAGGACACTACAATATGGCAACACTGAAAAGAAAGACAGCACAGAGAGAAAATCGAAATAAAGATGGAATCAAAAGGGAAAGGCGGACAACACAAAAGGAATCAAAACAAAACGGCCGACAACACAGCAACAGATGTTTAAGATATGGGTTATCATTTTACGATGATTAGCAAACAATTTGCTATCGATTCTTTGTGATTAGCAGAGACCAATTTTGAAATTTATTTCATAAAGGGAATATCAGACGACACGTGTTTTACAAATGAGCTGTCATATTGTTGATATGTTGAAGAATACAGCATGGTAGAAGAAAACTAACATCCCACAAAAACTAACATCCCCTAAAACGTTTCCTAGGATGAAGGGTTTGAAATCTTTATATGTTTCAATCCAAGCAAAGATAAATAAACTTAGTCTTAGATATGGAACACGTATGTTTTTATGTGAAAAGGAATGCCGAAAACAAAAGATTATTTATTATTTTTGTAAAACCTGCCTCTCGTCATATGAAAATATTTTGGATATGGAAATAGATTTTATTTAAAAAATGACAAGGTTAAGTTCGCCAGAAAAGGGTTGCATTCATGGTACAATAAAAAGGTAAGGAAGAACTAACAGCTGATTACAATTGTTTTCTAGGTGTGCCCGACTTCTGCCAATTTTGTTTATGTATTTATTGTTTTGAAAATAGAATATTTTCAAATTCAATGATTGACAGACGAGGGACGGGTATTAAAGCTAAGATTTTTTGGTGTATTTTTGTCAATAGAAATATGCGCATATCAAAACTCGAAGAATTTATAGATTTAATGAAAGAAAAGCGTCAGAGGCCTTAATTTTTTAATTGCATACAAATAATATGCCACTCGTCTTACGTACATAATTATTTTAAAAAATTATTTGAAAATGATAAATAAGTTCAAATATATAAAGAGGTTGATATTACCGATTTGACTAATGGCATTATCTTTCTAAATTTTGCATGGCAGAATAAATTTAAAAAAATCTCATAACTATTTACGTTAGACGAATATCATATTGTTTTGCTCTGATTGAATAGAAATTTTTTCCTTTTTTCATACGCATATGTCTATTGACGTAAATACACTAAAACCCCTTACCAGGACACCTTATCGGCATAATTAAAACGAACTTTTTCTTTATTTTACGAGCTACAAGGTCTCGTAAAATAAATCAGATTTAATGTCAAAATTTGTTTGCTCGTGTAATAATGTTTTGTTCTGTGATCTCAATCATATTAATGGATTTTGAAATTAAATTTTGTGGTCAGATGGCTATAATTCAAAATCGATCGTTTTTGTTTTAGCTTCTTTAGATTCCGTACGATTTGGTGAACTATGAAAATCTCAATGTTCAGTGTAAATATGAAAACATAAAAAGAATGAAAGAACAAATAAATTAAGAATCAAAAGAGACCACATGATTAGAAAACACTGTAGAAGTGTAAATTGTGAAAAACATTCTGATTAAAATATTTTTTTTGTGCGAAAACAAAACTTTCTTTTTATTTTTGCATTGTGTCGGGCGGGGTGATCATTTTAATAACAAGTTTAGTGTTAATTTATAAATACATTGCTGTACTTGATTAAAACTTTAATTAACATTCAAAGTACATATTTAAAAATACATTTTTTCACAAAAATCCTGTTTTGAGCTTTTTTGTTTTGTTTCTTTTTATCTTTGCTTCAATTTATCATTTGTAAGGCCAGATTGTTTTGTTTTCACAAATGAAAATTTTTGTTTGCAGAAAACTATTGTTTTCAAGAATAAATAAATGTTAAGGCAACGTTTTGTTTATTTTGCTAATTATTTTTAATAAAAGAGAAAAAAAGTAAATTTAATTGTACTTTGTTATTAAAATATTCTTATATCACTTGAAAGTTTTTTAAAGTTACAAGTTCTCATTAAAATACAATTTCACATGCGAAATGTATAGTGTTTTAAAGCCGAAAAAAATTGCGTTTTTCGTTTTCTGAAGAAGCTAAATACGGAATTAAAATCACCTTCGCACGAAATTCGTTCCTGTGACATGCCTGATAACAAATTACGTTTGGCTGACTTTAACATCTAATGTATCTACCTTTTGTATACACGCCGGCGGCATTGTGACATTGTCTGACTTAGGACTATGGCCTCGCGGAAGAACGAACGAATATCATTCGGGATGTCATTCTTTTAAATTTTGTCGAATACACGTGTTTGGTCGTCTCGCGTCTCGCTACATAAAACCCTCAGAAGAAAAAAACACCAATTAAATTAGTAAAAAGTATTAAATATATATCAATAAAGATGGCAGTTGATAGCCAGCTAATAGATGCGATTGTGCACGAATATTTACAGAAAAAAGACAAGAATTTGGCCCAAGTTTTTCAACATAAAACTAAAGCGGTAAGTGCCATACACAACCTGATATTTTTTTCCAATGAAAACAATGTGGTCCGGTCGGGGTGCTCAACACGCGCTTTGCAGTGTGGTTGTAATTGTATGGAAATGTGTTGGGCACCTCTGGGTGGATAGAGAAAAACAAAACATGTGTTTTACCAATTCGATTTTTTTTCATTTTTAGGCTGCATTAGGAAAAGGATCTCCCAAATTGGAAGATATTTTGAAATACTATCAACAGAATAGTGAAACAAAAATACCCAATGTGAAAAAGGCAAATGACTCCTCAGACGATAGCAGCGATGAATCCGAGGAAGAGACTCCCAAGAAAACTACTGCTCCCGTTGTGAACAATAAAGTAACTGCAGCAGCAAAGAAAGCAGCTTCCAGCTCTGAAGATTCCTCAGATGATAGCAGCGAAGATGAAAAGAAACCTGCTGCAAAGCCAGTTGCTGCTGCTACACCTAAAGTAAATGGTGTTGCCAAAAAAGCAGAATCTTCAGATGATTCATCGGATGACAGCGAAGATGAAAAGCCAGCGGCCAAGCCATTGGCTAAGGCTGCCCCCGCAAAGCCAGTAGCTAAAAAAGCTGAATCTGAAGACTCTTCTGAGGATAGTAGCAGCGAAGACGAGAAACCAGCGACAAAACCAGCTGCTAAGCCAACGCCTGCTAAGGCTGTTGTTAAAAAGGCTGATTCCTCGGACGATTCTTCAGATGATAGCAGTGAAGATGAAAAACCTGCTGCTAAAGCCACGCCTGCTAAACCAGCAGCTAAAGCCACACCGGCCAAACCCGTTGCAAAAAAAGCCGAATCCTCTGATGACTCCTCTGACGATAGCAGCGAAGATGAGAAACCAGCAGCTAAAGCTGTACCAGCTGCTAAAGCTACTCCAGCAAAACCAGCCGCAAAGAAGGCCGAGTCTTCGGATGATTCTTCAGAAGATAGCAGTGAAGATGAAAAACCAGCTGCTAAGCCCACCGCTGTTAAAGCAACTCCAGCCAAGCCAGCTGCCAAAAAGGCAGATTCTTCTGATGATTCTTCAGACGACAGTAGCGAGGATGAAAAACCAGCTGCCAAACCAGTTGCAGCTAAACCAACTCCTGCTAAACCTGTAGCTAAGAAAGCAGAATCTTCAGATGATTCTTCGGATGATAGTAGTGAAGATGAAAAACCAGCTGCTAAAGCCAAGGCTGCCCCAGCCAAGCCTGCTCCAGCCAAGCCTGCTCCTAAAAAAGCCGATTCTAGCAGCAGTGAAGATAGTTCGGACGAGGAGGAAGAAGTAAAACCGAAAGCTGCAGCACCTGCAGCTGCTAAAAAGCCTGTGGTAGCCGCCAAGAAGGATTCGAGCAGTGAAGAATCCTCAAGTGATGAAGATGAAAAACCAGCAGTCAAACCCGTTGTAAATAAAACACCTGTCGCAGCAAAAAAGAAGGCTGACAGTAGCAGCTCTGAAGATTCGTCTGATGATGAAGAACCTGCCGCAAAGAAACCAGCTTTGTCTGCTAAACCAGCTGCAGCTGCCAAAAAAGCAGCAGCTTCTTCCAGCTCCGAAGATTCTTCATCCGAAGAAGAAGAAGAAGCGAAACCTGCAACTAAACCAGGTGCCAAACCTGTTGCCAAAAAGGCCGATTCAAGTTCAGAAGACTCAGATGATTCTGAGGATGAACCACCAGCCAAAAAAGCAAATGTAGTTAAGACTACACCAGCTAAGGCAGCGAAACAATCTTCCTCGGAAGATAGCAGTTCCTCTGAAGAAGACGAAGATACTAAAAAGCCTGCCGTTGCTACGCCTGTTAAAAAATCCGCTACCCCTGCAAAGAAGGCTGCTGAGGACAGTGATGATGATAGCTCCAGCGAAGAAGAAGAGGAAGAAAAGCCAGCCGCTGCTGAAACTCCCTTGGCTAAACCCGGACAAAAGAGAAAATTCAGCGAAACAAATGGCAACGCTGAAAAGAAGGATAACAAATACAGTAATTTTGTTAAAGGAGGATTCAATAATGTAAGTACTATTAAAATTTTTTTGCATATACATATGTATGTCAAGATGATCTATGAAGAAGGATTGAGATGCCACAGCTGGTATATGTCAGTATACATAATGAGTATATGAATATCGGGAATTTTTGCTCTTTAAGAAATTGCCTAAACAAAAATACAAAATATCCTTTTACCAGGACCACAAACTAATAAGGGATAAAATATAATAGTTTGTCGTTGAGCTTAAATGTAATACTATTTTCATCAATTACGGTTGTTCGTACATTCCTAGTTTACATTTGTTTTAATAATTTATTATCCTTATTCTCAATCCTTCCCTATTTTGTAGTTATGTTAAGTAAAATGTACCTCATATCTATCATTTTGTTTTCTTTAAAATATTTGATAAAATTTCGTAAAATTAGTCCAAAGGATTTGCATCAACACCGGCCAATGGCAAATTCAATAATAACAACAAAAATCAGAAAACACCACAATCGGATGGTCCCAAGAAAAATGAACCATTCAGAAGGGTGCGTGAAGAAGAAGTAGAAATAGATGAAAGAGTTAAAGATATGTCTTTCGAAGCAAAGGTAAGTGCCTCAATGTGTTGAATGTATGACAGAGCACGCGGTGTTGGCAACATGAAATTCATGCCGGAAAAAGACATGATAAGATAAAGGAGGAACAAGGAAAGTCATAACACAAATTAGCTGATTATGAACCTATGCATACTTGAATACAATTCTTCATGATTTTGAGGCACTTTCATTGAAGCAACGAAAGATTTTGATTTAAATTAAGAACATTTTGTTTAATTTCTTTGCTAATTTGTGTTGTTTTCCTTCTTCCCTTCTTTTTTGATTGTCTTTCCGGGTTGCTGAAATTAGGATGAAGAAAATGCTGGTGATGGTAATGGCGGAAAAGCTAATGGCGGCTTTAAGAAATTTGGTGATCGCAAGTCGTTTGGTGGCTTTGAAAATGGTAAAGGAGGACGTGGTGGTGGTGGCCGCGGCGGCGGCTTTGGTGACAAGGGTGGCCGAGGAGGCGGTGGTCGTGGTGGTGGACGTGGTGGTTTTGGCGATAAGGGCGGCCGAGGAGGATTTGGTGGCCGTGGCGGCGGACGTGGTGGTTTCGGTGACAAAGGTGGTCGAGGAGGTGGCGGCCGGGGAGGTGGACGTGGTGGTTTTGGAGGAGCAAACAAACCATTCAACAAATCCTTCGATAGTTCAGCGACGCCGAACAAAAAGATCACCTTTGATGATTAAATTAATTTCACCTTTCACGCACCCACCTACCCAATTTTAGTTATTTAAGTTTTGTTTTAGTCAACACCCTAAGCCAACCCTTTGAATCCATTTCCTTAAATCCAACAGACAACCAATGCATCTGTATTTCATGTTGCCTTCGCTCATATTGTAGTTTTTTTTTTTTTTGTAAATCCAAATCAATTCTAAATCCTTAATATTTACAGAAAAATGCTGCTGGCTCTTGGGGCGACAAAGCCAATCGTGACTTAAAGTTTACACGCGGTAAAAGTTTCAAGCACGAAAAAACAAAGAAGAAGCGTGGTAGTTATCGTGGAGGACAAATTGATATGGGAGTCAATTCCATTAAATTTGAGTAGAGCATTGTTGAGTTGAAAATTAGCAGAGTTATGTTTTAATATCCTCTACAAATACCACACAGATACACATATTTTTTTGTAATGACCTTTACTTTTAGACTTGTGAAATATTTTTTTTGACATTGAACTTTATACTTTACTTTGACTCACTGTGGCATTTTTTGAATGCCATAATAACAACAGTAGCAATTTTATTTTATCTTAAATCTTAACTGTCTCTCCTCCATCATCACTAGATTCATAGTGTCAATGAAATACAAAAATATTGAAAAATAAATATTTTATATTAAGCATTATATTAAATATATTTGTAAATGTATTTTAATATATATCTAATACTATTTAGCTTTAATATGTGGAAAAATACAAATGTTTTGTAAAACAACTAAGATATAAAAGCTTCTTTTTATTCTCTGGCAATTTTGGGGGAAAACGAGTAAGGTTGAATAAAATAAATTTGGAATTGGATGTATTTTAAATGTCTTCGATGATAAACAAATATTCTCCTACGAAATAATCTCTTCAGCTTTATTCTAATTTCAGACATAAATGTACGTTAAAATACAAATCTTTATTTAAAGTGATTGGTCAATTATCACGGTTAACCCGGATAAAGATTTTGTAAGTTAATGAGTGAATTGGTTCCCATGACGTACCCGTAGGTTCAAAAAAAAAAACCCTATTTAAAACATACAGCAATGTCGCAGAAACGAATTTCGATAAAAAGTTTAATTCCGATTTTGCGCTATGTTCATGTCATGGTAGAAGAATATAGGTAGACACATGGTACAATGAATTCAAGGTTGGGCAGAGCTACCATATAATTTAATTTTTTTTATTTTTCTGGCTTAATATGTCAACTTCATTTGCTTATGTGTGTGTCTTCTTTTCAATAATAAAAAATAGTTCAGAAAATATTCAAATTCGTGTGTTTTCAAAATGCTTATTGCAATGAATGCATCGACAAAATCTACAGTTTTTGTCGCGAAATAAACCATAAGAGATATATAGAACATGATATTGAAAAGAAATTTTGACCATTCATTCAGTTTTCGCGGTTTTAAATTATTTATTCAAAATCAATGCAACAAGTTGTTTCCTTTTTTATTGTTTTGATAGTAATTCTGACATTACAAGCCAAACAGGTAGACCTCTATACTTGCAATTTTTTCAAAGTTGACCTACCTTCTCTTCATTGTACCATGGGTAGACGCGTCGACACAGCTGCTGGGACAATGAACTGTCAAACCAATTTTGGAATTGAAAATGTTGAATGAAAAATTATTTAAATTTGTAAAAATTGTTGAAAAACGCGAATTATAATAGCCTCCGGCTGACGTAGTATAAGAAAACATATAAAAATCTACTTATATTTAAAAAAACATTTAAATTTTTTTGACATATCAATGCTCCCAAGCGTTGATGCATCTACCTGTATTCTTCTGCCATGGTTCATGTTAGAGCTTTTACTAGGGTTAACCAACTTTAAGGAGATTTATATTTGACGCATTTGCAATGGATATGATTATTTTAATCCATTTATATGTAAACGTACTGTTAGCTTTCTTAATTAAAAAAAATTAATTTTTATACCATACACCACATAGTGGTAAGGGTATTATGTCTTTGTGCATTTGTTTGTAACATGGAGAAGGAAACGAGATAGACCCATAGTTACTTTTGAGAACCTTCATAGAATCACTTTCTGAGTCGATTTATGCATGTCCGTCCGTCTGTCCATGTATTCTTGTGAACAAAATGCAGGTCGCATTTATTATCCGATTGAGATGAAATTTTCCAAACAATATTTTTTTGGCCCAAGGACGAACCCTATTGAAATTGGTGAGAATCGGATCAAATTTAGATATAGCTCCCATATATATCTTCATCCGATTTCGGGTTAAATGTGCACCAAATGTCCACTATCAGTCCAAATTACCTGAATTTTGGCACACCCAACCGAGTTCGGCCCAGAAGCAAGTATATAAAATTTTGAGGAAATCGGTATAGCTCCCATATATATCTTTCATTCGATTTGATCTTTAAGTCCCTCACATTCCTACTATGCACTCCACAACCGTGATATTTGGTACCACGTATTAGATGGAGCACAAAAATAGCTGTTTTAAATTTTATCGAAATCGGTTCAGATTTGGATATAGCTCCCATATATATCTTCATCCGATTTCGGGTTAATTGACCACCAAATAGCCGATATCAGCCCAAATGGCCCGAATTTTGGCACATGTGACCGAGATTAGCCTTAAAGCAAATACAACAAATTTGGAGAAAATCGGTTCAAAAAGCGCTATAGCTCCCATATATATGTTTTATCCGATTTGGTGTTTAAGCCTCTCACATTCGTAATATGCACTCCACAAGAATGATATTTGGTACCAGATATAAGATACAGCCCAGAAATAGCTTTTTGCAATTTTATCGAAATCGGTTCAGATTTGGATATAGCTCCCATATATATCTTCATCCGATTTCGGGTTAATTGTGCACCAAATGACCGATATAAGTCCAAATGGACTGAATTTTAGTACATCGGACCAAATTCAACCTAGAAGCAAGTATATCAAATTTAGTGAAAATCGGTTCAGATATAGATATAGCAACCATATATATGTTTCATCCGATTTAGTGTTTTAGTCCCTTACATTCGTAATATTCACTCCACAACCGTTATATTTGGTACCAGGAATTAGATGGAGCACAGGAATAGCTGTTTTAAATTTTATCGAAATCGGTTCAGATTTGGACATAGCTCACATATATATCTTCATCCGATTTCGGGTGATTGACCACCAAATGGCCGTAATAGCATCAATTTTGGCAAATCCGACCGAAGCAAGTACACCAATTTTAGTAAAAATCGGTTCAGATATAGCTAAAGCTCCCATATATATCTTTCATCCGATTTGGTCTTTAAGTCCCTCAAATTCGTAATATGCACTCCACAGAAATGATATTTGGTACCAGATATCAGATAAAGCCTAAAAAAAGTTGATTTTAATTTTATTAAAATCTGTTCCGATTTGGATATGCCTCCCATATATATCTTCATCCGATTTCGTGTTAATTGTGCATCAAATGGCCAATATCAGCCCAAATGGCATGAATTTTGGCAAATCCGACCGATATAGCTCTAGCTCCCATATATATGTTTCATCCGATTTGCTCTTTAAGTCCCTTACATTCGTAATATACTCTTCACAGGAATGATATTTGGTACCAGATATCAGATAAAGCCCAAAAATAGTCGATTTTAATTTTATCAAAATCTGTTCAGATTTGGATATAGCATAGCATAGCATACTCTTCACAGGAATGATATTTGGTATCAGATATCAGATAAAGCCCAAAAGTAGTCGATTTTAATTTTATCAAAAACTGTTCAGATTTGGATATAGCACCCATATGTATCTTCATCCGATTTCGTGTTAATTGTGCAACAAATGGCCAATATCAACCGAAATAGCATGAATTTTGGCATACCTGGCCAAATTCAGCCTAGAAGCAAGGACACCAATTTTAGTAAAAGTCGTTCCAGAGATAGCTATAGTTCGTAAAATGCACGATAGAATTAGATAGATTTTGATTTTGTACCAAATATATCATAGAGCTCTGAAATGCTCTAAATAAACCTTTTTACGAGAGCTCTACTAAATATGCATAGTGGTGTAGGGTATTATATAGTCGGCCCCGCCCGACTTTTGAGCTTTCCTTACTGGTTTCGGAATGAAATTATTTTTGTTTATGCAAGTGGAATTGTATTTTTACGGAAACTTGTAACTTTAAACCTCTTTCAAATAAAAGGAGTCTTGTTTTAATTACAAATACGGCTAAGCCTAATAATATTTATCTTTTTATTTATAATAATTAGTAAATTTTATTTGTTTCACAATTGACGAAAACAACTATTATTGCTTGGAAAATGTTATCTCAATTGAATGCAAATTGAATAATACATGGATAGACGGACGGACGGACAAACGGCCTGACATGCATAAATCGAATCAGAAAAAGATTCTATAAAGATCTTTAAAAGTAACTATGGGTCAATCTCGCTTCCTACTCCATGTTACAAACAAATACACAAAGACATAATACTACTATGTGGTGTAGGGTATATAAAAAATTGTATTTGTTATTGGTAAATTTGATGTTACAGGACTCTAGCTTCAGAGCAAAAGAATAAAGGTAGATGCATCAACAATTGTGAATAGTGATGTGAAACCATAGTATTTTGTTGCAATGCTCAGGCTTAATCCCTTTATTGTTGTTTTTATAAAACAACGTTTGTTTATTTGTCGAGAACGATAGTAATGTTTACCAGGGGGTAAGGCATGGAGAACCTACGTTTCGGAAAGTGCCACCAATCCTCATCAGTTCCCCTGTTTTTTGTCTGGGATATTCTCCCCAGAAGTTATTTTAAAAATGACAAAAAACTTTTTTTACTCAAATGAGATCGAAAGCTCAATAGAAGAGGAACCAAAGAATTACCTACAACTAAAATTCTTTTGGAAAATCTTCTAAATCTTACAACCTCACTTTTACATGAGCGAACCATGTAAATTTGTTTTGTCTGTTACAATAAAAACCCCTTCGTTGACCGTGCCTTGCCCATTAATAGAACAGTGTTGTGTTGTTGTAGCAGTTTTACATGTTCCGTTGTTTTTTTCCGACAAGTCCGGTTCTTCCTCAATGTCCAGGTTTAGGAATTCTGCTACCTTTATGGGCTGTAGCCATAGATCCTCTGGACGGAGTTGGGTAGGTTTGGCTGGACAATAGTTGGGCCAAAACTACCCTGATTTGCCTAGGCAGCCGACATTCTTCAGCTGCAATGGATGGGGGTGGACTCCGAGTATGGCATTCATACTGTAATTATTAACTACCTCTGCGACTGCATCAGTATGAATGCTATTCAGACCCGCTTGATAGGCTTCATGATCTAGAGGCTGTCTCTTATATCGCTGGACCTCTCTCTCTAGATCGTGCAGGTTCTTCCTGACACGCCTGGGTGGGGGAGTTCTATCCACCATATGG